TAGGAGCCCAAGTGAATAAGCCAGGAACAGGGACAAAATGAATGTTCTCATTATTTGGGAGCGAAGAAGAAAATAAAAACAATCGAAACTCCACAGAGAGTAGAATTGATGGTTCGCAGAGGCTGGGAACAGTAGTTGGTGGAAGGGGACGGTAGGGATGGGTAATGGATACAAAATACAGTTAAGAGAATAAGATCCAGTATGTGGACAGAACAACAAGAGGACTACGGTCAATTAATTTATTGAACATTTAAAAATAAGAGTAATGGTTGTTTATAACATATATGAAAACAGTAAATGCTTGAGGTGATGGATATAGACCATTACCCTTGATGTGATTATTATACATTTGTGCCTATATCCCCCAAAAACTCATGTACCCCATAAATATATATACATACTATGTACCCAAAAAAGTTAAAAATAAAATAAATTATACAAGTCGTTAAAAAAAATTTCTTACTTTAAGGAAAAAAGAAACTAGAGCCATAATTGGTTGAATGTAAACTGATTTTTTTTAAATTTTATATTTTTTATTATGTTTAGGTCTGAGGTTACAGTGCAGATAATGCAGGATTGTTGCATTAGGTACATACATGGCAGGGGTTGCTGCCTGCTCCCCCGGTCGCCCACCTATATCTGCCCTTTCTCTCAGATATCCCTCCCCACCCTCCCACACCCCCACTTGTCCCTACCCTTGCCCCCATTATTATTCTTACGGTTTGGGAATTAGTGAGCATTCTGGCCCTGCAAGAGTACAGTATGTCGGATTTGCCAGTGCCTGGCAAGTTTTATTTATGTGGTAAAATATACTGAAAAAATTTACTATTATTGACCATTTAGCATATAAACAATGTTGTGTAACACAATTACTATCTAGTTGCAGACCATTTTCTGATTTTCTGGAATTATATGTGTAACACAGAAAAAAGTCTCTCTTCCTTTTTGAAAAAAAGGTAACTTATGTCAAACACGTTACCATGCCATCGACACCATTTCCTATTGGTGTCTTTCCCATTTCTGAGAGAGATGGCGTGGTCTCCATTTACCGACTACAAAAATTCATGCTTTTTTCATATATATATATCTCTATATTAGATATATATATATATATATATATATAGTGGGGTCTTGCGATGGTTGCACGGGATGGTCTCTAACCCTGAAGCCAGGCAGTCTTCCACCCGGCCTCCCAAAGTGCTGGGTATTACAGGCGTTGGGCCACATGCCTGGCCCTTTTTCCTATTTCAAACAGCTTCACCTTTTGTTTTTTCATAGTGTGCGAATGTCTACAGTGGGTGTGATCAAAATATTAAATTCTATTTGATTCGCTTTCTTAACCCATTCTGAGCACCTCATATATTATTAGGGTAAACTTTGATCCACTATATTTGACTGCGATAGTTTGGATGTTTGCCCCTCAAATCTCATGCTGAAATGTGATCCCCAGTGTTGAAGGTGTGGAGCCTGGTGGGAGGTGGTTGAGGTCTAAGGCAGATCCCATGGTGCTTGGATGCTTGGTGCCTGTGTTAAAGATGAGTGAGTCGCCCTCTGAGTTCACGTGAGATCGGCTGTTTAAAGTGCAGCACCTCCCCCACCTTTCTTGCTTCCTGCTTCATGGATGTGTTGCTCCCCTTAACCTTCCACCATAATTGGAAGCTCCTGAAGCCTTCCAGGCGCAGATGCTAGCACCATGCTTCTATAGAGCCTGGAGAACTGTGAGTTCAATTAAACCTCTTATGAATTCAACCAGTATCAGGCGCCCTTTATGGTAAATGCAAATAGAACACAACCTGCCACAATTTTGTTTGTTTATTTACAAGCATTTCCTGTTGCTTCCCCATCCCCAACTGTCTTTCCTTAGTGGACTTCATTGATTTGGTCACTGCTGTATTCTTTAATATTTCGATGTTGACATACCTGAGTCCTTTTCTCACAGTGGTCACCCTAAATGCTTAACAATGCATCATTTACGTGTGCCTTCTACTAGTCATATTAATTAGTCTTAATTATCCAGCAAATCAAGAATTTCAGTCCATTTCACTTTTTCTCAGTTTCTCCAATCACCGATCACTCCCCCACCCCTGCTCCCAGTTGAGCTCATTGAGGGCTAGAGAAATCATATTAACTGAGTGGGCAATTCTAATGAGCACAAGCCACAAGCTGGGCACAATTCAAAGCTATGGGCGCGCAGCACTGAATGTGTCTAACAGAATTCCTACCTTCATGGGAGGAGACAAAAAAAACAAAAATGTATTCTATGTTAGTAGTCCCTCATCTGGGTATGCCTCTTGGGAAGGCCGAAACTGAGTGTACAAGCGGCACATCAGATGGTGTCGGAGGGATCCAAGGGACGACAGGGGTATGAGCACTCCTGGCATGAGTGTGCACTGGCCTGGCAGGGGGACAGGGAGCTGACGGGCACGTGAGCAAGGGGGCCACTGCCTTGCCGCTGGGTCACATGATTAGCCAGGTCAGGGGAGTATGGTAAAGAATGTCAGGTTGTGGGTGTAGCGCTGCAGGTGAATCACCAGGCTCCCAGCTCAACCACATGTCCATGTTCATCATTCCATGAACAAATGGTCCCAGGGACCCTCTGCCTTCTGCAGCGCACTGCTGAAGCTCAGAGTGTCCCCAAACTATCTTCCTTTGTGCAGGGGCTTGCCCAGGGCTGGCACTGATTGCATCCATTTCTGCAGCCTCATTACAGTCCTCCAGGCAGCAGTCTTCCGGCGCTAGCTCTCTTTAGCATGTCTATCGGGCTCTATCACTTGCCTACTGAGGCGTTTTAGTTTTCATATCCAAGATATATAAGTGCTTTTGTGTTCTTTTGTTTCTGGAAGCATTAGCATCTTACTCTGTTGCTGATTTCCATTACACTTGCCTTCATAGGATTGTTATGTTTTACTGACTCTTCACAGAAGACGTATACCACCTTTCTCGCTATTCCGTTTCTACATTTTTCTGGGTCTTAGTGTGTGTTATGTTTCTGTGACTAAGAGCTCCTGATTGCTTGTTCTTCTGTTCTACCATAAACAACCGCAAACGTTATGAGATCAGGGCATGCCAAGGAGAGAGGAGTGTCATGGCTTGTCTTCACAAAGGGCTGGCTCCCACACGTCCTCCTCCTACTTAGGTTCATACATGTCGTTGGCCATGGTCGATGCTTCAGCCAGGTTAGCTGGAGGATGGACAGCGTGTGGGGAGCGCTGCCGGGGAATCAACCAGCACTCACGGCGCGCAAACACCTTCCCTGTTAATGCCATCTGGACAAAGCGACCCCAGGTCCCCCTTCCACCCTCTGCAGCCACGGTGAAGCTGCTCAGAGTGTCCCCAAAACCATCTTCCCTTGGTGGCAGGCCACTGCAAATTCTGAGCGGTTTCCTCCATATTTGTTCTCCTGTACGTCCAACGCAGTCTACCTTTTTAATCATCAGGAATTCTGCAACATGTTAATATACTCCACTTTTATGGCTTTATCCTTATTTCTTTTCCAAAACTATCCACTTGAAGCCGGTAGTCCCCAGAGGTGACTAGCCACACTACCTTCTCTCAAAACAATGCTATGAATACCCACCAACAAAACAATCTATGCATTATAAGTTTTATTTATAAGACTGGAACAGACAAGAATATTAGTTTGAAGGTTTTTTCCAATTTAAATTAATAAAACGGGGAGAATGACGCAGAAGCTGCTATTTACAAAAGACAAGTACGACTAAAGAAGGTCAGTTTTTATTCCGAAATAGGAATAATGACATATACAAAGCGATCATTTTATAAACATTGATCTAAATGTTTAATACTCGTGAACTTTTTTTTCTTAGGGAAAAAAGATTGACATCAACTCTTTGGCATCATCTTTTAAAATCATTTCTTCTTGGATTGTTATCCATCAGAGTGCTTATATACGTCTAGGATAGATGTCTAAGAATGCATTCTGAGGCCCGGGAGCAGTGGCTCATGCTGCAATCCCAGCACTTTGGAGGGTCGAGTGGGCGGATCACTTGAGGCTCGAGGAGTTCAAAACCAGCCTGGCCAACATGGCAAATCTCCATCTCTACTAAAAACAAAATTTTAAAAATAGCCAGGTGTGGTGACAGACATCTGTAATCCCATGTTACTGGGAGGCTGAAGCTGGAGAATCACTTGAACCCAGGAGGCAGAGGTTGCAGTGAGCTGGGATTGCACTCCAGCCTGGGCAGCAAGAGCAAAACTCCGTCTCAAAAAAGAGAGATGCATTCTGATGATTAAACTGAACTGTCTAAACTTTTCCTTCAAGTCAGGTGCCACTTCAAACTGCAAAGCCCAGAAACCAGGAGTCTGAACTGTGCTGCTCGCCTTTCCAGCTGTGAGATCTTGGACAGGCACACTCTTTGCATCTCAACCTTCTCGTCTTTCAAAGGGGAAGAATAATTCCAATCACACAAGAAAGGATTAAACAAGATGAATACGATGATCACTGCTCAAGAGCCTGGGCAACGGTGGCCCTCTCACCTGTGGCTTTAAAACCATTCTGTCCGGCTGTGAAGGGTGAGCCCTAGGAAATCTCTCCCTGTCTCCTCTCTTGTGTTCCCACCTCCTCTCTAGTCAAATGAGATTCTTCCCCGAGGAACCAAACATCAGTAAGAGAAAATGAGCTACTTCAGGAACTGAAAACTAAACTCTAGTAAATTAGAGTGGTACGCCTAGTTCTCATCAACTATTTTATCTATCACTTTGGTTGTTTTCATTGTTTATTTCAAGTAAGCAATGTAGTCCTCTTCCCTTTGTAAAGCAAATTTTAGGTCAACCTCTGTCAGCCTCATTTCCTCCCTTCAAAAAAAAAAAAACAAAAAAACAAAAAAACCTTTTAGTTTTAAAAAAAAGCTTCTTTGCATTTTTGCCCTTTCTAATAATATAATTACCCTATATTATTTTAATAGGATATTTGCTCTGAAGTAAATGCATTTGTTACCTTATTAAATGTGACGCCTTTGGGCTAGCTTCTGAAACGGCAAACTTATAGGCAATTAAATAATTCGTATTCATACGATCTACTTATTTTTTTTCTTGTCTCCAGCCTTTACAGTTAAAACGTTCCTTTGGAATATTGCTGTGTAGGAGGTTACAGGGGAACCTACGTGGCTGAAATCCCATCTACTGAAATACTGGCACTGCTACAAAATAACCCAAGATTCCTTAAACTAAGAGAAAAATCAGGTTCGTCCATGGAAGCAAACGAATGGCAGGACAGGGAGCAAATCTTTGTTCTTCGTGAAACGGACTTCAGAACAGCGCAGGACAAGGGGCTGGCCCAGACCTGGGGAGTCTCAGCTTTTCATCTCCACCCACTGCAGAGTCCTCCTCCTGGCTCCCAGAACCACAGCCTCAGGGGCCCATGTGCACTGCCAGGGGCTGCACCGTGGACAGTCCTTGGGGTCCACTCCAGTCAAACACCCCACGGGTCCAGGCCTCCCTTTAGCCTCAACAGCTTGAGGGCTCTGAGCACTCATCTCTTCCAGAAAACTCGCCGCTGTCTTCCTCAGATGTGTCGTCCGGTCAGAAAAAAGAGCGGCCGGTCTTCCCTGGCATTGGCCGTCTGGAACTCGTCACGCAGCCGGAACTGCCACTCGTCCTCAAGCTCCAGGCGGACGACCGTCTGGCGCAGGGAGCTCCGGTCCTGACAGATGACACACAAGGTCGCACCTGCGTGGACAACGCCAGAGGTGTGGGAAGGGAAAAGGTGAGTTGATCCAGATGAAAGTGGCTGCCGGGATTCTACTTGCAATGACAAGCCAGGGCGCTGCTGGGAAGGGCAGAGGTGGCGGCGGGTTGGCCTGTTGCTCTTTCAGGATGATGTACAATCTTAGCAAGACAGGAGTGTGGCTGGGAATGTGGCAGGTTTGCGGGGGAGAAACGCATTGGCAGAAGGAAAGCTGGGCAGGGACTGGGCCGAGGTGCAGATGGAAGGAGAGAGGCGGGTTGGGTCGCAAACCAAGCATCCTCAGCCCCAACCGATAGCTCATGTACCCCACCCTACCTACCCCACCCCACAGCTTTATCCCCCTCTTCTGCCACCCATGCAGGCCTGAGGCACCCCCCCAACCCCGTGCCCCTGCCCCGCCCCGTCCCGCATGCCAGCTGCAGGAATTCTCCTTCCTCTCTACTCCCAGCACACAGCAACACCTCAACCGGGTCTCCCTCACACTTTCCCTCTCTGCTCCCTCCCCAGCTTTAGATGAAATGTTTCCCCGAGGCAGAGACTGCTGTAGAAACCTCTCAGTCTTTCCCAAGGCGTTCGATGCTGCTGGTGCTCATTCAGTGCCTGCTAGAGTGGAAGGTCAGAGCCAAGGACCACCAAGGAAAGGGACGGTCAGTTAGGGATCTGAGCAGGACTGGAAATGCAGACTGGAAATTGTTTTCAAGTCAGGCGGAACAACCAGCTGGCGCAGAAAGGAGGAAGACTGGGGCAAAAGTCAAGGGGGTGCAGGACCTCCCAGGACAAGGAGGAAGCCTCCTCCACCAGGAAGAAGACGTCAGCAACGACTGAGACACTGGTGTGAAGGATTTGGGTTGGAAAAGAACGCAAATGGCCAGCGCGGTGGCTCACGTCTGTATTCCCAGCACTTTGGGAGGCCGAGGTGGGTGGATCATCTGAGGTTGGGAGTTTGAGACCAGCCTGGCCAACATGGTGAAACCCAGTCTCTACTAAAACTAAAAAAATTAGCTGGGTGTGGTGGCAGGCATCTGTCATCCCAGCTACTCGGGAGGCTGAGGCATGAGAATCGCTTGAACCCAGGAGGCAAAGGTTGCAGTGAGCCGAGACGGCACCACTGCACTCCAGCCTGGGCGACAAGAGTGAAACTCCAAAAAGAAAGAAGAAAAGAGAAAAGAAAAGAAAAGAGAGAAAGGTTAAAGGAAAGGAAAGGGAATAGGAAAACACAAATATTAAAAAATGTCTGTAATTCATCTAAAGAAAGGGGGATTTGTCTCTACCCAAACACGTACAGGGAAAGAGAGCTTCTGGGGACCCAATCCCAGCTCTCTTGCACTTCCCTGGGTGGTTGAGGCAGTCACTTCCCTCTCTGATCCTCAGTTTACCCAGGGCAAATAAGGGCTAGGACCAGAGTCCCCTCCTCAGGGTACCTGGTGATGACAGACATTGAAGACAAGGTCCAGGGTTAAGAGTACGGAGTTACCTTTCAGAAAATGAAACTTTTTCAAAAAGCTAGCTCCCACAAAGGAGTCACAGAGGTACAGCAGCAGTCCGCTGAACAGCAGGTCGGAGCAGCTGATGTTTAAAGAGTGGGGCCTGGAGCTCACATAGCAAACAGAAATCTGAAAAAGAAATCCAAGAGAAAGCAGCGTTTTCTATGAAATGCTCAGGAACGTTATACCACAGTTTGCATCTAGTAAATACAAACTGCTTGGTTCAGCTCAAAATTTTGGGGGACCAGAGACAATATTTTCATGTCATTTCCAAATCTATATCTGAAAAATCAGTTATAGAAGTTTTATCCAGATTTACCTAGTCATGAGTTCACCTGAGAATCAGAATATTTGGGCCAGGCCTGGTGGCTCATACCTGTAATCCCAGCACTTTGGGAGGCCAAGGTGGGCAGATCACCTGAGGTCAGGAGTTTGAGACCAGCTTGGCCAACATGGTGAAACCCCATCTCTACTAAAAATACAAACATTAGCCAGGGATAGTGGCACGGGACCGTAATCCCAGTTACTCGGGAGGCTGAGGCAGAGAAATGCTTGAACCCAGGAGGTAGAGGCTGCAGTGAGCCAAGATCATGCCACTGTCCTCCAGCCTGGGCAACAAGAGCAAAGCTCCATCTCAAAAATAATAATAAATGTTTGGGCATCAGAATTTGGTTGGCTTCCTCTCTTCTTATGTCTGGGTAAAGCATCTCAGCTCTCTCAGCTGAAAGGCAAAAGCTATAACGTGGGGTCAACCCTGAGACAAAGGAGTTGAGGACTTAGGATTCAGTCCCCGATTCCAGCCCGTGGGTTCTAGAGATTTCTCTGACTTAGGGATTCACAGCACCCCGTCTGAGAGTCACCTGAGATCCGAGGTTAAGGTAGCAGTCGACGGACAGCACAGGGTGGTCACGGTTCTTCAGGGACAGCGGGAAGAAGCGGTGGCTGTGGTGCTGCAGGAATTTCTCCAGCAGGAGCTGGGCAGGCGCCGCGAGGAATGTGTGCTTGCTGTCCGGGGCGCAGATGTACTGGGCCGGCACGGCCGCTGCAGAGTTATCGGACACCTGTGGGGGAAGGAGGGTGTCAGGCCACTCCCGACCGCCCTGAGGGGAGAGGACCTTCCCTTGGCTTCTGGGCTGCATGGGGCAGCCCAGGCATGGCACCTCGTGTTGCTCAGGGGAATGAACTCAGAACACATACTTCAGGAATAAACTTCTCTGTTGAGAAATACTAGGTTTTACTAAAGGGAAACATGAAAGAGACCTGTGAAAATGAATCGACCCGGTCAGTAAGAATTATAGACACTGATCATTCCATGCAAGAAACCAGCTGTCTGGTCGAGAGAAAACAAGAGAACCCTGGGCCTGGGGACTCAAGTCCCTGGGAGTGGCCAGCTCCCCATCAAAGATTCTGTCCACGTCCCACCCAGCCCCGGGCTCTTCCCACCCACAGCAGCATCCTCCCACCTCATGCTCCATCACCAAAATGTTTACATCTACGTCAATCAGAATCTCGCTGGCTTCCCTCTGATGAGTCCGAGAGGAAAGTTTGGAACTTCTGCATGGCTGGGAAGGCCTGCTTAATCCACTACTCCCCTCCCCGTCCTCCACACCAACCTCCTCTCTCCTACCCTCCTGCACCTTCACCCGCTGAAGGCATCCTGCCCCTGCCCCTGCAGCTGTCCCTGCCCCCGCCCCTGCCCATGCCCCCACCCATGCCCCTATCCGTGCCCCTGCCCCTGCCTCACCCCTGCCCCAGCCCCTGCCCCCGCCCATGCCCATGCCCCTGCCCCCACCCCTGCCTCTGTCCCTGCCATGCCCATCTCTTCCCCTGCCCCTGCCTATGACCTTGCCCCTGCCTCTGCCCCACCCCTTCCCCTGCCCATGCTGCTGCCCCTGCCCATGCCCCTGTCCGTGCCCCCACCCCACCCATGCCCCTGCCCATGTCCCTGCCCCTGCCTCACCCCTGCCCCAGCCCCTGCTGCTGCCCCCACCCATGCCCATGCCCCTGCCCCCACTCCTGACCATGCTCATGCCACTGCCCCTGCCTCTGCCCCTGCCATGCCCATCTCTTCCCCTGCCCATGCCCCTGCCTGGGCATGTGGCTCCATCTCTTCCTCCAGGTGTCTGCTTCAACATCACTTCCCCGGAGACCCCCACAGGCTCAGGTCTCCCCACCACACACTTCGCCTTTGTGGTGCTTCTCACGATGGTCCTTAACTAGCTGTTTGTCTCCTATCTGCCCCGGCTGCTGGGCTGTGGACTCCCGAGCATGGGGATTTGGGGCTCAGTAAATATTTAATGAATAAATGAAAACAATGCAGTGATTTCAATCACACGAAAGATGACACGACGTGACTAGCTTCCTAATGTGCGACCAACATGCGATCAAACCTAACAGAAAAATCAGCCTATGTTCAAATAATAAAGATAAAATACTTAAGAGTTTACAAATGGCACTGAGAGACATAAAAGAAAAGGTCGTTTTAAAGGCACATCCAGCCCTTTGGTGGAGACATGGTAAAGGTGTCTGTTCTCTGATTAAACAACAAACCTCATACAACTTTAAGATGTCAATGATGGTGGAGGTGGGGGGGCCTTTTACTTAAAGGTCTTGCTACTTTGCAAGAGAAATGAGGATAGGCCCTGCACTCCCAGAAAAGGCGCAATCCCTGCCTCTGGGGGTCAGGAGATGGACCTGGCGTCCCAATTCAGACCCAGCCCACCACAGCATAGGTACCTCCACCAAGAGTTTACAGAAACGAGGAGGGATAGAGGCCAGCTGGTGGCATTAGGGCAGGATCAAGACAGAAGTGACAGAGAAAGGGGCTCTGGCCCACGGGACTGGGGAGACCTTCAGGCAGAGACACCCCTGCTGCATTGTTTCCTGGAAGACACAGAGTTATCAAGACTGCTGTGATTTTACACCTGAATTCCCCAGGCCTGCTCAGCTAAAACAGACATAAATCATACCAGGTCTCTCTCGACCCCGAGGCTGCCCCGTGGACAGACAGTATGGCTATCGAGCCGGCCTGCAGAGCCATTCACATAGCTGTGCAGCCAGGTACCATCCCAGGGCCTCAGGAAAGAGGTGGCCTGAGACCTCACCCAGCTGGGGCAGTAAGAACACACGGATGGGCGTGGTTGTAGTCTTGCAGCGAGCAGAAGCTTGCAGGATACTGGTTAGTATCAGAGGTAGAAGAAAAACCCCACGGAGCCTGTCACTTCCCAGGGATCAGTGCTGATTAAAAACCTTTACTGACCCTACCCAGTGGGTCAGGAAAGCCACTTCCACCGGCTTGAAAGAGACAGCCTCCCCCAATGGCTCCCATCCTCAGTTTGTATGCCAGGGCCACCCAGGCGGTGGCTGCAGAGGCCTGCACAGCAGCGAGGAGCTCACCTTGGACGTGATGTGGAAGGACTTGTGCCCGCCCACTGCGATCTGCTTCTTCATCACGCTGAAGCGGTTGAACCGGCAGAGAAGGAGGCCGGCGCTGTGCACGCGCAGGTTGAAGTCTACATCGTCACACATGAACCTACTCAGGGCCAGAGGAGGGGTGGTCTGAGGGGGTGCAGCTCACACCCTCTGCCATGACCCTCAGCACCCAGAGTGTGGGCCCCATCGTAGGGGGCTATGAAGGTGGAGTGGGCTTCATTCCTGCCTCCAGGCGTTCCTCTAGGGGGAATAGAAGGCAAAACAAACAAGGAAAAGCCCCAGGACAAACAGGGACATCTCTGCACCAGGAAAGGCACTGTGTACCAAAGGCTCAAGCCATACGAGGACCGCCCGTGATGACCAGAGGCCAGGGGCCAAGTGCACGTGAGAAATGTTACCAACACAACCTCATGCATCGGTTAAAAAGCAAGCAACAACAAAAAACCTGCCAGGGTAAAAACAGGAGCCACTTTATTTTTTTTTAGATAGTCTTACTCCGTAGCCCAACAGTGGTATGATCTCAGCTCACTGCAATCTCCACCTCCTGGGTCCCGGTTCAAGTGATTCTCCTGCCTCAGCCTCCTGAGTAGCTGGGATTACAGGCACGCGCCACCATGCCCAGCTAATTTTTGTATTTTTAGTAGAGACAGGGTTTCACCATGTGGGCCAGGCTGGTATCAAACTCCTGACCTCGTGATCCACCTGCCTCAGCCTCTCAGAGAGCTGAGATCACTGACATGAGCCACTGTGCCCGGCCCATGAGCCGCTTTTTAAAGCTAAGGAGAGTAGGGATCAGAGGTGGCCGGCCTGTCTGCGCCGCACAGATGGAACGCAGCAGAATCCAGGTTCCCAGAGGGCCAGTCAGTCTGGCTCCAAAACCAACACCCTTCCAGGGGCTACTGCAGGCTGTGGCCCACTGCCCAGCGTAGAGGCACTCCATGAACACGGAGCAATTGAATCCTCTAGAGATGTGACTAGGTATGCACAGAAACCTTTGGAAATTATCATTTCCTTCAGCGCTAAAGCTCCTAAACAGCCATGTATTTGGAGAAGGAACCAAAAAGGCAAGAAAAACACACAGTCCAGTTTAACTCCCTAAATAAAGCATCCTGGGAATTGCTGAATGAAGCTGAATGATCTGTGAATACTCAAAATTATTCAACATTTAAAAAACTGGGAAAACTGAGAACAGGGCCAGGCCAGTGCTCACAGCCAGGAACCCTGGTGCGCCCTGAGTCTGCCCTCACTCAGGGCTCTGCGCCCCCATACAGGCCGCCACCTCCTCTGCCCCGGGCACAGGAGCTCACCGGTTCTGGTTGTACTGCACGTTCTGGGTCAGGTCCACGTTGAGGATAATGAAGTCATGCACGTGGCAGCGGGCGAAAGGCTCCCGTACCTCGCTGGCCCGCGTCTTGCTGGACCACTTCCGCAGCCCCAGCAGGGCGTAGTGCGTGATGTTCGGGGATGCCTCGATGTGCTGCATGATGTGCTTCAAAGACACGTTCCTTTCCGACCAGGAGAACTCCCTGCTCGAAGGAGGGAGAGTGGGTCCAGAGGCCGGCACGCGAGCAGCAGGAAGTCCCTTGGTACCAGGCGGCATGGCACCGGCTCTCAGACTGCCAAGAACACTGGGATGGGCTGGGTGCCCCACACAGTCCCCCTGCCTGGGGGCCAGGCACCCTGCTGGGTGCTCCCCACAGGCTCTCATTTCTTCTATGTGCGGAACACAGGTGTAGACCATGATTTAGTCAATTTTCACAACAAACCCATTGCATAGGTATTAATCGCAGGTCGAGGAAACCAGAACCCAAATGATTTAGCCATTTGCCTGAAGTCATACAGCAAATAAAAATAAAGCCAGGAGTCAGCAGACAGGCTACTGAGGAGGGGTGGGGCTAGAGGCAGCAGGGAGTGCATTTCTGGGGGTAGTAATCCCCTTCTTGAGATCCCGTTCTTGATCTCAAGAGTTGGTTAAATGAACGTGCTCAGTTTGGGGAAATTCCTGTATATGTATTATACTTTCCTTTTTGTCTGTATATAATACTAAATGGATACTGTGTTTTTCTACATTATACATCAATAACAATTTTTTAAAACTAAAAGCAAGTCAGGATTGGCACATTTACCACGCGGCTCTGGCAACCACAACCACCCCTTCTAATATGAGAGGCCCTCCGGTTTTCCAGGGGTGGGGAGCATTCCCCACACAAAGAGGGCACACCCGCTCGTCAGCATTCACAGGGGAACAGGAGGTGGAGCTCTTGGCCACCTCACCTGCTTCTCTCCCCGGCACAGTCGACGTCCACCACATTCCACATCACGCAGGAGTCATCAGAGATCACGATGAAAGGCCAGATGTCCTGCGGCTTGATCCCCAGCTCCTCCTGCCGGTTCCGCTCAAGCTCCAGGTTATGGTAGGACAGCTCCTTGATGAGGAAATGGGCGGCTCCTGCAGAAGGCGAAGTAAATAGACTCAGGGCTGTCCTGCACCCACACCCACATCGGACAGACGCCACGCACATCTGCCGTCAAGGCCGCTCCGACAAACCAGCTCCGACCTTCCTGATGTCATCACCCGTCACAAACCACGGGCCACGGACTAGGGAGAGAAAACTGCAGGGAGGAAAACACCCTCTCCAAGCAAAACACACGTTTGCTTTCTTTTGCTTTCTTCTCTAACCATTGAAAACATCAATTTGGCTGGGCGCAGTGGCTCACGCCTGTAATCCCAGCCCGTTAGAGGGCCGGAGGCAGCAGATCACTTGAGGTCAGGAGTTCAAGACCATCATGGCTAACACTGTATAAGATATAAAAAGTGCTTCTCATTTTTCTTCTTCTAAACCCAGGAAAAGGACAACTTTCTTCTTCCGTCTCCCGCTTCTGTAGCACAGAGTTCCCTGCTTCCCCAGCCCAGCTTCAGGCTAACATACTTCCTATTAAACTTAATTCATTTTGATGAGAAGCACCCACGGTCTGGCCCAGTACCCTCCATGCACCCCTGTATAAGAGAGCCACTCTGGCCGGGAGTAGTGGCTCATACGCTAATCCCAGCACTTGGGAGGCTGAGGCAGGCAGATCACGAACTCAGGAGATCAAGACCATCCTGGCTAACGTGGTGAAACCCCGTCTCCATAAAAATACAAAAATTAGCTGGGCGTGATGGCTGGTGCCTGTAATCCCAGCTACTTGGGAGGCTGATGTGGGAGAATCACTTGAACCCATCAGGCGGAGGTTGCAGTGAGCCAAGATCATGCCACAGCACTCCAGCCTAGGTGACAGAGTGATACTCCATCTCAAAAAAGAGAAAATATCAATTAAATGGATAACCAAATACTGAAGGTGGGGGTGGGAAAGACTGCATAAAAAAGTCAAAAAAAAAAAAAAAGTCAAACAAAACCAAAGTAGCTTTAAAAGTCCAAAAGTAGGCTGGGCGCGGTGGCTTACACCTATAATCCCAGCACTTTGAGAGGCTGAGGCGGGTGGATCATGAGGTCAAGAAATCGAGACCATCCTGGTCAACATGGTGAAACCCAGTCTCTACTAAAAATACAAAAAATTAGCTGGGCATGGTGACGCATGCCTGTAATCCCAGCTACTCAGGAGGCTGAGGCAGGAGAATTGCCTGAACCCAGGAGGCGGAGGTTGCGGTGAGCCGAGATCGTGCCATTGCACTCCAGCCTGGGTAACAAGAGCAAAACTCCATCTAAAAAAAAAAAAGAAAAAAAAAGTTCAAAAGTAAAAGGTTTGATGTCACATGTTTAACTTCCGTCTCTAGAATACTCTCTCACGCGTTCATTCGCAGGCGTTTGACTGAGCAAATGATGTTAAAGGACACCCACCAACTCCAGCGCTGTTGAAGATGCTGGGGAGCACCAGCATGATGTGATTGGGCCAGTACTTCTTATAAATCGCCATCTCGTACTCCTTGACGACCAGCACGTGCAAATGGCTGGCACCATCCATTGCATGGTACAGATTAAAGAGTCCATGTTCGTGACGGCCAGTGGTTGGAGTGAATGTTGGACTTTTTATATATTCATGGCTCTGCAAAATACAGATATCATGAAGTAGACTGTTTATAAACGTGATCGCAATTATTCCCCTGACATGTGACTTTGCAGCATCTTCCATCAAAGAATGATGACCCTTTTCATACTCCAGGAATTTTCAGCCTTGTAATTTGCTTTTACCAGTAAAAGGGAGAAAAAATGACCTTGTGCCAATCCTGGGCATAACCTCTAGAGGACTTACACGTTCCGCTCCCTCTCAGAACTCTCCCACGCACAAGCCCGGGCTAGCCTGCTGGATGATGAGACCACATGGAGCAGGGCTGAACATCCCAGCTGAGGCCACTCTACACCAGCCAGCTCCCAGACAAGCTGCCAGCTCATTATCCACACGAGTGAGTGAGTACAACAGAGCCCAGAAAACCATCCATCTGAACCAAGCCCTAACTGCTAGCTCACAGATCCCAAAGCTAATGCTGATTTGGGAATGGTTTGTTAGGCAATGGCAACTAACTGGCATATAGCAATACGCCAAATTCATTACCCTCTCGTATTAGAATCTAATATTGTGCCCAGAGTACACATTATTCATATACGTCTTTAATTTTCTATACACTATGAACACACAACACCCCCCCCAATCACTGCCCTGTAGAGCTTAGCTACCCACTTGGGTTGTTCTATCTTTTACGTAAATAACTGTTTTCTTCAACTCCTTCCTTAATAATAAGTTCATCTGGCAGAGCTAGGCCATCTGCTCCCTCTAAATTCCTCAAAGCACCTGCCACAGCACTGTGGCTGCAGCTGGTGCTCACGGCCAGCTCCACCAGGAAGGCTGGAAGGTAAGCGGAGTGGTAGAGAAATCCCAGCTCTTCTATTTCACCCATAGAATTTCACCGCAACTCCTAACCCCAGCCCATGGGGTAGGAGGTACCTTACAATGAAGGCCTCTTGGGTACATTATACATATCTTCATTGCTTAATAACAGGCTGCTGGGTCTGAAAGGCCAGGTGCAAGTCCACAGGTGGCATTCTGGAGAAGGAAAAGCGGCCTTTCCACATGGCCTGCATTGAGTGGGGCTGGGTAAGAGCAGCCAGCTGACCCTGAGATGACCAGGTGAGCCCTGTCGGTTAAACCAACAGCTCTACAAGGAGCATCTCGACAAGAATGGTCAGAGACAACGGAGTATTCCAAACAATCTCATCAAAAGATAAAAGAAACGTGCCCCTTAGAGAGATACACTGAAATATCTACATCCAGAAATATCTCTAGATGTCGATATTTGTATCTCTAGATAGATGACATGATTTGAGGTCTGGGATTTACTTCCAAATAGGAAGGGAGAAGAGGAGAGAGACACACGGATAAACAAGGCTGGCCATGTGTTAGCAACTGCTGGAGTTGGTAATGGGCCCTCAGGGACCGCTGTACTGTTCTATCTGCCTAAACCTATGCCAAATGTTACCCACAAGAGCATTCAAGAAAAGAGGGAGCAGGTGAAATCTACCCAGCTCCTGTTATCTTCCAGGCACGGAGCTAGTACCTTTCATCAGTTATTCCAAATAGCTCTCACCACAAGCTTTTGCAAGCTACTACTGTCCGTCACTGCGATGAGAAAACCAAGGCTCAGAGATACTCAGTGATGTGTTCAAATAACTCAACTAGTAAGTGGTGGAGCAACGCTGAGGCTTGAACCGGGTGACTCCAGAGCCCGTGTGTGCCACCAGCCTCTCCATGTTCAGTCACTGTATTGGTGTCTGTGTTCCCTCGTCAGGCAGCTTAGTACCCATTTGAAGCCACTTGGATCTGCCCCACTGGGTCTCTGAGCCAGTACCTTGTCTGTCACGAGGGGCAGCCGCATGCTCTCCAGCTGGCCTCCAGGTTGGCTGAAGACAAAGTGGTGCTCCTTGGACTTGGGGATGATGAAGTGCAGCTGGATCTCCTCTCCTAGCATGGAGTAAGAGAAGGCAAAGGCGTGCAGGGTGGACTCATACAGCTGGGGTGCGGGGGAAAGGACAGAACCTGCCATCAGAGTCTGGCCTGCTTCCCAGAAGACCCCAGGCCCACCCTGCTGTGACGACATGCAGCTCACGATCACCTCTGCCCTACAGCACAAGAAACCCACAGGGTGGCTCCAGTGCCAGGTGCAGACACCCAGGGCTGGTGACGGGGCAAGCACGCCCGAGGGCACACACCCACAGCAAGAGCCTGCTCCTGTCCTCAGTCCGAACGGGGCCCCACCCAGCTGTGCCACGCAGGCACCAAGCTTTCTGGTCCTCCAAGCTTTGAGCCAGAATCCTGTTCTGGATCACCAACTACAGCATTCATGCCACAGAACTCATTTTTAATTCTCATAAATGTATTTTTCCATCATGGTTATGTGCCTGCACATATTAACACGAGCTGCATACGCTTGGACACTTCCAGAACACTGCTCGCCAGCCATGTTCTGTCCTGTGTGCTGTGAGGCACAATCCTACAAAGCGGTACTGTCATCATCCCCATCTTACAGATGTAGAAACTGACATTTCAGCACCTTGGGCTTCCTCCTCTCCGCAAGTCTGGCTGTGACCTTAGTCACCTCCTCCAGCCCCCACCTCCCCGAAGCCCCACATGCCGCATCTGTGCACGTGCTGCTCTCGGGTGTGACCTCCAGCCCAGCTTTGCCCTTATCCTCTTAGGCTCCCACCCCACAATTCTGCCCGTGGCCCTCCCTACTGACACCCCCTCCTAGCACGTGCTATGCATTCCAGGGTCCGCAGGGGAGGAGGCAGATCAGCACACACTGCCTTAATCTCTGCCACGGTTCTACTAGAGCCACAAAGCACTTTCTTTGGGAGCAGAGATGAGGGAGAAAGAGGTTTTGTTGGGGTGGGCGGGGCGGTTAAGGAGGCCACAACTGAGGCGGTTTCATTAATAAAGTCAAAGAGCCTTGGGAGGCAAAGGAAAAGAAAACAGAACAAGCAGGTGGACAGCCACATGGAGATGGCACCCCACCAGCTGGTCTCAGGCCTCCTCACCGTCCCAGGCACACTCTTCCTTCCACTGTGGCCCAGAGACCTGCACACCCCTGAGAACACAGGCCAGGCGCAGCCCAGCCGGCCAGAGCACAGGCTGCCTCTCCACCTCTCGCTCTGGTGTCTATTGATGCAGCCCGAGGGCCTGATGCCACCACTCACTCCTGACACTTACGGGGTGACTGGAGACTGAAAGTCATCATCAACTCCAGCCTCCAATTCCCCGTTCCCTACATTTCAAAATCCAGAATGTGTTTTCACATGTTTTCGTTTGCCTTGAAAGTAAAACTACGTGTCCAAGAAACAAAACGTTAGTAGAATTTATCTGGAACGAACGGGATTACTGATTATTTTGACCCTGAAAAAACCGTTTCTATGTTCTTTCTTTCATCTACAGTACAATTGCACACTCAAACAGTGCTGTGGCCCTGGCAGCCAAGCTCAAGGTCAGGCCGACGGGCTGTTTCTTCATTCCGTGTGGTTCGGGGGAAAAAAGAGGAAAAAAAAAAAAAAAGACGGCTTTTTCCCTCTGCAAAAGGGATGGAAAGAGAGGCCAGTGCTCTGGCCTCAGGCCTTTCTGGAAGCAGCCCAGGACATCAGCTACCCTACACGCCCCTGCTCCCAGCCAGGCATCTCACTAGCTCCCACCAACCCTGGCTGCCTCCCTCTGCCCCTCTCTCCCTTGCTTGGGCCTGAAATGAAGGGAAATATTCAATGTAAAATTCTCTCCCCTGTTTATAAATAACCAGCCTCATAGGCTTTCCAGACACCTCCACGGGGCTAAGAGACCAGTCTAAATGCAGCCCTGCCCACACTGGGCTCCACCTGCAGTTCCTGCTGAGAGTCCTTGTCCCTCCCCACAGTGCCCACCAGGCATTTTGTGGTCTGGCCTCTGCCTGCCCTTACAGCTTCCTGGCCAAGTGTACCTACCCCGAAGCCCAGGTTCCAGAAATACCCAACCCATGTCTCTTCCCACCCCCTGGAAACCCCACCTCCCCTCTTCCACACATGCTGTCCCTCTCCCTTCATCTTATGAATTCTTGGCCCCTTGGCAAATTCTTATTCATACTTCCAAGTCTTCTCTCCTCTACTCCCCACCCAAACAGGATCGTCATTTATAAAACAGGGACAATGAGATTTTAGTGTGAAGTAAATAGGACACTAGACAGGACCGTTCTCATCTGGCACACCTTGAATGGCTTGCAGGTCTGGCTTCACGTGACCAGCCAGGGCCTGAGGCAGCCAGAGCCCTGGGTCAGGATCCTTACCCATTCCTATGTGTCCAGGATAAGTATTTTCTATTGCATAATAGGCTGGGAGGAACTGATATATAAAAAGTGTCTTGGCACATTGCCGGCATGCAGTAGGTGCTCAATAAATGCAAATTCCTCCCCTTATCAATGGATTTCTGTGCCTCAACCGTAGGACTCTTTTTTTGCCTGCTTCACATCATTATGTTTTGCTTATGTGCAAATCTCCCTCCTAGGCTGAGTGTGGAGAATGGGGACAGAGTTGATTCAGCCCTGCCCTCCCAGTGCCTGGTACAGAATACACACCCAGTGAGCACCTGCTGCATTGGACTAACTTCTGAAATTCCTGGAACCTAAAAACAAGAACCACCTCCACAGTCGGGTAACTTGACCACTGATAAACACACAACCCCAGGAGAACTGCAGTTCTCTAGTTCCAGCAATAATTTCACAGACAATTGAAGGGAAGTGAGGATGCATGCAGATCAGGAGGCTAGGGCTTCCAGAACTCTCTACCTCCCACTCTGGAATGACAGTGTGAGCCAAGGTGAAACGCCTGGCGGGGAGCTGCTGGGGCCTACCTGGTAGCGGGGGTGGAAGCCCATGTACTGGTGGCACTGCTCGCAGTGGTGGTATGTGTTGTAGGCTGCGTACTTGGATAGTCTCATCCGTGCCGTCTGACGCCGCACGTAAAAGTCCTCTGGCTTCCGGGACATCCCTCTGTCTGCATCAAAATCCCCAGCATTAAAAACCAGCAGGGAGCAAAGCAAATACTATCCCCTGCTGGCTCAAACAGAAACCAAAATGCTCAAAATGAGCAGACAATAGGATTCTGTGTGGTTGGTGAGGACTGCTCACCTCCCCAGGCCCTGACGTGACAGCTGGTCAAAGGGACAACAAAGGAGACAACAAAGTGTCAGTGGGATGAACTAATAAAAGCAGTGTCCATATGTCTTACTGTGTACCCGAAAACATTTCACCAGCACCTATGTAAGGATCTACTACACAACAATTTAAATTGATTGCCAACTTAACATGCCAGCACTGAATGCGGACGAACTGCCTCTTGTTTTTCTTTCTTTTTTTTTTTTTTTCTGTTTGTTGGAGACAGGGTCTTGCTCTGTCACCGAGGCTGGAGTACAGTGGCAGGAACTCAGCTCATTGCAACCTCCACCTCCCAGGTTCAAGTGATTCTCCTGCCTCCCGAGTAGCTGGGATTACAGGTGCCTGCCACTACACTCGGGTAATTTTTGCATTTTTTTAGTAGAGATAGGGTTTTGCCATGTTGGCCAGGCTGGTCTCGAACTCCTGACCTCATGTGATCTGCCCGTCTCAGTCTCCCAGAGTGCTGGGATTACAGGTGTGAGCCACCAACCCCCCTTGTTTTTCAAATGACCTGGCAGATTTTAACACTCAGCCTTCATTAGAGACTGGCCTACAAGAAGGATCCTCTCGGAGGATAAATAAGTTAAACTTAGCTGACTATAACTTTTTATTTTACAACCTTTTCTCTCTTTAACTCTTTTGTAATAACACTTAAACACATTGTACAACTGAACAAAAATGTTTTCTTTCTTGATATCCTTATTCTACGGGCTTAATATTTTAAATGCAAGAGATCTATTCTGAGAGCGAGGAAGATAAAAGTTGTTGGTTTAAAATGGAGACTGGCGGGTCGTGGATATGGTTTGTCTGCATCGCCACCCAAATCTATCTTGAATTGTAGCGTCCCTAATTCCCACGTGTTGTGGGAGGGACCTGGTAGGAGAGAACTGAGTCATGGGGGCCGTTTCCCCAGCACTGTTCCTGTGGTCGTGGTTTTATAAGGGGTTTTCCCTTTCACTGGTTTCTCATACTCTCCTGCTTGCCACTATGTAAGACCTGCCTTTCACCTTCTGCCATGACTGTGAGGTCTCCCCAGCCACGTGGAACTGTGAGTCCCGTAACCCTCCTTTTCTTTATAAATTACCCAGTCTCGGGTATGTCTTTATTAGCAGCGCGAAAACGAACTCATATAGTCGTTTCCCTTCACATGGAATTTACCAAACTTTTCTAGTCTAAGTTTATAATCGCACTGGCCCCGGCACACTGCAGGTCACAACACCAACAGATGTTGGGGACCCCTAAGGGGGAGGGAAAAATCAAGACACTGAGGGAGGAGAGCGAGCATGTGTACTCGTTTCGACAATTCCAAATTAATAAGTAAACATACACCATCTTTTATTTTCTATTAACCAGAGCCTTCGGAATATTCTGATGGTGAAAAATCAGCAAGGGTGTTGCCATCATCATTTAGCACTTCCTGAGCAACAGGCCTTCGATTTGTGGGTTTCGCATTCCTCCCTTCTTTTCACAGGGAGGTGGGGACTTCAGTTCTGTACTAGGTATTGCTGGTTAATTCATCACCACCTGATTTCATGCCTAATAAAATCCAGCTCATCCCTTTAAGAGGCTGTGCCCATGCGCTTCGGAAGAAGGTGAAACAAGAGATTCAAAGTCTGACCTTCACTCTTAATACTCTGATAGTGCGAACAAATCAGGCTGGCATCTTCATACTTCGGGTCGTGAATGATGTAGTCAAAGGACAACTTCTTGAACAGCTCCAGGTCTGGCCAGGGATCACTGAGCTGGAGATAATGCCAGTCAGATTCTTCTCTGAGGTCTACAACGTTGGTAGAAACACAGATGTGACAAAATAGGAAGTGAAAATGATTTACAGTCATGCGTCGCTCAACCACACAGAATACGTTCTGAGAAATGCGACATCTGCTGATTTTGTCATTGTGTGAACATCCTAGACACAGACCTACACGGCACAGCCTGCGACACACTAGAATATGTGGTGTAGCCTACTGGTCCGAGGCTACAAACCTGTAAGCATGGGTGTCCAATCTTTTGGCTTCCCTGGGCCACACTGGAAGAAGAATTGTCTTGGGCCACACATAAAATATACTAACACTAATGATAGCTACTGAGCTTAAAAAAAAAAAAATCACACACAAATCTCGTAATGTTTTCAGAAAGTTTACAAATTTATGTTGGGCCACATTCAAAGCTGTCCTGGGCCACATGCAGCCTGTGGATTGGACAAGCTTGCCACATAGCACATTACTGCACTGAATACTGCAAGTAATTGTAACACAATGTGAAGAATTTGTGTATCTCGGCCAGGCACTGTGGCTCATGTCTGTAATCCCAGCACTTTGGAAGGCCAAGGTGGGTGGATCACCTAGGGTCAGGAGTTCAAGACCAGTCTGACCAATATGGTGAAACCCTGTCTCTACTAAAAATACTAAAATTAGCCAGGCATGGTGGTGGGTGCCTGTAATCCCAGCTATTCGGGAGGCTGAGGCAGGAGAATCACTTGAACCCAAGAGGCAAAGGTTTCAGTGACCCAAGATTGCACCATTGCACTCCAGCCTGGGCAACAAGAGCAAAACTCCATCTTGAAAAAAAAAAAAAAGGTGTGTATCTGAACATAGAAAAGGCATGGGGAAAATATGGTATAAAACTGAAAACGGTGCACTGTTCAGAGCAGGCACCACGCACGGAGCTCGCAGGACTGGCAGTTGCTCTGGGTGAGTCCGTGAGTAAGCAATGAGCTAATGGGAAGGCCTAGGACATGACCGTACACTACTGTAGACCTTGAAACACTTCTCTTAGGCTACACTCAATTTATAAAAGATAGTTAAAAGATAGTTTTCTTTCTTCAATAATAAGTTAACCTTAGCTTATTGTAACTTTTTTACTTTATAACCTTAACTTTGACTCTTTTGTAATAATACTTCGCTTAAAACAAACACAATGTACAACTGAAAAAAATGTTTAAAAATTTTAATTTTTCTACTTTCGTTTTTTTAATTTAATTTTATTTCTTGAGACAGAGTCTCACTCTGTCACCCAGGCTGGAGTGGAGTGGCACCATCTTGGCTCACTGCAACCTCCACTGCCCGGGTTCAAGGGACTCTTTTGCCTCAGGCTCTGGAGTAGCTGAAATTGCAGGTGCATGCCACCACATGTGGCTAATTTTTGTATTTTTAGTAGAGACAGGATTTCTCCAGGTTTGTCAGTATGGTCTTGAACTCCTGACCTCAAGTGATCCACCTGCCTTGGCCTCCCAAAGTGCTGGGATTACAGGTGTGAACCACCGTGTCCAGTCTGACTTTTAAAACTTTTTGTTAAAAACTAAGACAGACACACACAGACACACTCTCGCCCAGGCTTTACAGGGTCAGGATCATCAATATCACTGTCTTCCACTTCCGCATCTTTTCCCACTAGAAGGTCTTTAGGGGCAGTAAAACTTACGGAGCTGTCATATCCTGTGATAACAATGCCTTCTTCTGAAATGTCTCCTGAAGGACCTGCCTGAGGATGCTCTACAGTTAACTTGTTTTTTAGTAAGTAGAAGGAGTATACTATAATCAAAGTATGGTAAATACATAAACCAGTAACCGTTGTTTATAATTATCAAGTGCTATGTACTATATATAACTATGTGCTAGACTTTTTATAGTACTGGCAATGCAGTAGGTTTACACCAGAATCGCAATGAACACTTGAGTAATGCCTGTTGCTACAGCATCAGGATGACTACGACATCACTAGGCGATGGGCATTTTTCAGTTTCCCTAGAATCTCGTGGGCCCCCCGTCACAGATGCAGTCTGTTGACCAAAACCTTATTATGTGGTACATGACTACATTTTAAATGTGCACAAGAATGAGGCTTGGAGTGGAATTGTTATTGAGTCTAGGGGGTTGCTGGGAAACCCCATTATAACTGCAAGGCTCTTGACATATATTGTTTTCAGGATTGTTCTAATGAGGCGAGAATGGGCATTCAGAGCTATCTCCATCCACAGGAAGAGCCTTGTTCTCTGTTTGCTATAAGAATGGGTTTGCTGTCCTGTCCCTAAGTCTGACTTCCACTCCAGCCAGTCCTGACTCAGCAGACCTCAGCCCTGTGCTTCACCCCAGCACCATCCCCCAAGGTGACCACGCTGGTGGCCAATGCCAGCAGAACCCACATAGCTTCTCTTCTTGCCTCTATCTAAATGCCCCCAGCCAACATGGTTCAGCTTCTGCCACTCCACCTATAGAAAGCCTCTTGGGTGCTCCAGCCCTGGGGCTTCTCCCTTCCGATGCCAACAACACTCATGGCGCGAACCACATTTTTCCATTTGTCATACCTCATCTCACATGGCGATTACTGTAGTCTATGGTGCTTACTAAATGCCTGTAAGCTAAAAGGTAGAAAAATCCAGTTGGCCCAACTGCAAATGATAAAACATGTTGATTATATTAAATACATGTGCTACTATATCACACACATGGGCAGAGCGCCTGTCCATGGGAAGGCAGGAGAGAAATGCCTGTTCAATACTTAATAGGTCTTGGGCAGGTGCGGGGGCTCACATGTGTCATCTCAGAACTTTGGGAGGCCGAGGCAGGTGGATCACTTGAAGTCAGAAGTTTGAGACCAGCCTGGCCAACATGGTGAAACCCATCTACTAAAATATAAAAATTAGCCAGGCGTGTTAGCACATGGCTATAACCCCAGCTACTTCAGAGGCTGAGGCAACAGAATCACTTGAATCTGGGAGGTGGAGGTGGCAGAGAGCTGAGATGGCACTACTGTACTCCAGCCTGGGTGACAGAGCTAGACTCTGTCTTAAAAAAAAAAAGGGGGTGGGGGGGTGTCTTGGTGCTCTGTGTGTGTCACATTTAATCCCCATAAAACCCTATAAAACAGAAATTATCCCTATTCAACAAACGAGCACACCGAGGTGATAAGAGAGTATTTAAGAGAGTGGGCTTTAACACTGAACAAACTGGGATCAAATCCTGTCTTTATCACCGATATGTCCAAGAAAGCAAGGAGACAAATTCAACAGGGCTGCAGATTTCATCTGGAATGTGGTTCCAAACTGTGCGAAACCCTTGGAAAACCCAGAGCCAGGCTGGAGGGCCTCTTCCTTCCCAGGAGGGAAGACCGAGGTCTGGACGGGCTTCTTTGGCTCCAAATTTTCTCCAAGTCAAAACCGAAACACAGCCAACAGTGTCTCACCAAGTGCCCTTCAGACACTGGCGCAGCTGGCTGGCAACCTCTCCACAACACAGACAGGACTTGTCTGACAAGCTCTCTCTCCCAGCGCAGCAGATTCATTGACCAGACCAAGTTTATGAGCCCCTGGGAGGAGGGATGAGGAGGAAACAGAGGAGGTATTTTATATGAGCAAAAAGAGGTGCTCAAAAAGAGGCTGACCTCAATCAAAATAAACTCTGTTCTGGAAATGAGAACAAGATTTCCCCCACATTTCAGGTATTTCTATTTTGCCCCAAGACACTGACGTCCCTGCTCAGCCGCCTGAGTGAGAAACGTCCCCCGAGAGGTAAGTCTGCTTTGCAGAGGCAGCAGTCAAATCTAGTTCCATCCAGCCCTGCCACCACCCAGCTGGGTTCCCAAGCATGTGTTTTATCAGGAGAATGGAATATCTATTTCACACTGGGCCTAGGAAATTAACATGATAATTCATGCAAAATATCTAGTTCAGAACTCCACATGTGGAAGGTACTCAGTAAACACTTGAGTATTTGTAACTGTATCCCTACAGCAAAGGGCTGAAACTGAGAAAAATGACAAGAAAAAGATAAATAGCACCCCCTACAAGGCCCTGGGGATGAGTCTGATCATGAATCTGAGAATCCATCTAGAAAGTGGAAGATAAAATTAAAGTCACTTGAGAAAGTGATGAAGGTGATTCCAAGCCCATATAACCCCAATTGGGTAACTCACTGATATTGATCTCCTCCTCGTCATAGACATCCACTTCTGTGAGCCGAACAAGCATCCTGGACAGGACACTGAGGAACTGCAGGTAGGCACCTGTCTTCCCGATCTGTAAAGGTACAGGAGTCAGAGCCCACAGTGAAGACGCCCATCCACGTGCCAGGCACCAGCTGAGCCCCTTGGCATGCCTCCTGCCATCTGCCTCACTTAAAGATCCTGTCTTTAAAATGAGAGCCCCATGGATGCAAAGACATTTGAAGGGAACAAGTGTGGCAGGTGGACAAATGGACTCCCCTGAGCATGAGGCTTTCCTGCTTAAATCGTCGCAAATGCATCTCTAGATTGTAACTAGCTACATTTTTAAGCTGTTAGAAACAGCACTTTATCACAACCTGAAGAAAGCCTGCTTCAAAAACATAGCATACTATAAAACATAATGTCTTATGAGTCTTGCAAATTGCTTGTCTTAATATGTCTGTACAGGATAGCAACATTCATTGATTAAGACATAAAAAAAAGTGCTTCTCATTTTTCTCCTAAATCCAGGAAAAGAACAACTTTCTTCTTCCTTCTCTTGCTTCCTGTAGTACAGAGTTCCCTGATTCCCCAGCTTCAGGCTAGCATAACGCCTATTAATCTTAGTTTGTTTTGGTTACAACTGATTAAGAAGCACCCATGGTCTGGCCCAGGATCCTCCCTGCACCCCTGTATAAAAGAGCCACTCCAGCCAGGAGCAGTGGCTCATGCCTATAATCACAGCTCTTTGGGAGGCTAAGGCAGGCGGATCATGAGGTCAAGAGATGGAGACCATCCCGGCCAACATGGTGAAACCCCATCTCTACTAAAAATACAAAAATTATCCAAGCATGGTGGCATGCGCCTGTAGTCCCAGCTACTCGGGAGGCTGAGGCAGGAGAATCACTTGAACCTGGGAGGTAGAGGTTGCAGTGAGCTGAGATCGCACCACTGCACTCCAGCTTGGGCAACAGAGCGAGACTCCATCTCAAAAATAATAATAATAAATGAAAATTAAAATAAATAAAAAAGCCACTCTAGGGATGTGCTTTCCAAGCACTGAACCCAATGCCTGGTTCATGCTAGAACTCAGCAAGTACTGAAGAATGGAAATAACTTTACAGAGGAAAATATGACATCCAACCACAGAGAAAACACCTGCAATACAGATGACAGGCAAAGGCTAAAAACACATAATAGCTAAAGCACTTCTACAAATCAACAAGAAAAAGTCAAATAACCTAAAGGAAAAACAAATCAGAAAAACTGGAAAAGCACTGAAATAGAAGTATCAATGACCAGCAAAAATCTAAGACTCTGTCAGTCTTACTAATAAAATGTAATGTATTATTTTTCACCTATTAAACAGACAACGATTTTTAAATGATGCTATCCAATAGTGTGAGGGTATGAAAGAAAGGAGATCCCTTGGTAAGAAACATTTTCTTTCATCCTTTTTAAATCAGAAAAAAAAGTAATATTGTTCATTCTACAAGTTTAAGAAACAAATGGATACTGAACAGCATCCCAACCCCAAAGCCCAGCTCTGTTCCAAAGAGCGGATCCCTGTCCCCAACCATCCTCCTCCCTGCAGGCTCACGCCCAGGAGATTCTGCCATTGAGAGGTGAAATGGACTTTTGTCGTTAGGGAAACACCATGAGTTGAAGTAGAGCTGAGACAGGGAAACAGAGTCACCAGTTCTCCCTTAATGGTCCGCCAAACCCGGCAGAGAACAGAGAGTTTTGTTTCTATTTGTTAGAGCACAAGGAGGCTGAATGAGATGGCGTCGGGATGAGGAACCGGCGTCCGACGCACCCAGAGAGGTCTCCCGTCCGCCCCCCACATCACAAGGAGGAGGAACGGAAGCCACCAGCCCTGAGCGGCAGATGCGTCCTGCCCTCCTCCCCCTGGTCCAGGCCAGGACATCAGAGAAGATTCCAGCAGGGGAAGGGTGAAAAGTGAAGATGTGGAGGTGGTCGTCCCCGGGCCTGCCCTCCGGGTGGGAGTGTGAGGACACCCCGAGGCCAGGGCTGTGCTGGGGCAGCCAGCGACACCCACCTGAGGGGGGCCACTGAGCAGCAGCCTGCGGGGGTGGAAGCCATCCACGCGGCCCTCGGCCCGGTTGCCGTAGTCCATGTGGCTGGGCCGGGGCACCGTCCACTGCCGGTAGTAGAGGGACTGCTCGGTGGCTGTCATGGTCTTGCTGAGCAGCGGGCGGAAGGAGCTGGCCCACATGACCGAGGGGGAGGGCAGGAGGGAGGCGGCCTTGGGCAGGCCGCTGCTGTCGGTGGACACAACCATGTCATACACAAGCTTGGGCAAGAAGACGATGGGCGGCTGGCGGCAGGCCTTGGTCAGGGAGCACTGGGAGGCCTGCAGGACCAATGTGCTGGCGGCAGGCGCCGCGGGCGAGGAGGACGAGCCCGAGGAGGAGGACGACAGCTGGGAGCACGGTGAGGTGACGGACACCTGGACGCTCCTCTGGCCGGTCCTGAGGCTGCAGGCGGGCTGGGGGGTCAGCCCAGGACTGTGCCTGCTGATGGCCAACGGTGGCCCCTGACTGGCCCGGGGCCTCTGTTTCTCACCAGGGGCTCTGCCCTCCTCCGAGGGGCTGCAGGGCTGGGGCGACCTGGCATGCTCTCCCTGGGGGAGCCCCGTGGGCTGGGCCAAGGACTCACTGCCCAGCGCTGAGCCTGAGGAGAGACGAACCTACTCAGGGATGTCCCAGGAGTGACCTGTCCCAGGAGCAACCCAACCCCAGAGTGACCCATCTCAGGAGTGACCCATCCCAGGAGTGACCTGTCTCAGGAGTGACCTGTCCCAGGAGTGACCTGTCCCAGGAGTGACCTGTCTCAGGAGTGACCTGTCCCAGGAGTGACCTAACTCAGGGGTGACCTGTCTGAGGAGTGGCTTGTCCAAGGAGTGACCCATCCCAGGAGTGACCTGTCTCAGGAGTGACCTGTCCCAGGAGTGACTTGTCCGAGGAGTGACCCGTCCCAGGAGTGACCCATCTCAGGAGTGACCTGTCCCAGGAGTGACTTGTCTCAGGGGCAACTCGTCCCAGGATTGACCTGTCCTAGGAGTGACCTATCCCAGGAGTGATTTGTCCCAGGAGTGACCCGTCCCAGGAGTGACCCGTCCCAGGAGCGACCTGTCTCAGGAGTGACCTGTCCAAGGAGTGTCTTGTCTGAGGAGTGACCCATCCCACGAGTGACCCGTCCCAGGAGTGACCCATCCCAGAAGTGACCTGTCTCAGGAGTGACCTGTCTCAGGAGTGACCTGTCCAAGGAGTGACTTGTCTGAGGAGTGACCCGTCCCAGGAGTGACCCGTCCCAGGAGCGACCTGTCTCAGGAGTGACCTGTCCCAGGAGTGACCTGTCCCAGGAGTGACTTGTCCCAGAGGCAACTTGTCCCAGGATTGACCTGTCCTAGGAGTGACCTATCCCAGGAGTGATTTGTCCCAGGAGTGACCTGTCCAAGGAGTGACTTGTCTGAGGAGTGACCCATCCCAGAAGTGACCTGTCCAAGGAGTGTCTTGTCTGAGGAGTGACCCGTCCCAGGAGAGACCTGTCTCAGGAGTGACCTGTCCCAGGAGTGACCTGTCTCAGGAGTGACCTGTCCAAGGAGTGACCTGTCTCAAGAGTGACCTGTCCAAGGAGTGACCTGAGGAGTGACCCGTCCCAGGAGTGACCCATCCCAGGAGCGACCTGTCTCAGGAGTGACCTGTTCTAGGAGCGACCTGTCTCAGGAGTGACCTGTCCCAGGAGTGACCTGTCCCAGGAGTGACCCGTCTCAGGAGTGACCTGTCTCAGGAGTGACTTGTCCGAGGAGTGACCCGTCCCACGAGTGACCCGTCTCAGGAGTGACCTGTCCCAGGAGTGACCTGTCTCAGGAGTGACCTGTCCCAGGAGTGACCTGTCTCAGGAGTGATTCGTCCCAGGGGCAACTTGTCCCAGGAGTGACCTGTCCAAGGAGTGACCTGTCTCAAGAGTGACCTGTCCAAGGAGTGACCTGAGGAGTGACCCGTCCCAGGAGTGACCCATCCCAGGAGCGACCTGTCTCAGGAGTGACCTGTTCTAGGAGCGACCTGTCTCAGGAGTGACCTGTCCCAGGAGTGACCCGTCTCAGGAGTGACCTGTCTCAGGAGTGACTTGTCCGAGGAGTGACCCGTCCCACGAGTGACCCGTCTCAGGAGTGACCTGTCCCAGGAGTGACCTGTCTCAGGAGTGACCTGTCCCAGGAGTGACCTGTCTCAGGAGTGACTCGTCCCAGGGGCAACTTGTCCCAGGAGTGACCTGTCCTAGGAGTGATTTGTCCCAGGAACGACCCACCACGGGAGTGACCCATCCCAGGAGTGACCTGTCCCAGAACTTGCCAGGAGCTCCTGTTTCTGCCCCAGGCCCCCAGACCCAGTGGCTGCAGCTCTGGCTTTTCTGACTGAGCTCCAGCCTAAGAGGCAGGGCTTCTTTCAGTCCCAGAGCTCTGGGCTGAGGGTGAAGAGTGCTCAGGGCTGACTTCATCAGGGGCACCCGGGAGGGAGACGCCAACCCCCTTGTGCACAGGCGTGTGAGGTGAGGGAAAAAGAAGGGTGGCCCCAGATGCCTCCTGGCCGGTCTCCTGGTGGGCTCTGACCTCTCCACTCCCCAACCACACAGCAGCGACTCTCAGCCACTTCCCCAGCCACGACTAGGCACCCCCCACCCAACTGGGGCCTGCGGCCACCACGCCCCTCCCTGCGCCCAGGCCCTATGTGTCAGGCCCCTGAGCCTCTGGACACTCCCGGCTTCCTCCATTGCAACACCTCCGGCAAGGCCGGCTGAGGGTCAGCTGTTCTCTCAACCCCATGGTGGCCTCACCTACTCTGAAATCTGCCCTCTGCCTTGGGACAAAATTACAGACTTCTTCACATGTGGAACCATAACACATAACACACGTGTGTGAAAAATGACTACAAAATAACACGTCTTTTATGAGAATGATGAGTTAGCTTCCTGTGGCCGGTCTACATCTCATTTATCCTTCAGTGCCAATCCAGATATCAATAGGCCCTCATAATGCTTTCAGTGGGAAGACAGGGGATACTCTTTGATGTTTATGGTCCTGACTGCTCTGGAGGAGACGGGGGAGCCCTCAGGGCAGAGACCGTGTGGATCCCGTGGCGGCACTGCCCATCCACTGAGGCTCTGGCTACAGGGAGAGCTCGTGAGCTTGCGCTGCCTTTGCTGCTCTTCGCCTGGTGAGGTCTCCGTGTCTAACTTCTCTCCACCAGAACACCCTGGGCTCAGCTCCTCTCCCCACACGGTTTTCCCAAAGCAACTGCGGCAGGGAGAACACCCAGGGACCCACCCCTAGCACAGCCAGGACTCTGCCTGAGACCCCAGCCACAGTGAGGGGCAGAGTCCACGGTCTTCCCCTGAGGACAGGGGCAGCGGAACCCTACAGGCTTGCTCAGAGACTTCAAGGTCTCCAATCCCAAGTTCACCAGAACACTTACTCTCTAGAGAGTACAGTGCTTCAAAGATTTCCTTCTTCCCCGTTCTGATGGGAAATAAAGGATCAGCAAAAACCCCTACATATGTTTCTTTTCATCCTCTGAAACCTTAAAAACCAGTCCGCTGGTCTGGTCCTTCCTGCATGGGAAGACTCACCGGATGCCTTGGAGGAGAGGGATGAGGATGCTGAGTCGTGGGAGCGGGACCTCTCCCTTTTCACGGGGCTCCTCTTCTCCGAGGTGGAGCCTGTTTCAAAACACACATGCCGAGAATGCCCTGAAATGGTGACATCCCTGACTTTCACAGTATGTAAAGCGCATTCCCATGCATCCTCTCTCCTCATTCATTCACTCATTCACTCCATCTTCAGGGCCCCACCATGGACAGGGCTCTGAGGAGACAAGATGGGGTGGCTGGGGTGCAGGGAGGCGCTCTGGGTGCTGCGAACACTCCTGCCCATGAGGCACAGCTGCAAGCTGGTGGAGGAGATGCAGAGAGGGGTCAGGAAGCCCAGGGGGGAAGCAGGGCCTCTCCTGGAAGAGGGGGCATCTGGCCCTTGTCCTGAAGGGCCACAGCGCTTTCCAGGTGAAGCACAGAAAGGAAAACTGCAAGCAGCGGGAAGGGTAGCCGTGCTGCACAGAGGCCAGGAGGGCAGAGCACAGCCCGGGCACTGCGAGTTTCATGCAGGCCGGTGCCCAGTGTGGTGGGAGCTGTGGGTATAGAGGAGCAGATGGTGAAACTAAAGAAGGGGGTTTCTGAGACACCAGGGAGCGTGGAGACGTGCAGCAGACACCCACAAGCGGAAGAATTAAATCACGGTCTCTGCTGTGCTTGGAAAAGATGGCTACAGGTGGGCAGGCCTTTCCATCTGCATGTTACAGACGAGCGAGCTGAGGCTAGGAGAGGTCCCACAGTCAAGACAGAGGAGGGAGCCCACAGACCCGGGCTGGGACCCACCCCCACCTCCTTCCACTCCAACACACTCCACAAACGCTCTCTAGTTTTTGTCTGACCGTCTATCTTTCTCATCACATTATCGACTATAGTCAATGCCTTGCAATGTTATCATTTTATGTGTCCGATTAAAAAGATGGCTCCAGATTTGAAGAGTCTGCAAATGAGCCTGTTTTCATAAATCTCAATAACGGACGGCACGCAGTGGAGTTGATTCCCACAGGAAATAAGCAAGCAGATCACACGAGGTCGGAATGCCACCAGTGAGTGGAACAAGAACAACAAGAAATCTTGAACTTCAACTCTAAGAAATCTTAGTTTTTCTTCCTATTAAGAATTCTAGAACCAGGAAGAACCTCTGGGGATTTCCACCTTCTCACACCACCAAAAGAGACGGGGAGAAAATAAGCAAAGTCTGAATTCGATGAGAGCTTTGCCATTCCAGCCCACACTGGAGACCTGGCATCCAGAGCTGCTGTCCAGCAGACAGGTCCCAGGACCCTGCTGTACTGGAGACAGCCGTCTCCATGAGCACAGGCAGCCTCAAAGCTCAGAAGCCAAGAAAGATGTGAAGTCGGGGCACCTAGGCCGAGGGAGCCACCCCTCACCTTCTGTCCCCAGCTCCTCGTCCTCGTTGTCCGTGCTGCTCAGCTTCTCTGCGTCACTCTCCAAGGCCTCGCTCCGAGCCCCCTTCTCCAAGGGAACCTCGTTGCTCACAAAGTAGGCAGCCAGGCCCAGCTCCTGCTCCAAGGCTGTTCTCACCAAACAGGAGGAGTTTATCAACCGCAGGTCACAGTACCTCAAAGACCTAGCAAGACACAGAAAAAGGCGTCTGTTGAGGGCCTTCCACCAACGGGGTGCTGTTCCCATGGCTGCAGGCAGCACTGATCAGGACCACAACCTGCTTTCCCAGTGAGAACCCAAGGACTCGTACATGTGGAAGAGCTAACAGCGTTACAGCAAGCTTGCAGCGACAAACTCAGTATAACCATGAATATTTGGGGGCACCCACTATAGATTTAGCCCTGTGCTGCACTAACTTTTGGGTCAGAAAAACAAGGGGGTTGAACCTGAGCTCTGCTACTTTCTAGCGACAGAAGCTGTGACAAGCTGCTCTGATTTTTTCATCTGGAAGATGGGAATGAGTATTGATAACCATCTAAGTGCACTGTGATAAAGATTAAATGTAAGCAGTGGGCATTTAATCATTCAATCCAAGTGAACACATGCCAGGGTACTAGATGCTAGAAATATGATGGCAATCACAGCAGACACCAAAGGCCAACGGCGTGCTCAGACTCAGCAGCAGAAACACAACCAAAGCAAAGGGCTTAGGGAGGGGTGTGTGAGGGTTCCAGTGGGGCTCTGAAATGAACTGCTCATGTGACCTCAAGCAAATGATCATCCACTGACCCAATCATAAAACAGGATGGACATACTACTGCTGCAAGGAGTAAGCTTTATATGAGAAGTCTATCACGGGCCCGGCATGGTGGCTCACACCTGTAATCCCAGCACTTTGTGAGGCCAAGGTGGGCAGATTACCTGATGTCAGGAGTTTGAGACCAGCCTGGCCAACACGGTGAAACCCCGTCTCTACTAAAAATGCAAAAATTGGCTAGGCGAGGAGGCGCATGTCTGTAATCCCAGCTACTCAGGAGGCTGAGGCAGGAGAATTGCTTACACCAGGGAGTTGGAGGTTGCAGTGAGCCGAGATCGCACCACTGCACTCCAGCCTGGCAGAGCAAGACTGTCTCAACAGAAAAAAAACAACAAAAGTCTATCGTGATGCCTAGAACAAAGAAGGTACTCAGCAAACGCCTGCTAAAATTTCAAATAGATTAATACATTGTCTCAGTCCTTAAGGAGTTGAAGAAGAATTCATCCACATGAAATAGCAACAACCCAGGTCAGATGTTCTGGAGACTCCTTCCTCTGGCCCATGAGTGTGCAGCACGCACAGGGCCATTTGCTAAAGTGTGGGGCGGTCCCAGAGGAAGAAGCCAGACCTTCTTCTGCTGCCTCAGCCTCCCAAATAGCTGGGGCTACAGGCGTGTGCCACCACATCTGGCTAATTTTTGTATATTTAGTAGAGATGAGGTTTCACCATGTTGGCCAGGCTGATCTCGAACTCCTGGCTTCAAGTGTCGGCCAGACTGGTTTAATCTCGGCAAGCCTCAATTTCTTCATCCGTAAAATGGAACTACTGAAATAGTACCTTTCCCCCAGGATTAAGGTGAGAGTAAAATGAAATAAAACATACAAGAAGAATCTAGGACAGTGCCCAGAACGTAACAGGAACTCCATTGATGTTGGCTTTTGCTATCCTGTTACACAAGGACAGGTGTGCAAAGGCCCCGTGGCAGGCAGGCTGCTCTTCTCCATGGTAGGAAGTCTCTAAAAGCCAACCGGTCACTACCAATCCAAGAAACTGCCTTACAGGAGGCCCAGTGACCTGAGTCTCGAGTGTCTGCGTGTCTGTGTGATGGCCTAGAGACCCCCGACCACCAGGGGACACTGAGTGGACGCATGGCTGAGACTTTGCAGGCTGTAATGGCTTCAGAGGGACATGCCCTTTGAGACAGTCCACTCTGTGCTGGAAGAACCAGCTCTTCCCAAGCAGCGTCAGCTGCCCCCTTCCCAGAACGCCTCCTAAGCAGGGAGGGCCCAGGCATTGCGGCGGCCTAGGTGCCAGCGGGAACTGGGCTCCAAGCCCTGAAGAGGACTGTCCCAAGCGGAAGTGCCATCCCCAACGCACGCAGGGCGCCTCATGGGGAGAAACTGAACTCAGGAGACATTAAATCCTGGCTCTAGCTGCCTCCACCACAGAGCCCAGCAACAGCCCTCACCACGAGCCCAAAGAGTGCCTTTCTGAGAATCAGGAAAAGCTGCATGGATCTTAGGTACCTGCTGGGAAAGCCCCAGTGAAGGCCCCACCCACATTACCCGTCAATGCCAGTGGTGCTGCCTCCCGGCGGGGCCCCTACAGCCCAGCCTGACATGCTCCCCTGAGGGGGCCCAGGCAGCCAGCTCCTCAGAGACCCAGGGGCATAACCCCTCTACTCACCTTGGCAAGGACTCCCCGTGCGGGTCCATCCCACTGAAGATCAGGATGCAAGGCAGACCCTCCAGCTCCAAGTAGGTCTGGGGTCTCCACTCCACATCCTCGATGTTCTGCCACATCTGCAAACAACGAAAAAGAAATAAAGCCACAGACACCTCCCTTCCCAACCAGCCCAGCTCAGGGGAACACTGATGGCCTCCCACCAATTCAAAGTCCTGAACTACATCCTCTGATCAAAAGGAAATTGATTTAGACTGGAAATAAGCACACCATCGCTTGGCCACTGTATTTTCAGTTGTCTAGAACATGTAGACTAGCCGCCCAGAACACGTTCAAGACGCCTGTCGGCCGACGAGCTCCATGAAAGAAAGTCTATGTTGTCAGCGGCTGTTCATATCTATTTTTAATCTGAGACAGAGTCTCACTCAGTCGTCTAGGCTGGAGTGCAGTGGTGCGATCTCAGCTCGCTGCAATCTCTGCCTCCCAGGTTCAAGCAATTCTCCTGCCTCAGCCTCCTGAGTTGCTGGGATTACAGGCGTGTGCCACTGCATCTAGCTAATTTTTGTATTTTTAATAGAGACGGGGGTTTCACTATGTTGGCCAGGCTGGTCTTGAACTCCTGGCCTCGTGATTTGCCCACCTCGGTCTCCCAAAGTGCTGCGATTACAGGTGTGAGCCACCGCACCCGGCCAGCGGTCCCTTACGTCCGCCCCGTGCTCTCTCCTGATGGTGTCCTCCCTTTCATTGTTGTTTTCCACTCCTGTGTTCTTTCCCCAGCCCTCTTGCGTTTGCTGCCACCTGCAGGTTGAGCGAGAACCTACTGTGGGCCAGGTGCTGTGCTAGGCTTTGGGGGCTGAGTTCTGTGGGGATGGCCCTTGCCCCCCACCGTCTGGGGGAGGGGCCGGATGACAAGCAGGGGGCATGGCACTGCCCTGTGTGTGGTGGAGGGGGAGGGCATCTTCCTGAAAGAGGAAAGACGCCAAGCTGAGTGCCGCAGGAAATAAGCAGGGCAGCTCACACCTGGAACCCGGCACTTCACGGGCTAAGGCAGGAGGATCGTTTGAACTCAGGAGTTTGGATCAGCCTGGGCAACATATTGAGACCTTGTCTCTCCTAAAAATTTTAAAAATTAGCCAAGTGTGGTAGCACACGCCTGTGGTTCCAGCTACCCAGGAGCCTGAGGTGGGAGGATCCCTGGAGCCCAGGACGTCTAGGCTGCAGTGAGCTGTGATCAGGCCACCACACTCCAGCCTGGGCCACAGAGTGAGACCCCGTCTCAAAGGGGGAAAATAAAGAAGCATCAGCTAAACAAAGAAGAGGGGAAATGGATGCTCAGGAAAAAGAAAGCAGGCTGCTGCCCAGAGGTCTGAAGTCGTAAGGCAGTGCTGCAGGGGTGCCGGGGTGCTGCCGGGGAGGAAGGCAGGGAAGCACAGTGAGGAGGCTGGGGGCGGCTGGGTCTAGGGAACCCATGCTGGCCATGCTGGTGGGGGGGGTTGTTGCCACTCCCTGCCTCTGATTTCCCAGGTACCCCCAACCCCTCTACCCATCCCTGTGCACAGCATCTACCCTGAGCTGCTTCACAAAGTGCTTCCCCACGGTGACGCCCGAGCTGGGGCTGCCCAGGATGATCTCGAAATGCTCCTCCAGCGCCAGCCGGGCCCGCACGTGGGCCAGCCGCTCATAGGCCACGGCCGCCAGGGGCGAACAGGGCACCCGCAGCAGGACCATGAGCCCGTGGCCACAGGGGCACTGCTTCGGGGAGTTGAGGAGGTTCTGCGTGATCTCCAGCGTCTCCACCGATGTGTAGTTCTTCATCTGCGGGAGGCCGCTCACGGCCATCAGGGCGGCCGCGTAGTGCTGCACAAGAACAAAGGTCCTGATCACCGCGCTGTGCAGGCGGGGGAACCTGCAAGGAACACAGAGAGACCATGCCCGTGACGGCCGCACCCACCGGCCTGCTGCTGCCAAGTCACCCGAGACATCCATCACTCTGGCACAGGCAGCTCCCACACTATGCACAGTTGTGTGGCCTCTAGAAGCCTCAGGTTGTGGGAACCTGAATGAGAAGCCTTCTTTATTTTTGTTTTCCTGCTGGAGAAAACAAAGGATGATACAATCCTTTGTTTTCTCCAGCAGGAAAACAAAAATATAGGTTTGTTGTTGTTATTGTTTTTATGTTTTTCAGCATTTGGCACTTATATCTGTCCAATGAATGAGCAGAGCAGATGAATGAATGATATAAATGTCTATTTTGTCTCTGTCAGTACAGTGTGTAGTTCTCTGAGGAGGTGGCTAATTTGCCCCAAGTTCCTACAAGAAACAGGAGAACCACCAGCAATCAATACGGAAATGCAGCTCCCAGAGGCCCTGGTTCTAAAGGTACATCGCTGTGTTCACATCAATCACAGTGAATCATTAGAGATACAACTAAACGTATTTTAATTTGACAGATGAATTACAAATCAGAACTTATCCAGCCAAATCAAGAATCTCAGTTTTTGCTTCAGAAACTGTGGTTACTGTCTATGTCCCTACACAAAGGTGGTGGCTGCTCCTGCGACCACCTGCTCTCCCAGAGTGGCTCTGACTGGTTAGAGTCAAACAGACCCCAGGGCACCAGAGAAAAATTCAGGCCCCTGCAGATGACGGTGCTTCTCAAAAGGCATCAATAAATTCGTATCCGGTTTATGCACAATGTTCTTCTGGGTTTACTGAGCTGGAATGAGTCTCCCTGACTCTAGCTTTTTGAAGCAAAGGTAAGGTAGTTTCTCGACCCACAAAAGTGGGTTCCATACCACGGCCATGCCACCCTGTGAGTTCTATCAGGGCAGCCAGCTCGCCTTCCTGCAGCACCTCTGACAGCATTTCTGACATCGTGATGACATCCCTGCCCCTTCTTCCTGGCCATCCTCCTCCTTTTCTTCATGATTCCTTCAGCACTACATCCACTTTGCAGGTCACATAAGCTGGAAGCTGGCCTGGCAAGCTTGCATTACCAATGCTGTCTCGGGAAGGAATAACTGGTTCACAGACTCTGGCATGAAGGGGACTCAGCAGCCCAGGGATTGCTCTACTTATCCCTGGTGCAACAGTCAAATAATGCCCAGGAAACGGATCACCTGAGGTCAGGAGTTCGCAGCCACACTGGCCAATGTGACAAAACCCTGCCTCTACTAAAAATACAAAAATTAGCCAGGTGTGGTGGCACACACCTGTAATCCCAGCTACTTGGGAGGTGAGGCAGGGGAATCATTTGAACCCAGGAGGCAGAGGTTGCAGCAAGCCGAGGTCACACCACTCTACTACAGCCTGGGCAACAGAGCGAGACTGCATCTCAAACAAAATAAATAATAAATAATGCCTAGGAGGAAAGAAGGAAAGTGCAGTATGGAAAATGGCCTCTGCTCGGAGGACAGAGACTTCTGCTTCTGGCAAGATGGAGCAGAAGGGATCAGATTTATCCTCCCATCTGAAACGACTGAAAAACTGGAAACATAAATGAAACAACTGCATTTCAATACATCGGCCCTTAGGTAGTGAAAGACAGTGATTCTAATGATGTGAAACAAATTAAGTGAGCCCCCCAGCTTCTGCCTACAGTTTCTGGGGTGCACTCAGGAAGAGGGAAGCCAGGCAAAGCTCAGTGTTCTCCCTGAGTTGAGGGAAAGTATCGGATTCCAGGAAAACCAAGGCGTCTAGAGATCACAGGGCAAAGTACCAAAGAGGAGAGATCTGCAGAGGTCCCCCTAAAGTCTTCAGCTGATATAATCAGTGCACAAATGTAAGGAAACGACCCACAGCCAAAACAAGAAACCTTTGGTTGCAAAAGAATTAAAAGGAACAATGTCTCGAGCTCATGTAGGGCTGGGAATAGTTCCTGTTTCAACACCCAATATGGAACACCTTGGAATCACGAAACACTGTAGAGAACTTACTCAAAGAATTTTGTCTCAGTAATGGGCAAAGTTAGTGCTACATTAAATCTGGTCCTCCCTAACAAAGTCTAAAAGCAAGACCTAGAAGGATTCAACTGTGTCCAAGTAACTTAGCTGTATCCCAGAAAAAAACTCAGTATTTATAGACATACAAATATATCTAGGGCCCAAGAAGGCAAAATTCACAATGTCTGGCATCCTCTCAAAAATTACCAGACATGTAAATAAGCAGGTAAGTATGATCCATAATAAAGAGGGGGGAAAAACAATCAATCAATATAAACTGATCCAGGAATGACACAGATGACAGAATTCATAGGATGGCAAAATTAAAACAATTATTATAACTATATTCTGTAGGTTTAAAAATCTAGAGGAAAGACTGAACTTGTTGAGTAGAGATATAAAAAAAACACAAATCAAATTCTAGAGATGAAATCTTCAATGTCATAGACAGAAAATAAACTAGACCCTGAATTCTCATGGGAGCTATGATCTTTGTATGTGACCTTGCCCTGCCAGCCACAACAGACCTGTTCAGGTATGGAAACCCACCTCAGACTGAGCCAGTCTTCTCTTGGGATTTTTCAAAGTATAAGAAAGAATAAGTCCACCTCTGGAAGCTAGAGATTGTGAGACTCGGCATGAAGCAGTGGTAATGTTTCGGTGCACAAGGAAGCCACTGTGCACTGAGATACAACAAAGCCATCATACCAAAGACAACATGGTCTTGACAGGGTTTGAATACTTAAATTGTTCGGTATCTCTGCTGTTCTATGGGTATTTATTCAACCTTTCCTATTATTTTATGAGTCAATACATCCCTCTTTTTTTCTTAAAAGAGTTCAAGTTGAGTTTCTGTTACTTGCAACAAAGAGTCCTGGTTAATAAACACAGTAACTGTGTATCATCAGTGTGTATCTACATCAATGCATGTGACACCTGAAATTGTCTTCTCTTAGGAATCTTGTCATAAAACTGTGCTTTTGTAAAATATATATATATATAATGAAATTGGCAGCATATTAGATAATGTAGAAAATAAGATTAATAAACTTGAAAACACAAAATAGAAACTAAAATGCCCCAGCACTTAAGTATGTCAAGGCAGGAGAATCACTTGAGGCAAGGAATTCAAGACCAGCCTTGGCAATAGCACAAGAAAAACTTTTAAAAATTGGCCAGGCATGGTGGCATGCACCTGCAGTCCCAGCTATTTGGGAAGCTGAGATGGGGAGATGGCTTGAGCCCAGGAGTTTGAGGTTACAATGAGCTATGATTATGCCACTGCACTTTAGCCTGGGCAACAGCCCTAGAAAGATTCAGTCTCTAAAAGTAGTAACAGGCCAGGTGTAGTGGCTTAAGCCTATAACCCCAGCACTTTGGGAGGCTGAGACAGGCAGATCCCAAGGTCAAGAGATTGAGGCCATCCTGGCCAACACGGTGAAACCCTAACTCTACTAAATACACAAAAGTTAGCTGGGCGTGGTGGCGCATGCCTGTAATCCCAACTACTCAGGAGGCTGAGGCAGGAGAATCACTTGAACTTGGGAGGTGGAGGTTGCGGTGAGCCGAGTTTGTGCTACTGCACTCCAGCCTAGTGACAGAGCAAGATTCCATCTCAAAATAATAATAATAATAAAGAAGCTAAAATCAAACAGAGGGAAAATAATAAATAATCAGGGAGCTATGGAATAACTTCAAGAAGCCTAAGATGTGTGTAACTGGATAACTTTAAAGGGGGAGAGAGTGGAAAGCATAAAAAATATTGGAAGAACTATGGCTAAAATATTTTCATATCTGGTGAAAATTAAATTAATTCCAGCATAAGAAACATGATGAAAACTACAAGGTATATCTACACAAATTGCTTAAAATTCAATAAACTTTTAAAAAGTTAAATGCAACCAGTAAGGTGGTCAAGGAGACATTATATAGAAAGATACAAAGGTGTGGACAGCAGATTTCTTGTTTGAAACAATGCAATTCAGAAGACAGTGAAACAAAATCTTTAATGTACTCAAAGGGGAAAAAATGTCAACCTACGATTTTATATCTAGGGAAAATATCTTTTAAAAATGAGGTAAAATAAAGACTTTTTTAGATACACAAAAGCTGAAAAATTTCATCGTCAATAAGAAATGTGAAAGAAAGTCCTTCACATATAAGGAAAATGATACCAGATGGAAATCTGGATTATGCAATGTAATGAAGAGTGCTGGAAATAGTAACTACATGGGTAAATATAAAAGGTGTTTTATGTTATTTAAATAGCTTTATAAGACGATTGACTGTCTAAAGCAAAATTACCGTGGAGTTTTTTTGCTCCAGAGAAGTAAAATGCACGACAACAAAAATACAAAGTCTAGGCAGGGAAAAATGAAAGTATACTATTATGAAATTTTGTACATAAAGTGGTATATCATTTGAAAGTAGACTGTGATAAGTTAAAAATATATACTATAAAGCAACCACTAAAAATCACAACAAAGAGGTATAGCTGAGAGAAAGATGCACAAAGAGAAAGGGCGAGAAAGAGAGCATTAAATAAACAGATGAGACAAACTACAGGATGGCAGATTTAAACCCAGCTGCATCAATAACCACGTTAAATGTAAATGGTCTAAATATTCAATTAAAAGGCATGGATTGTCACATTTCATAAAAAAGCAAGTCTCAGCTATAAGCTGCCTACAGGAAACCAAATTTAAACAAAAACAAAGAGAAACATGCTCAAGGTAAAAGGGTAAAAAATTATAACCTATAGTAACACTAGTCAAAAGATAACTAGAATAACTATATTAATATCAGAAGAATAGATTATAGCACTACAAATAATATTCTTTGGGCCACTTGAAAATAATAAAGGAGTCAATTTATCAAGAGACCAAAGATGATACACAAATGGCAGATAAACATAGGAAAAGATGTTCAACATCATTAGTCATTGGAGAAATTAAAATCATAAGCTACCGCTTCATACCTATTAAAATGAATAAAATTAGATATACTGACCATCAGGTGCTGACAAAGATGTAGAGCAACTGAAATTCTGATGGGAATGTAAAATGAACTACAGTTGACCCTTGAATATCACAGGTTTGAACTTCAAGGGTCCACTTTTATGTGGCTTTTTAACCAAATGTAAATTAAAAGTACAGTATTTTCTAGATGTCCACTTATATGTGGATTTTTTAACCAAATGCAAATCAAAAGTACAGTATTTTCTAGATGTGAACTCCATGTACATGGAAAGCTGACTTTTGCTTACATGTGGATTCCAGAGGACTAACCGTGGGGCTTGAGTATTCATGGATTTTTGTATGGCAGGGACAGTTCTGGAATTAACCCCCCATGTATACCAAGAGACAGCTACACTTTGGAAAATAATTTGGCAGCTTGTTAACAAGTTAAACACACACCTGTGAAATAACCCAGCCACTTCACAACCAGGTGCTTACCCACGAAAAGTTAAAGTATATGTCTAATCAAAGCTTTGTACATGAATGTTCGTAGCAGCTATATCTGTAATAGCCAAAACGGAAAAACAACCTAAATGCCTCTTAACCAGTAAACAAACTAGTATGACCATAATATTCTATTCTAGAATACCAAGAGCAAAAAAGAACAAACTATTGATACATAAAAGAACACAGAGGAATTTCAACATAATTATACATAGTGAAAGAAGTCAGGCCAAAAACAGAGTGCAGATTGTAGAATTCCATTTATATAAAACTCTAGAGAATGCAAACCACTCTGCAGTGAGAAAAGAACCGGAGGAAGGAATCACAAAGTGGCAGGAGGAAACTTTTTTTCATGATTTTGTGGTGACCATTTTACCAGTCTATATGTGTATCAACATGTAAATTGAATACTTTATGTATGGTCTACTGGCTGTCAGTTAATTCCCCAGTAAAGCTGCTGTGGAAAAAAAGAAAAAAAAAATGATGACAAGCATTGTAAGCAGGAACTAGTGCCCAGCTCCAGACGGCACCCCTTAGGTCAGACACATCAATGTACCCCAGCTGTGGCTCAGCAGAGAACTATGCTCACCCCTAGGCCTCTGTGGTAGGTCCTAAAGGAAATAAGTTCCATAGACAATATATTAGAAGAAAAATTGGAGTTGCCAAAGGTCTAGACCTTCTGTTTTTAAGTCACAGTAGGTTTGTGTCCAATTGGCAGTCCTACAAGCAGTTTTCCCAGCTGTGTGCTGGTGTTTATGACACACGGAGCACTAACAGTCTGGCCACACACATGGTGGCAAGCGGCAGTAACCCCATGTTCTAACCTTTAACTCCTGTGCAAATTACAAGTTTCAAGAGAGTTTTCCAGACAAATGATCCTAGCAAAGGCAGTGTGGTATGGTGGGAAGACATCAAACCTGTTTATAGTCCATGTTGCCACCAACAGGCTGCATGAACTCAGGCAAAACTCTCACAATCTGGGCTTCGGTTCCCACAGTTATAAAATGAGGTGGTCGGGCCAAATAATTTCTAGAAGTTCCTATGATTTCCCCATACTTCAACATTCCAGGGTTTGATACTGTCTTCTCACCCAGTGAGATATGAGATTTAATCTCTATGTAATACCTCTAGTTTAACAGAGGGGGAGAGCGAAGGGAGGATGATGATGGTGAACAGTGGTGGAGGTGGTGGTGGTAACAGCCAACAGGAGCATGTAACGTTTGCCAGGCCCTATTTCCAACGCTTTACGTGTATGAATCCATGTAATCCTTGTAGTATCTCTATGATGTAGGTGTTATCATCCCCAAAGAAAATCAAGAAACTTTCTCCAAGTCTCACAGCTGGTTAATGGCAGATTCAGGATTCAAACCCAGGAAGGATGATTTTGGAGCCTGGGCTCCCAGCATGCAAGTGTTACGGAATGTGCATACATACATTATCTCATGAAACTGTAAGAAGCCACTAGGAAGGTGGATTTGTTCTACAGGTGAGGGTACAGAAGTTGAGACAGGTAGATGATTCACCAAGGTTAAACTAACAGAGGGTAAACCAAGATATACTGGCATGGTGGGCACAGCCTACCCTTTACTAGCTGTGAGACTTTGGTCACTATGGCTTGGTGGCTGCATGGTTTTGGAGCCAAGCAAGAAGGGTTGGGGTCCAGTTTCACCATAACCCCCCCATGTGACCTTGGATAAGCGGCCTAACTTCTCTAAGTCTCTGTTTCTTCATCTGCAAAAGGAGGACAACAGTATTTCCTATCTCACTGTGTCACTGTGAGGATTATTTCAGATAACGGAGTACCGAGCCCAGTGTCTGCAACATACTAAACACACCACCTGTGTTCACTGCCTGAGGAGTGGCAGAGGAAGGGCAAAGGCTGGTTTTCTTGCCTCAATGTGAAATCTTGGAGGGCTTTTTCATGCAGCAAGTTGATGAGAGCTCAGCTGTCGATCCATGAGTTGGAGAACTAACCTGATCCATTTCTATCAGTGTCACAGGACTGAACAGTATCTAAGAGATTTAGTTTCTCCAAGAGCGTTCTGGGAAAATCTAATCCCAGCTACTGGACACATCTCTAGCCTTCTGGAGAATTATAGCATGTATGGATGTGTTGAAGGCTCCAAGAACTCTCATGGAAAAGAAATCCTTTTCTTAAGTGTTTCTCAGACACATCTGGCCATGGAGCCCCTTTACACTTAGCAACTGTGAGCATCCAGCCAAAGCAGTACACCTTGGAACACATAGCTTGAGAAGGATATGTCTACTTTCATCCCTTTGTCTGCAAATGAGAAGAATGAGGTTCAATAAGGGGAGCAAGCAGAGGCCAGCTCATGCTGACAGTCAGTGGCATTTTGTTCAATGGCATTTTTGCTTTGCATTAGATCATCTATAAAACGTGGCCTGTTTTATAGATGATCTTAAAATCACTTAGCCTGTCTGAGCCCCGGTTTCATCTATAAAATGAGGTCTGTTGCGACACGGTTGAAAGGGCTGGCTGTGCAGTCAGATTGACTCTGGGTTCTCACCCAATTCGGTCACTTGCTAGACATGTGGCCTGAGAAAGCTATGGGGCCTCTCCAAGCCTCAGTTTCTTCATTTGTAAAATATGGATAATAGGCCAGGAGTGGTGGCTCACACCTGTAATACCAGCACTTTGGCAGGCTGAGGTGGGCAGATCACAAGGTCAGGAGATCGAGAACCATCCTGGCTAACACAGTGAAATCCCACCTTTACTAAAAATACAAAAAATTAGCAGGCTATGGTGGTATGTGCTTGTAGTCCCAGCTACAGGAGAGACAGGAGAATCGACTGAACCAGGAGGTGGAGGTTGCAGGGAGCCAAGATTGCACCACTGCACTCCAGCCTGGGCAACACAGCGTGACTCCGTCTCAAGACAAAAGTAGCTGGGTGTAATGCTGTGCTCCTATGGTCCCAGTTACTTGGGAAGTTGAGGCAAGAGAATTGCTTGAACCTGGGAGGCAGGGGTTGCAGTGAGCTGAGATCACGCCACTGCAATACAGCCTGGGCCACAGAGTGAGACTCCATCTCAAAAAATAAAAATAAAAATAAAAAATAAAAAAAATTAAAAAAAGAAAAAAAAAGAAAAAAAAATATGGATAATAGTAGCAAGAGGCTCAGAACGGCAGTGAGGATCAAATCAGGTACTGAAAGTAAAGTTCATGAAAGAGTGAATGGCACAAAATAAACATTCAATAAATGATACGCATCAGAAACCAAAACGAAGCCAACTGTGATCATCACCGCAGTTTCTCTCAAAGCTTTTGTTACCTTCCTCCCATTTTCCCACCCTCCCTTGGCTCAAAAATGTGATTCCACATTCCAGCATATTTTTTGCTCATTGTCATCTCTAAAATTTTCTAGAGCAACAGCATGCCGAAGGTATCACTGACCCAAAGGGATTCAAATATTTCTTCCAAATAAGGGGAAGAAAAAAGACAGGGTACATTTAATGGAGAAACCGAGTTACCCTTCCTGGAATTCCCTGGCTGGCTAAACACACCTCACTTGCCTTTAAGCTACTGAGCACTTCTAGCAACTTAGAAGAGAGACAAATACCTTTTTCCTAATGCAGTGACCATGGCCTCAAAGGAGCTATCATATCTGAGCAACGGAAGGCTGTGTCCAGAAACGGTGGATTCAATAAACTCGGACAGCCCAAAGTACTTCTTATTTTCATGATATAACTCCACTCCCTAAAAGAGAGAAAAGCATTGATCACTCAAACACTGCATTTGCAGGGATTCATCTAAATCATGCCTACTGTGCAGTCCCTTGGATGGCATTTTATAAACTTCTTCCATCTGCAGAACCAGAGCAAAGAATGCCCCATACTTTAAAGATGGTGTATTCCCATCACTCAGGTGTTTTCCCTTCATTTGATCCCAATGTCTTTACCAAGAATAAAATCAGCCTTACCTTTTTAACATACAAATTTCTTTGTTAAAACTGCTTCTTTCTATAATCTTAAACTGGTTTGAGGAATAGGAAAATCAACTATCGTGCATTCAGTTGCTACTAAAAATCGATAGACAAAGAAAACGTTTATCTAGCCAATTTTACTCACACACACATCAAATTCCAAAGTTGAGGGAGTTTGTTGAAAATATAAAGGCATGAAAATTCTACCCCCAAATGCACAGTGGTTAAGGGCCGAGCCATGGAGCCAGTGGCCTGGGTCACGTCCCACCTCCATGACTTTCTAGCTGCCTGGCCTGAGGCAAGTGGCCAACTCTCTGGGTCTCATGTTCCCCATCCGTAGATGATAACTCATCCTAGCACCTGCCTCCAGCATGAGTTCACAGCAGGAAGCACTTTGGGCAGGGCCTCCCTGGCTCAAGGTAAGTGCCTTACGAGCAATGGCTATCGCCACCACGAATTCTCAGTCCACAGGACGGAAGCCAGGTTTTTTTTTTTTTTAAGTTTTTCAGAGGACTGAGAGGCACACCAAATAAGTCTCATCTTCTACATTTACTTATTCCTGTGTAACTAACTACAAACCTCCTGGAATTCTCAAATTACGAGACTTTGGTCAGTACGGCTTGGTGGCTACGTGGTTTTGGCGCCAAGCCAGCAGGGTTGGGGTCCAGTTTCACTATAAACCCCCCGTGTGACCTTGGACAAGTGGCCTAACTTCTCTAAGTCTCAGCTTCTTCATCTGAAAAAGGGGGACAACAGTGTTTCCTATTTCATTGGGTCACTGTGAGGATTATTTTAGGTAACAAATAATTATTACTGAGCCCAGGATTGTTTCGGTCTTCTATTCTGATGAGAAAATGCCAGGTGATAAGCTAAAAACTCACTGAGTTTTGAGGGTATGTGTTTCGTTTGAGGAAGGAGATTCTGCATCTCACTACGTAAGGAGGCAGGGATGGGGAAAACAGGAACCTTCCTAGGGCTTCCAGAGACACTGAGTTGGGCTCTGCATGGAGCCCAAAGCCCCCAGCCCTTAAGGCCTCTACCTTCAATATCTCCATCCAATGCCATAGAACAAACATTCCGAATCTTGCTCAGACAGCTGCGGCCACCAGAGAAAATGTCAATCAAACGGCATTACATCTTCCAAGAGGAGGAAGCCAAGGGGCGCCCTGCAGGAAGGTTTCCACAAAGACCAAGAAGGGTCTACACGTAACCCTGGGTTGAATCAAAGATCCAAGGAGCTGGAACCCATCCTCCTCAAATACGCCAGTCAAAGCTTTTACTAAATGTAATTTCTGCCACCCGAGTGTCATTGCTAAGTACAAGGGCCTGGCAGCCCTGTGGCACTCACATTGCTGCAGGAGGCCGGCCAGTGGATCTCGTTGTAGGGGCTGATAAGTGTGTGCTGTGTCTGCAGTGCATACGGGAAGGAGGTCACGTGCAGTGTGACAATGTTGGGGGCCTCCTTCACCTCCCTGCAGTTGAGCAACCGGTCCACCAATCCCACCGCAGGGTCACTTTGAGAATAGAGGTTGTGAACAGCGCTACTGAGGGAGGAAAAGACACAGTGAGCGGAATTACTATATTTTTTTCGAATTTTCCAAGGATGAAGCAGTTGAATCAATTTATAACTAACCCCTGGCTTTGCCAACAGTTGAAGATTATGGCTCCGCCCATGACTAGGAATAGAGAAAAAATGGCTGGACTTCAGGTCGCTGTCAGGGACTCTCCTGAGACTCATTACTTAGGGAAAATGTGCCTGCGGGGGACAGTAGTCAGAGGATTTCTCAGAAGACACACACTCCGTCTACCCCATCAGACAGTGACGTGTCCCCGGGAACATTCCAGGGATCATCTGTTCCTCTTTGGCCCCATCTGATTATATACTTACCTCCTTACAGAGTGCTTCTGACTTTGAAATGATCCAGAAAAGATGTAAAGAGTCAATTCTATAATCAGTTTAAAAGGCAGCACAGAGGGACTGGGAAGCATTTTGGACAAGGGTCTAGGAGCCAGGCCCAGCGCTGCACTTCTCGGTGGGGCAAACGCCTCTGCGTTCTCTCCTGTCAGTCTAGGGGATTTTTTTTTTAAATCAGTGCTTAACCCTTTGGATGGCAGGAAGCCACTCTGAGGAACTTACCCTCAAAATGAATATTCACAATATAGCTCTTTCTACAATTCAGGAATATTCCGATTTCCCCCAAACCCATACATGGATTCTAGATGGTAGATCCTTTACGAGGTGATCCTTCAGGTCCTGACCAGCCCTAACTAACTGTCTGTGGATCTGTGACCATCGAAGTCTTTCTTCCTGGCCTGGCCCAGGAGCCCCGTTCCTTCCTCATCTGTATCAGTGGAAATGTCTGAATGAACAACCCCTAGGCCAGTCTCACGGAAGTGACCAGTCCTGGTAAACCACCAGAAATCCTGCCAGACTCTCAGCTTGGCTCATCTGAAACTCATCGGGGTTTATGTTCATTTCAGCTGAGTAAAATCGCTCCTTAAGAAGGGCAGGCATCAATGGTGACCCACGGTACCGGGGCCCACGGAGCCTCTTTCAGGGAAGGACTAGGCTGAGCTACTCCTGCTAGGACCCTCCGCACCCCACACCTGCATGGCTCCTTGTGGTGAGCGAACTATGAAAGAAACACATCAGGCATCAGGCTGTGATTCAGGGCCTCGGCTCTGCCACTAACACCCTGCCCTGTGACTCTGGGAGACACGTTTCCCTTCTCCGGCCCTTAGATCCACCATGTCAAAGTTCAGAGGTCGCACTAGATAATCTCCGAGACAACTTCCACCTCAGGACTGTGGAAACATGCGTGGCATCTGCTTACAAACACCAAACCCAAACCTCACCCATCTTTTCAGGACTTGTACCCTCAGCCCTAGTGAACATCCACATACAACATTTCAAAGAAGGAAAATGTCAGCCCGTCACATATCAAGTCCGTCTAACCTCACAAGATCCCAGTGTGCGTGGTCGTGGATCAGGACAAAAAGTGTGTGCGGGTTCTGGAAGGAGTTTTGCAGAAAAGCCTTAAATTTTGTCTGTGCCTCCGCGTCTAGCTTCAGAACATACTGTTCCACCCTCTGCTTGGTCATGTGCTCTTTTTCCAGGCCAAGTTCCAGTAAAACTCCTGCAACACAACAAAATACATCAGTAACTCCCAACACGCTCACTGGTTTTCATTCACTTGACAGACACCTGCTGAGCAACTCCTATACAGCAGGTACTGAGCTAGACCCAGGGATGTGTGAGTAGGAAAAAGTAGGGAAAAACTCCCACATGGGTTACAGCTGCATTAACAGTCCCGCGCAAGCAAGCAGTGCTGCAGCCCGGCTGTGTGTACAGCAGCCCTTTCTAGGAGCACCAGCTTCAGGAAGCAGCTGATCCCAAGCCTGGTAAGAGAGAGAGAACTGAAAGGTCCCACCAGCAGCAAAATCCCTCTCTTGGACTGAATGCCATGGGGCTATATATTATGCCACTAAATTTGAGTCATTTCAGTGAAGACACTGGACATCTGTGTCCTCTGTGGTTAAATACGATATCCTTGAAAGTACAAGGAAAATCCATTCAGTGAAGCCAGAGAGCAACACATGGTGAGGTCACCAGCCTGAGTGGGACGCCGTGAAAGTTCAAGTTTTGGCTCTACCTTCAACAGATCCTAAAATCTGGGGCAAGTCACTGTCTCTGAACATCAGTTTCACAATCTATAAAACAAGAGCAACAATCATTGCCCCATCCACTCGATAGCAAAGAACGGCGTCAACATCCAAACATGGATTTAGGCAGATCAAAGCTTCTCCACACAGGCCACATGACTTGTCCCCGAAAGGCCCCATACCTGAGTGCCACACGTGGAACAGAGTCTGCTGGTAGGTCACTTCTGAGGGCGGAATGCAAATTAGAAAGTCCACCTTCTCAAAGAATCCCAAGTCCAGATTTTGGGTGCTGGAATCCGCAATGGAACACACGTGGGAGAGGAGCTTCTGTGCCACTGCCAACTGGAAGGGCCGGATGCTGTGTGGCTCCAGGTGGTAACCTGGAACCAGAGCCCCAGAATGCCAGGTGAGCCCCAGGGCATGTGGCTACTGTCCAGGCCCTTGGCCAGAGAATCAGACAGCGAGACTGGTCCAGGGGAGACGGCCCCATGCGCAAAGCGACGAGGGAAAGGGGAACAACTCAGGTTTATCATTTATCAAGTGCCTGCTCTCAGCTGAGCGGTGGCGGGTGTGTGGGTAGCAGTTATTTTAGGAACCATTCTTCACTTAAAAACAAGAATCCACCACTTGGGGACCACAGAGGAGGCAGCGGCCTATCCTGCTTAGCGAGGACAACGAGCCCAGCCCAGGGGAGGTGACGCTGAGACCGGACTTTGGAAGAGGACTGCAAGCTCTCCAGAAAAGGAAATAAACACGACAGTCATTTAGGAACTCCGCAGGAACAAAAAACATCAGCAACAGACTTGGAGGCAGGAAACTGGCAGAGGAATCCGCCATTTCAGCAACATGGAGGGACGTGCAATTCAAGATTAAATGAGATTGTCACAATTAAAGACTGAAGTTTAAATTAGGGATCAGGTCTACTGTGACACTAAAGAGATGTCCTGTCTTATGGGTGTGCCTCCGACATTGCTACCTCCAACCTGAGCCCCGGGATGCTGCCTCCCAGGCCAGACCCAGGCCCTGGACGATGCCCTCTCATCGCTCACCGAGCACTCATGAGCCCGCTGTCCCCTCAGCATCCACTGAGCACACCTGTGCACCCACCCCTCACTGTGCACACCTGTTCATCTGCCCCTCACTGTGCACACCTGCACCCCCGCCCCTCACTGTATACACTTGTGTCCCGCCCCTCACTGTACACACTGGCACCCCCACCCCGTTTCACTGTGCACACCTGCACCCCTGCCCCTCCCAACGTGCACACCTGTGACCCCGCCCCTCACTGTACACACCTGTGCCCCAGCCCCTCTCACTGTACACACCTGCATCCACACCCCCGCTCACTGTACACACCGGTGCCCACTGCCCCCCTCAATGTGCACATCTGTACCCCCTGCCCCTTCCCCCCACCCTGAGAGGCTCCTTTTCACCACTCACTTGTGCACACCGGTGTCCCGCTGACCTCTAGGGATGCTGCTTTAGTGACAGAAGAGGCAGTGAGTGAGGAAGAAATATGGCCTTGATTTTCCTGATGAAATTTGTCCAGCAAAATGTCAATGTCACCCTCTGCCCAAGACAGAATAAACAAATGGGTTTTCCGTGTCAGTGAAATTTAGCAAAAATCTACAGAGCAGTTAGTGTCGGGTACGGTCCTGAGGCCTGGAGTCACAGAGGTAAAGAGGATGTGGCCTGTCCTGTCAAGGGGCCTCAGCCTAGTGGGGATGAAGACACACTGTCAGAGTGAGTCCCCACGACACAGCAGGTGCTAGGGCAGAAGGAGGAACAGCATGTTAAAGGACAGAGGGGAAGGTCCTAAGCCCATCTGGAAAATGAAGGGTCTGAGAAGCTTGCTGGGGGGACATGGGATGAGTCTTGAGGGGTAGGGAGCTAGGCAAACAACAGAGAAGGATGCTCACCGCCCAGAGCACAAGGGATGTGGAACTCTCCAGGAAGAGGGAGAGAGGGGGAAGAGAGGCCACCAAGGCTGGAGAGGTGCAGAGGGACGGGCACGAGGGCCTTGTGCACCCCACGGAGACAGGACCCACATGGTGCCCTCCCCACTCAGGGGAACTCTACAGCCGGAGCAGGAAGAGATGGCCAGCCAGAACCCACAGCTGTCACTCAAGAAAAGAAAGGGACAGAAATGCCAGTGCACAGAATGAGGGGCACTCTAAGTGGACATCGGCCTCAGCGGGTCACAGGCAGGGGGCAGAGGTGACCTCCCCTGGCAGTGATCTGTCCCATTAATCTCTGCATGTGCACCTGTCCCATGACAAGCCTACCTGGACAGAGGGTGCTGAAGAAAGCCCCCAGCGAGTCCACCTTCCCCGTAACCAGCTCGTAATTGACTTCCTTCTGGTACTCTGCTGGGGTGAGAAGGCTCTCAGAAAGAATCCGGGCTTGGTATTTTCCTGGAAAACAAACAGCTTTCACTGTGCCGGTTGTATCTTCCCCGTTTACTGGCCATGTGACCCTGGACCAGTCCCTTAACCCTTCCAGACTCACATTTCACATCTGGAATCTGTGGCTGACAGCAGGATCTACGTCCCAGGCCTGCTGTCAGGCGACACATGACGACGGTGCCTGATGGCAGAGGCTCAGAGTCTATAACTGAATGCACCACTCACATCAAGGTAAAAAATTGACAAAAAAACACAGACTAGGTTTAAGATTAAAGAATGCTGGTCAGGTGTGGTGGCTCACGCCTGTAATCTCGACACTGTGAGAGGCCAAGGTGGGTGGATCATCTGAGGTCAGGAGTTTGAGACTAGCCTGGCCTACATGGTGAAACCCCATCTCTACTAAAAATGCAAAAATTTGTTGGGCATGGTGGTATATGATTGTAGTCCCAGCTACTTGGGAGGCTGAGGCAGGAGAATCACTTGAAGTCGGGAGGCGGAGGTTGCAGTGAGCCGAGATTGTACCACTGCATTCCAGCCTAGGCAACAGAGCAAGACTCCATCACACACACACACACACACACACACACACACACACACCAGAATGCCAAAAGACAATTCAGACACTGCACTTAAAAAGTTAAATGCCAGTTGCAGTGGCTCACACCTGTAATCCCAGCACTTTGGGAGGCTGAGGCAGGCAGATTGAGGGAGCCCAAGAATTTGAGACCAGCCTGGGCAACATGACAAAACCCTGTATTGTAAAATACAAAAATGTGAGCTGGGTGTGGTGGTGTACACCTGTAATATCCCAGCTACTCCAGATGGAGGTTGAGGCTACAGAATCACTTGAGCCCAGGAGCTCAAGACTGCAATGAGCCAAGATCTTGCCACTGGACTTCAGCCCAGGAGACAGAGCAAGACCCTGTCTTAAGAAAAAGTGCACTAAATTGTGCATTTTTAGGTAAATTTTACAAGCTACAAAAAATCCCAGCTGAAAATGCACAGCACCCGAGAAGATTTAAGCAGGACAAGAAAGCCCATGCATTTGGCCTCTGTCTCCCCCACCTAAAGAACACTCCGAGCAGGCAGAGACTGCTGTGCTCCCCGTGGGACCCAGCCCTGCACACATGGGGCTTCAATGGGTGTTTTTAGAATTAAATCAATTGGCTAGGCACAGTGGCTCACACCTGTAATCCCAGCACTTTGGGAGGCCTAGGCAGGCAGATCACTTGAGTTCTGGAGTCCAAGACCAGCCTGGGCGACCTGGTGAAACCCCATCGATACCAAAAAATTAGCTGGGTGTGGAGGCATGTGCCTGTAATCCCTACTACTTGGGAGGCTGAAGTAGGAGAATCTCTTTAAGCCACGAGGCAGAGGTTGCAATGAGCCAAGATCACGGCTCTGCACTCCAGCCTGGGCAACGCAGTGAGATCCTGTCTCAAAAAACAATTAAATTAATTGGCTCCTGAAGACAACACAAGGTCATTGTTTTTGGGGTTTTTTGTTGTTGTTGTTTTTGAGACGGTTTCGCTCTGTCACCCAGGCTGGAGTGCAGTGGTGTGACCTCAGCTCATTGCAATCTCTGCCTCCCGGGTACAAGTGATTCTCCTGCCACAGCCTCCCAAGCAGCTGGGACTACAGGCGCATGCCACCACGCCCAGCTAATATTTTTGTATTTTTAGTAGAAACGGTTTTTCACCGTGTTAGCAGGATGGTCTGGATTCCTGACCTCATGATCCGCCGGCCCCGGCCTCCCAAAGTTCTGGGATTACAGGTGGGAGCCACCACACCTATCTGGTCATTTTTTGTTTGTTTTCTATTTTTTGTTTTGTTGTTTTTTTTAAATCTCCAACAGATGAGTGAAGAAACAGGGCCAGAGTGCTGGTGTGAGTGATCACCCACGGTGGTGGAGCCAGGTTTTCAACAGGGTCTTTTCACACTCCCAAGCTGACCCCAGGGTTAACCTCATCAGCCACTCAGAGCAGGGATGAGCTTGTAACTAAGCCATTATTCAAGGCTGCCTTCCAAAGCCAGCTACTGAGAACAAGCCGCAGGTGTTAACTGTTGCTGCAAACCCAGGCCCGGGAGAAAAAGGGAGAGAACCACCAAAGTGGGGGACCGGGAATGCATTTCAGGGGGCTTCCCCGCAGCTGCGCGGCCCAGCGCGCTCACCAGTGACCGCGATGCAGGAGTCGATGGCCGCGCTGCGGCAGGCGCAGATGATGACCACGTAGTTGGTCTTGGCGAGCTTGCCCTCGACCAGCAGCCGGAACATCTCGGAGAGGCCCTCGGCCAGGGAGTAGGCACACTCGATGACGTGCACGCTGTCGTTGCAGGAGCTGGCGGCCAGGCTGGCCAGCCAGGGCAGCTGCGCGGAGGTCACCGGCGCCGCGGGGCCGGGCGCGGGCGGGAAGGGCTGCGGCGGCGCCTGCTGGTACTGCCGGATCTCGGTCAGGTGCGACTCGCGCCAGGAGCGCAGGAAGATCTGCTCCAGGTCCTCCATCAAGGGCACCTGGTCCGCGGCTGCAACACAAGGCGGGCGGAGGGCCTGCCACAAATGCCAGCGGCATCGCGGACGCGCGGGTGCAGTGACGTGAACGTACCCACCTCAGTTATTACTGTGAAATCGTACCACATTCGGCTGGAGCACGTGACGAGGGCCTGAAATCCACCATAATCTCACCGGCCGAACACAGCCACGCTATTTTTGTGTATCTCTCAGTCTTTTTTTTTTTTTTCCCCATATGCAAGTTTTTTTTTTAATTATAAGATGATTTGTAAATTTATTTTTAAGATTAAGCATCGTCTTTGAAAATCCAGAAACACAGTCCTTGCTCTCCCTCTGGCCACATACACCTAAAACAGTTAAAAGTCATTCCTCAATTTTCAAGACAAAGGAGGGAAAATGAGTATGTTCTCAAGCTGCAGTTCAGCTTGGCTGGCCTCTTTTCCAAAAAACATCTTACTTTGCTACCAAGCCACTCACCAACTCTAAGGAAAGACAATTTTTCAAAAAGCCAACAAAACCCAGAAAAAGGTAATAGGTATCAATCTAAAATTATCACCCAAAACACTCCTGCTGCAAAAAAAAAAAAAAAAAGAAAAAAGAAAAAAAGAAAAAAAAAGGTAGGAAGCAAAATTCCCATAGCTTATTGGAGAAGGTCTTTAAAAAGAATCAGAAAGTTAGAACTGGAACTACAGAGTTATAGACAGGTTACACTGTCACATGTACACAGTGGTTAATGTGTAGAACATTCAGCCTGGGAATAGATTAGGCTTTCCCCTATTCCAGGAGAGGGAATCAGAACCTGTGTTGCTGGAATTAAATATGAAAATTGTCCTTAAAAACAGCCTTATGATTGTCGGTATAAACTTTGGGTCTTACATTCTTTCCTTAACCGTGACCCTATCATCAGTTTCAGTGCCATTTCCAGCCATCATAACGTGTGCATTAGTGTGTCCATAGTGTCCCATCATATGTAAGTGCCACCATTTACTTAGCAAGGTCTCCACTGTGGATTCTCTTACTTCTTCTAAATATTCACCTTTATAAATACCTCTGCAACGCACATCTCGATGTATAGAACATTACTTCCATTGCCTGAATTCTCAAAAGTGGATTTACAGAGCCAGCTAATACGTATCAGCTCGCTTCCAAATGGCCTGAACGCATCAGTTTACTACATGAACGGTGCTTTGACAAGCCATGGTTTTATTGTACCTAAGCACCACGTACCATCATTGGGGTTATTAATTCAGAAAAAGATTACTTGATTTGTGATTTGCATGTCTTTGATGGTGAGTGAGACTGAATACTTTTCAATATTTGTTTCCTTCTGGCATTTTCTCTTTTATCAATTGTCTGGTTTATATGTCCGGATTTCACATTTGATGAGCTGGAACAAGGTGTGCCAGGCTTTTATTTAGCAGGCAGGTTCCAGCCCAGCTCTATCCACACCAGCTGTGCGGCCCTGACCTATCTCATACGGTTTCCTGATACATAACATGGGGTTCATGCCACCTGCTCTGTGGGCCGTGCCAGAATTTGATTAAATTAGCTTTTATATCTGTCTTTGATTGGATGAATTTGTCTGAATTCATTACTTGAATTAGCTAATCAAATGAGAATTTAATTAGATTAGCCATCACCTCTCTCCCATCTTTAAAAACTTTCCTTTGAGTACACATCTCCTTCTAGAACTACCTGGTGGGGGAAGTTCCAGAACTTTCTCCACCTGGAGCCGTATGCACGTGCCATACTGTCTCCTCACCTCCAGTCTCTCTAAGCCACTCCAATATGACTTTTATCCCAATCTTCACGTACATCATCGCCAAGGCTGCCAACTGCTTTCCATGGTGAAACCCAGTGGTCAGGGTCCAGTCTTCCCTCCACTAAACTCCCGGCCACACTGGCATGGTTATCAGTCCCTCTCCTTGGGAATGCTTTTTTCACTGCTTCATACCAACACACACCTATTCCCTCAACATAGGTTTGCAGACTGTCGACTTGAGCTGCGGATGCTGGGGGACATCTGGAAAAGGGCTCGCTGACCATGCCTGGCCTCATGGCACTTACACCCTAACTGGGGGTCACACACTTCAAGGGAACAATCACAGAGCGTAATTCCTGGTGCCCTAAAAATAAAGGGAATAGGATAGGACCCTGGAGGACGGAAGCTGTCTTACACACGTAACAACAGGGCCTTGCTGGGAAGATGACGGGTGACCCTAAACCTGAAGGACATGAGGGGGCCATACATGTCTTTGGCAACAGCACGTCACAGGGAAGGAACAGCAAGTGTGGGATGCCCAGGTGGGACAAGATTGCTGAGGGGGACAGTGGGCTGGGACGGAGCCAGCAGGTGGGACCAGGAGACAGGCAGGGAAAGGGGTGGAGTGAGCGCCTGATGAGAAACTACGGCAGGGCTCTGGGCAGGGAAGAGATGCAACCGGATTCCCAGTTTTCAGGCAAGAATGCTGTCCCGGTGAGGGGACAACCACAGAGAAGGTGGGCGAGGCTGGATTCTGGATGCAGCTGTGCTTACTGCCGGACTGGCGGTGACTATGAGAAAAAGGGACGATGGTGGGTTTCCCAGATTCTCCACCAGCCTTTCCTGCCTTCCCTCTGGTTCCATCTCAGTCACCTCCTCTGGAGCTCTGAAGGTAGGAAGTCCCCAGGCTCAAACCTTGGCACTTTCCTCTCCCCGTAGCCACCGGCAGCTGGTCTCACGGCTTTAACATACATCGCCTGTAAGCCAATGTGTCTTAAATGCATACCGATAGCTCCAACCTCCCCTGGGATCAAGGCCTGCCCATGCAAATGGCATGGGCCACTTGCTGTCTCATGGGCATCTCAAACTCATGCCAAGATAGAACTCAGGTTCATTGCCACCGTTCGCCTGGCTGCTTGGGCTGAAACTCAGGCCACATCTGCTCCCACCCCTTCAAAGGGATTTCCAGTCACCCTTACCTTCAGAATAGCCCCTCTAGTTCACTGCTGCCGCCCTCAACGACCCAAGCCACTGTGTGCCTCTAACAGGCAACTGACCGTTTCTCCGTTTCTGCCCCTGCGTCTGCGCCATTTGACTCCACGCAGCAGCCAAGGTGGCCTTTTTAAAGTGAAAATCAGATTGCCTCCATCCCCTGCCTAAAAATATTCTGGTGGCTTCTCAATATGTCTACCATAGAATCACACTCGACTGGGGCCTGCCCCTCTCTGACCACACCTCTGTCTGCTGCAGCTCACCTGCACACTCTCTCTCTGCGGCAGCTGCCTCTCCACATCTCACAGCCCTCACCTGGCCTCTCTCCCTCCTCCACCCGGCCTCATTCTTCAGATCATCATAACGCTGACTCCTGCTCAGGGGTCCTTTCCTGATAAGCCTAAACTGACCCCACACAGACACATTAATGCATGCACCCACCTTTACCTGCCTATTTTCCACTGGTTTATTGCTTCTCTCTCCCACTAAACTAGAATCGCCTCAAGGGCATGGTCTTTGCTCAATTCCCTGCTGTATCCCTGTGCCAGGAACGGCAGATTGAGTTCTGGAAATGTCTCCATCAACTTCAACCTACTATCAGCCCCTCAGTGTGGGGACTCCCACAGTGACCTCATGACGTCCCCCCAGTGGATCCATAAGGACTTCCCCTGTATTTCATTTCCAGAAGCCCGTGTCAGCCCCCACAAAGGTCTAGGCCAGGTCTGTGCTCGGGCCGGGAGGTGGAGGTGACTCACCCAGCTGGACCAGGTAGTAGACAGTCAGCAGGAGCTGCATCTCCTCAGAGATGGGCTGGATGGTGGAGGCGCCGTACTGCTCGTATGCTCGCGAGATGGACTGGGAATTCTGGTAGCACGTGTACAGGAGGGGGCTGACCACGACATCATTCAGGTTCCCACAGAGGTAAGGGAAGTTCCCGTGGCCTGTGGAGGAACAGCAGCTACTTGCCAACCCATCTTGTGCACAGTTTATGGCCCCATACGTGTGGGTCTTCTGGGGGTGAAGATGCTGAAGGAAACAGGTGAGCTGCACTGAGTGCCTTGAGTGCCCCTGTCCTGGGAAGCCTTGCTCATCGCGTGCACCTGCTCACCCTCCTGGCACCCAGGATAAGGAGTCACCTTTTCTAACCAATGGGGCTGTGGCATTTGCTGCTTCATTTTGTCTAATCCTCTTATTTTTTACAAGTGAGGGAGCTGAAGCCCAGAAGGACTTGCCCAGAGCCAAGCAGCCACCACCTGTCACTCCTCCAGCACAGCTGATGGGACTCGTCGTGGGCAGAGCACCTTCCGGAGCTTCGCTGGGTGCTGCCTGCCAGCCCTTGCCTCGCTGACTCCAAACAAGGAGGGTTCTGCCCTGCATCCTCCCGGGCTCTCTGACAAACTGAGCCGGGAAAATATATCATTGTAGAGACCAGGAGACTGAGTCATTCTTTCTTTTCTGTTTTTGTCTTGTTTGTTTGAGACAGCATCTTGCTCTGTCCCTAGGCTGGAGTGCAGTGGCACAATCTTGGCTCACTGAAACCTCCACCTCTCAAGTTCAAGCAATCCTCCCACCTCAACCTCCCAAGTAGCTGGGATTACAGGTGGGCACCACTACACCCGGCTAATTTTTGCATTTTTAGTAGAGACGGGTTTTCATCATGTTGCCCAGGCTGGTCTCAAACTTCTGACCTCAAGTGATCTACCTGCCTCAGCCTCCCAAAGTGCTGGGATTACAGGCATGAGCCACTGCACCTGGCCCATTAGAAGATTCATTCTGAGGACAGCCCTTAGAGGTGGAATCGCCCAGGTCGGGGTCACATCTCTTTCTATCATTCTGTAGCTACATGATGCTAAGCAAGATGCTTAACTGCCCTAAACCTCAGTCTCTGCATTTGTAAAACCAGGTGAAGCTGTCAAATCTTCTTGGGGCTGCTGAGCTCCCAAAGGTGGCACGTGTACGTTTGGCGGGGGGGGGGGGGGGGGGGGGACGTGTATCTTGCATGCTGGATACTCCATTTAGTCACCAAAAACACATTTTCTGGCTGCGGCTGTGTGCTACGTGCAGGCATTCCACTAGGCTCAGGGAGCAAAGCTGGTACCTGGGACACAGGTCATGATTCAAAGACATTGCTGCTCAAGGGCTTGTCAAACACTGCGGGCCCCACCCAGAGCTTCTGATGCAGAACGCGGGCCTGATTCTGAATCTGGGATTGGCCCATGAATTCACGCCTCTCATACGCTCCAGGGCAATGCAGGTGCTGCTGGACCAGGGGCTACCATTTGGGTAGCACCACTTACAAATATTACGGAAGGCAAGAGGCTAGGGAAAGAGTTACTATAAAACCAAACATGTGACATTTGTCATAAAAGAGGAACACAGAAGTGACAAGGCGGGGTGGAGGAAAGGGACTCGAAGGCAGCTTCATGGAGAAGGCATAGGGCGGAGTCTTAAAGCCTCGGCGGGGCTTGGACACATGGCTGTGGGGACCAGGAATCAGGGAGGCAAGCACTTTGCAGCAAGGGATGCAGCATAAACAGAGGCAGTGGAGGGAATGGAGCACACCTGAGAATTAAGAGGACAGTCTCTGTTCTGGATCGTTACTGTGAGACCTAGACCAGCCAGGCTTTCTTTTCTGAGGCTCCTGGCTCAAAGCTGCTGCGCGTGAAGCCCTGCCTGCACCACCACGCCGTGCGCCCTGTCCCAGCTCTGTTGCCTGAGCACCGTGTTCTTGGGTCCTACCACAGACACGTGATGGCCACATGAAAAATACATGCAACATGACTGAAAGAATGTTGCCCTTGGAGCCCTGTGGAAGTGCCTCGGTCATTGCCCCTGTGTCATGTTAAAGTCAAAACTCAGGGTTGCACTCTACTTCCTGAATACTCTGCCCATTCTTCGTTTTTTTTGGCGGGGGGGGGGGGGGGGGCGGGGAAGACATGTTCTTTATTAGTTCTTAATTATAAGTAGGATGTTTCTCCCACATTCCTAAAATCCTCCCTCCTCTAACCAACAAGCACGATATCAAATACAGTAATAATGTATTTAGGAAGGGCCTGCGTGAACTGTGTGTGTGTGTGGTGTGTGTGTGCCATGCCCACGTGGGTATGTATGTGTGTTGTCACCATGTGCCAGCCATTCTGGTACCTGGAATCACCAGTCAAGACCTGCTGAATCCCCCAGGGTTCCCCATTGCAAGGTCTCCAGATTCATCAAAGGGATTTCTTCAGCTGAGCCAAAAGTCTACCCATACATAGCATACGTTAGCCCACTGCACTGAACAGGTGAAATCTAATTTTACTTGATGCTTCTACAGGGGCGACCATGGCTATCTTTGGCCAAAGTAGATTTCTTAGTCAAAAAATACTAGTGGCATGGGTGACAACAGGACAACCCACCAGAGCGGGGCTCCTACAGCAAGGGAGTGATTTGCTTCTTCCTAATCCTCGGCACTCAGCACAGGCCTGGGACCAGGGCAGAAGCTGGGTGAAGCTGAGCAAATGAAGGAAAGAATGAGTGAACAGGTATGTGGACTTCATGGCAGGGGATCGTGTGTATGCATGTAAGTGTGTGTTGCCATGCGCCAGCTGTACTGGTTTCACCAGGACCACTGTGGAAAGCTGTGACAAGCACCATCATTCCTGGCATCTGATTGGGGGCTGAACTAGTGACTGGCTCTGCCCTGTTCTTTCCTTGCCCTGGAAAGCATTTCAGGTTTGTCTCAGGAGGGTGCCCTGGAGTCGGCCCAGGATGAGGTCTCGCAGTTGCCCATTTCTCGCCCCTTCCTTTAAGCTCTCCCATGCCCGCCACTCACAGCACTGCTGTACTTGCCTTTAAATATCACTGGCTTGGCCTTGCATATTTTCAGCAAGTTGTCAGGAACAGACACGGGTTCTCCAGAGGTCACCACTGGAAAGGTGACTGAAGCTGGTCCCACCAAGCCAACCTGGGGCACGCAGGACATGCCTGCGCTCTCTAGGAACACCCAAGAACGTTAGTAAAGACATCAGACGAGGCATCCGCCTCTCACACACCTGACATCAGGCCAGCCAGCAAACGTGCTACCCCCCAACCAATGTCCTTGATTACAAGAGCACCAAACTCTTAAGAGTCACAGATTCCTAAGGTCAAGGGCACCTTTAAGTTCATTCAGTCCATCCTTCCCCCAGCGGTTCAGTCTCTTCTTCAATAACTCTGCCAAGTGATAAACAGCCTCTTTGAAAATTTCTCAACACTCAGAGAACTCACTACCATACAGGGATCCTACACCCGTATAAAGCAATTCTAACATGTGAGAGAGAGATCTTTTGTTACCCCAAACGCTGCCTCCTTAGAACTCCCTCGCCAGTATACACATTCGCACACGTGTCCATGCACACACGCACACACAACCGGCAGCAATGCCACCAGTACCCAAGTCTGGAATTCCAGGCGAGGCTGCCGTCACTTACCATACTTAGCTCTGTTCCCACCACCTTGGGGGTAGCCACCATCTGGAGCTGATGGAGATTCTGGAGACCACCCTTTGTGGCGTTTTTTGGGGGGCCCGGAGTTTGACAAGATACCTAGACAATATTCAGAGCGTGGATTAGGCTATCACCAGGAAAGAGCTCCAATAAATCTTTCCGTTGGTTGGGAGAACAATGATCTGTTTATTTATTTATTTATTTATTTATTTATTTATTTATTTATTTCTAATCAGTTTCACATGGGTTTTAAGGACCTCGCAAAATACCTAGGCATAAGGAAATGTCAATTTTTGTAAATGTCTCATTCCAAAGTTGTGTGTGTGTCTCAACTTTCTCTGAGTCTGAGCACCTTCGTCTTTAATATGGGACACTAAACCTACTCTGAAAGGTGGTTCGATCAGAATTAAAGAGAATGTATGCAGAGCACTTTGTGCAATGAACTGCAGGGAGCTTGGACCCCATATGGTAGCCAGAATTCCCCACATCATCATCTTCACCACCATCACTGCTGTTACCGACATATTCCAATCCACTTCTGAAGGGCTGGGAGAGAGAAATACGTTTCCGCACAGGCGACGGCAGCATTCGATCCACCAAAACAGCTCCACCGCTTGGGGGCAGTACTGATCCGCCTGTGCTCCCCTCCCTGCCCCAGCCTGGAAAGCTAATTTCAGACTCAAAAAAATCAAGTACAGAGGCTGGCACCCACTGCAATGAGTCATCCCCACCCACTCTATATAACAGCATGCTCATGACTCAAGCTATCTTGGTGAATGGTCTAAACACCAAGAATCGGTTTCCATAGTTTCTTGACTAACCAGATGCAAAATTTCCCCTACAGGTAGAGCTTTACGTCTCAACCTCCGCTGCACATTTAACTAACCCGGGAACCTTTTAAAACTCTGGATGCAGCCCCGCCCCAGATAAACCAGAAGCCCATCGTGGGAGCAGGACCCAGGCATCCCAATACCTCAGAGCTTCCCCGTGATTCTAATGCATGTCCCAGGTGAAGCACCAAACAGAGCAACGATTCTGCAGGTGTGACCCGAGGAGCTGCACAGAACCCACGCGGGCCCGTTGAACCTGTGCATCCCTGCGCCCCGCCTTGACCTTCAGAATCACATCTCTGGAAACGACAGTAAGAAAATACCATCCTTCATAAGCCAGCTTGGTGATTCCTTTTTTTCATGAGATGGAGTCTCGCTCTCGTTGCCCAGGCTGGAGTGCAATGGTGCAATCTCAGCTCACTGCAACCTCTGCCTCCCAAGTTCAAGCGATTCTGCCTCAGCATCCCAACTAGCTGGGACTAACGGCATGCACCACCATGCCCAGCTAATTTTGTATTTTTAGTAGAGATAGGATTTCACCATATTGGTCAGGCTGGTCTCGAACTCCTGACCTCAGGTGATCTGCCTGCCTCAGCCTCCCAAAGTGCTGGGATTACAGGTGTGAGCCACCACACCCGGCCAGCCTGGTAATTCTTAAGCACACTGCAGGGTGAGAATCATTGCTTTACAGTCTCTTAAGAGTAATCCAAAAAATATTTTCACCTCATCAGACTGACTCAAAGTAAATAAAAAGCTTAAAGCAGAAAGTACTTTGTTTACGAAGAGCTTTCAAACCCGTGGGCTCCTTTCACCCTCCCAACAACCACTGAGGCAGCTGCTGTTTTCTTCATCCCTGTCTGCAGAGATGAGGCCTTTGACTCTGCAAACATCTGTCCCTAGTTGCAATGGGAGGCCCCCCACAGGGGCTAAGCAGCCAGCTCCTCTAAAAGCTCTGCTGATCGTCCAGAGGGGACAGGGCTTGGAACCGGGTCTCAGTAAGGATGGAAGAGATGCAGGTATTTTCTCACTTTGGGAAGCTAATTCTATAAATAGCTCTGAGTAGACCCTAAGCCCATGAGCTCTTCCCAGATGATGTCACCAGGAGCTGCTCCCATGGTACCAGTGTGGATCAACTATTTCTGAAAATGTCTCTTGGGGAGGTATTATGTGGCATTTGTGGGAGACGATTCATTATGTAGCCTGCTTGGTGCAGGACATTCGGCAGCCTGTCCACTCTGTCCCAGCACCAAATGCCAGTAAGACCCTGTGTCTGGAACAACAAATCCATCCTTTACCAGAGCATTTCCCACCCCGCCCCCAGGGGGCAGCACTTCTCCATTGCAAACCAGTGACTGGCCTGAGTGACAGGCCTCAAGGCTTCAGTAAACTCCAAGTGGTATGAGACAGTTTCTTAAAAACTGATTTTTGAGCTCTCTCCTCAGAACAGACGAGAAGGCCCAGGAACTCCAACACTTCAGCTGTGCTCCACGCAACTCAACCCAGCCAGCGTCATGCCCACTAGCTGGGCTTCCCAGCAGCTGGTACCGGGGCTCTGAGATGCACATGACCACAGCGCTGCCCTCGGTCGGGAACTGCACAGCGCCGAGGCCCCGACAGCCACACATGGCTGCGGGACTGAGCGTGGGACAGCTGGGAGCCCCATGCGCTCACAGGGAGCCCTCCAGCACGGAGCATGTGTCCCCTGAGCTAACCTCAGAAAGGCGGTTTAATAGGTGGGTGTAGAGAGCAGCCCAGAGCTGGGAAGCAGGCACAGGGCATGGAGACAGGAGACGGGGCCACGGGGGTGGGAGCTGAGCTGCCCAGAGCAGCCAAAACAGCAGGGAATGAGGTTCACCAGGTGGGCCGGGGTCAGATTCTGGGAAGGCTTGCATGCTTCCCCGGGCAATCTGGAGGAGCTCCATCTCTCACACCCCTCCACGGAGCATGGCAAGGAAAATGCAGTCAGTCCACACAGGAGGCTTCCTAGGGCCACCTTCACAGGGTCCCGGGCTGAGGGAGGCCCTCGACTCCCTGCTGTTCAGCGTGGAGGCTGGGGGTCCACAGACCTCAGCCCAGAGGGGAGGCAACAGCAGCCTAGCATCCCCAGCCCTGGGGGCCAGCTCTTCAGCCAGAGGGCTGTCCTCAAGGCAGCACCCGGCAGAGAAGCAGCAGTCCCTGGAAGAAAGCAGAAGGCTGCCTGGGGCTTGGCTGCTATGGAGGATGAGACTCTGCTACTGCCTGGGGCTCGGCTGCTGCGGGCTCGGGCTCCAGGATGGAGGCGCTGGTTGGAACCACATTCGCTCCTTCAGTGAAGAATGAGACAATTCACGAGATTTTCACCAGGGAGGTCCTCCGCCAGCACGTGGAGTGGGAGCATGGAGACTGGATTCTAGGCCTGGCCCTGTCTCTCTGGACCTCTGTCTCCTCCCCTGTAAAACAGCACTGGCCTAGATGGTTTCTAAGGTCTCCTCCAGTTTGATGTCGTGGATCCTCAAATCCAGTTTGGCAGAGTGCATGATGGAGGAAGGAAAGACGAGAATGGCGTATGAAGTGGCTCCAGTTGAGCATGGTGGGGAGAGCACTGGACTGGGAGTCCACGAGCAGGTCCCCAGGTTGCTCTGCCCATTGACAGCTTCCTCAAACTCTCCTCTGGCGGGAGGTCTGCTCAGCTCCTTCACTCACCTCTCTCATCCGTATCCTCACCTCCTCATCCCTTTTTGCTCTCTTTCTCCCATTCCACCTCTACATGATGCTTCCCCAACTTCTAAGTTGCAGCTCAGTTATCGCCTCCTCCAGGAAGCCTTACCTGAACAGACCAGCCTCAGTGATGATGCTGATTTGGATGGGAACAGGAACAGCTGGTATTAATTAGTGAGCTGCCAGATGTGCTCTGACCTTTCACACAGCACCTCATCCCTCTTAACCCTTGGAGCAGAATTCTCATCTCCAGATGAAAAAACATTTATTGAGACTTGGCCAAGCTCCCCTGACTAACAAGAGACAGCGGTAGGTTTTAAATTCATATTTATCGGATTCGGAAGCCCATGTTCCTCCCCAGCAACACACCACCCAGTATTGCTCCAAAATTCTACCGTCCTCCAGCTGTGCAGCCCAAAGGACAGGTCACTTGCCATCGCCACAGGTGTCTCACTGCTCTTTGGCACACATGACATCTCCCAAGCATCACTCATACAGCACCAGGGCCTGGGCCCAGACCCACGGACTCAGGAGGCACCAGGCCCAGACCCACAGACTCAGGAGGCACCAGGCCCAGACCCACAGACTCAGGAGGCACCAGGCCCAGACCCACGGACTCAGGAGGCACCAGGCCCAGACCCACGGACTCAGGAGGCACCTGTGGTCCTGGCCTGACTCTCATGGAAGCCACACCAGACTCCAGGAGGCTCAGCGGCCCCAGCCCAGCAGCTCCCATGCCCCCTCTGGCGTTGGCCCAGAGAAGAGCAGGATCCCCAGGATGGCCAGGACAGGCAGCGCTACCTAAAGCCGACGGACGCGGCAGGGTCAACAGGTTATTCTTTGCCAGTTGTTGGCACTTCGGGGAATCTTTGCCGTTGAAAACAGCCGGACCCATTGCTGCACTTAGTGAGGGGTGATCAGAAGCTGGTCCTGAAAGCAGATAGAAGGCAAAGAGGAGGGTCAGGTCACAAGAATGCCCTGGGTGCCAGACAAGGAGGAAATCATTTTCCTTGCGGTTTCAAAAACTTGCTTTTCCCCAGAAAGTCTCATCGAGAGGTCAGAATTCCCAACAGTGATTCTGCTGCACTGAGAAGACACATGCAGACACACACACACACATACACACACACACACACACACACACACACGTGCACACGCACTCCTGCATACATACTCCTGCATACACACAAGCACACACATGCACAAACATGTACACACACACGCACAAACACACACTTATGTACATGCACACATAGGAACATGCACCCTCCTGCTCACACCTCATTGAACACAACAGCCTGAGTGAAAGAAGGACCGGGGGACTTTCTGAATTCCAGGACCACACCTGAAACTTCTGCTTCCTTCTACCTTCTCTCTCAAGACCTCCGGTTGATATGGTTTGGCTGTGTCCCCACCCAAATCCCACTTGGAATTGTAGCTCCCATAATCCCTCTGTGTCGTGAGAGTGACCTTGTGGGAGGTAACTGCATCGTGGGGGTAGTTTTCCCCATATTGTTCTCATGATAGTGAGTAAGTCTCACGAGATCTGATGGTTTTATAAAGGGCAGCCCCCCTGCACAGGCTCTCTTGCCTGCCGCCATGTAAGAAGTGCCTTTGCTCCTCCTTTGCCTTTTGCCATGATTGTGAGGCCTTCACAGCCATGTAGAACTGTGAGTCCATTAAACCACTTTCCTTTATAAATTGCCCAGTCTCGGGTATGTCTTCATAGCAGTATGAAAATGGACTAATACATTTGGAGTCTAGGAGAGCAGTTGGGTTTGCAGCTACCTGGGTGCAGACGGTTCATAGGGCCCAGGGCTCCCAGGTCTGAGGGTAATTCTGGGAGCAATCCTGGCTTTTAGTCTCCTGGGGCTGACCGAACTGCTTACGTTGTCCACGTCAACCAGAATGGTCTGGAAAGAGCTCAGGTCAGGAGTCGCATTGAATGCTTCCTGTGGGTTTAGGAGGGTGGCTCTGAAGCCAGATGACATGTGTCTGAGCCCAGTTCCACCACTTCCCAGCTGTGCAACTCTGGACACTTAGTTAACCGCCTATGCCTCAGCGTTCTCCTCTAGAAAACGGGGCTGGTCATTGTAACCACTGTGAGAATGACATGAGTTAGCAGAAAAAACTGCCAAGAATGGTGGCTGGTGTGCAGCACTCTGAGTACTTGCTCATGCTACCATCGTATTTAATTCTTACAATCGCCCTGCAAATTAGACAAGAGACTTTCCAACTTTACAGACGAGGAAATGGAAGTTCAGAGGGCTTGAGTTGCCCCAAATCACTGAGCTGAAAGGTGGGAGCACTGGAGCTTACACCCAGACACCCAGACAGCAAAAACAGCAGGCTCTTCAGTCCATGATGGCAGAGGCACAGGGGGCCTGGGCATGGGGAAGCAGTGAGGCGCTCTGGGCCTCTGGAGGAGAGTATGTCCCAGACTCGTGCCCAGGCGATAGATGGGCCAGGTGGGTACAAGGGCACTGGCTCCCCCTCAGGGCCAATCACTTCTACAGACCCTCTGGGCAGGAGACATGAAAACAACCAGCGACCTTCCTGAGGCACGGGAAGGCTGGTGTCTACTGTGATGACAATCACCATGCTTAGTAAGTCTGCACCATGGCAAGGTGCCAAGCATGTGAATCAGAAACACCAAATGTCACGTCTTGCCTCCACCTTCTCCTGCCCACGAGGTCATAGGCAAGCACCCAGCCTCAGTGAGCCTCACCTTCCCAATCAGTAAAATGCAGAAACTGATGCCTGCTCGCAGCATGGTTGTTGAGCTTCAAGGTGATCACAAAGCACAGGCGAGCCAAGCATAGGATGAATGGTAGTGGCAATCTGGGCTTTTCTGCCCCTTCTAGCAATTCATTCAAACCCTGACACAGCACCTTTACATAGAGAGCTCTATGCTGTGTGGGGGGCTGGGGGTGGCTGCAGAGGGATCCTGAATGTGTCCCCACCAGGTGATCCCACTTTGTATCAAACAGGAAAAAAGAAAAGCTCTGAAATGAAATGAAAAACCTAGCATTCCTTGTTGAAAAGTATTACAAATTCAAGATAAAATGTAAAGGTGTTACAGAAAAAGATAGCAGCCCCCTGACTGTGAAGAATGTTTGACTACACAGTCACCTGGGCACATCAGAGACATGCCAGGTCTGTGGTTCCAGCAGCTCTGGCGTGTCTCTGCCGCCTCACCTGCCTGCTGCGCTCCCATCAGGATGCCAGGGTTCGTCCCCAGAGTGGGCTCGCTGGGGAAGGAAGCCAGAGGCCCCGCGCTCTCCAGAGCCGGGAAGAGGGAACCGGAACAAGTACTGGCTGGGATCTGCCGGCTTCTGAACTCTAAGGGGCAAGAGCACACGTGAAAACCATCGCTCTCTCCAACAGTTATAAAAGCAGGTTCTGGAGTGGAATGTATCCTACGGAGAGTGAGCTATGTAGACAGCCACACAAGCTGCCACCACATCCTGGTCTTTGCTTCAGTGTGAAGCCGGCATGTAGGGGGAGGCCAGGGGGTGCAACTCTTTACCTGTGACTCCAGGCTGAGGCCAGCATCGGGTGGGGACGCGGGGTGGGGTGGGGAGGGTGCAACCCTCTACCTGTGACTCCAGGCCAAGGCCGGTGGGGGAGGGGTGCAACCCTCTACCTGTGACTCCAAGCCGAGGGGCAGCTCTGGTTGTTAAGAGTGGGAGCAATGCTAAGTATTCGAAAGAAAGGTACGGAATATACAAATAAGTCATCCTACGGCTACCCCTAAGGTCCAGGGAAAGAAGAGAGTATCACTTGAAGATAAAGAAATGATACCATCTTCCACCCTAAGTCCTCTTCATGGAAAGGCCAACCCGCGGAACCTGGGGGGTTGTGCTTGGACCCAGCCAGTGATCAAAGACGGTGAACTGGTCCCACACGGGGCAGAACCACCGCATCCTCAGGGCCTGAGAAATGACCGGTGGGTAGCAGGAGCTCAGGAAGCATTTACTGAACAAAGCAAGAAAAGCGGAGAGGAAGGAGGAGCGGGTTGTGAGGGGGCGTGGCCAGAGCTGCCCAGCCCGAGGTCTCTTCCTTCTACTCCCAGGACCTGGCCAGGAGGGTCCAGAGGACAAGATGGGAACAAATGCAGATAAAGGAGGGACACCTCACATCCCAGACGTGCCCTCCGCCGGCAGCAGGTCACCGAGGATCCAGCCTCCTCCTCATCCCCCAGAGCTGACTGTGGCTGTGAGAGCCGCAGCTGAGACAAAGACGGGTTGGAGGGGTGCTGCCGACGTTTCAGAAAGCTGCTCCCTTCTTCGGAGACCAGCAACGTGAAGCTGGGCTTTCTGGCCACAGTTCAGGGTCCAGGGGCTTGGTGGGGCATTGTTCAAGCTAAGCGGTCTGAAGTCAGGTTCTCAGCCTTGGCGCCAATGACATTTACAGTGGGCTTCTTTGTGCTGGGGGCTGCCCTGTGCACTGCAGAACGTTCAGCCGCACACTGGTCCCTGCCCCACATGACAATCAAACTTGTCTCCAGTCATGGCCAGATGTTCCCCAGGAGACAAAAGTCATCTATGGTTGGGTGAACCACTCAGTTTGGGGAGATGCGAACCAGTGCCCCAAATACTTGCCATAGGAGGCCATGCACAGTCTGTCCCTCTGTCAACTTTTTTTTTTTTTTTTGAGATGGAGTCATGCTCTGCTGCCCAGGCTGGAGTGCAGTGGCGCCATCTCAGCTCACTGCAACCTCTACCTCCCAGTTTCAAGCAATTCTCCTGCCTCAGCCTCCTGAATAGCTGGGATTACAGACATGCACCATCACGCCCAGCTAATTTTTACATTTTTAGTAGAGATGGGTTTTCACCATGTTGTTCAGGCTGGTCTCAAACTCCTGACCTCAAGTGATCGGCTCGCCCCAGCCTCCCAAAGTGCTGGGATTACAGGTGTGAGCCACCACGACTGGCCCTCTGTTGACTTTTAAACATCCCATTCAATTAGACTGTCACTGTCAACCAGCTTAACACTCGTAATACAAAGAAGCATTTTCATGAGCCTGGCCTTTTACCTGCAATCTGTGCTGCTGTGCAGGGGTCTCTCCCCAACATCCTGCCAACAGGCCCCACGGCCCTCTGGGGGGCCCAACGTTCCCACACCTCCTCCACAGGCAACGTGCTCACCTGAGCCTTTCCAACAGATTAAAGATCCTTTGGTTAGAGTCCCTTGTGCATTACGGACCAGGTAATACTTCAAGTGTTTCTGCTTCTTGGGTTGAGTGGTCAGTTTCAGATTTATATGATTGGAGAATTCCGTGAAGTAACAGAAGCCTTTCTTTCCACAGCCAACACAATTCCCAGAGAAACCTGGAGAAGGAAGCAAACCGTAAACACCGCCAACTCATTTCCAAAGTCCTTTTCAAATAAGACACAGTTCATCGAAATGCTGAAGGTTCGCTTCCTGTGCCACCAGGCAGAAAATTCCACAAGGCAAGTGCCCCGCCCTCTCAGCCTGGCCCAGTGGTTAAGACAGCTTTGACTCAAATAAAGGAGGACCAAGATTTAGTGATAGAGATGGGCCCAGGCAAGCTTGGAAGATTTAACGTGCTTGAGGGACTACTTAAACACCTACACAGAGAGCAAACTTTGCAAGGTAAGTTTGGGAGACGTCCCGTTCCACTGTCTACACGCATCGGGCACCTGAAATGATGCCACAGGCTCTTATTTCTTCTGGGAGTGCCAGTCACAGACTCCCAAAGCAATTTGACTAGTGAGATGGGCTATGCTGGGTGACCTTAAGAGTCCAAAATTCCATCCGGCTATGGAGCTGATCCGCTGAGTTGCTAAAAAGAAATCAGGAGAGGTCCGCAATGCCTGGTCAGCACGCTGGCAAGTAAATTCCGTGGCTTGGCAGCCAGTGGATGGAGATGTTCTGCTAGAATGTGGCTATCGTGCGGCTCTTGGCCTCCACACCAGGCCTACAACTGCCTTTCTGGGAGGTGATGGAGGCTCCATCAGCTGTGAGGCTCTAAGCAGGCCTCCTGTGTAGTAGCAATGACAAAACCACCTCCTGGGAGCTATTAAAATCCAGAGAATGTGCTTGAAAAGACCTTCATGCACTGTAAAGCCTATTCAAATCGCAGGCATTGGGAGTGATGGTTAAGATGAGAAATGTGAAGACTTGGCTTCTGCCCTGGCTGACTGCTCTTGTTTAAACCATCTTAAGATGGCCTTGCTTCACCCACTGGTACGTCTGGTTTCTGTGGGTCCTTCAGCCCGGGAGATCTGGAAGCTAAGACTCATGTATCATATTCTCTGGTTGATACGTCTACAAAGGTCATCGTGCCTTAGGCCATGCGGGCTACCCGGCTGTGTGTGTAACTCTGCTCTGAAACAGTCTCTCTAAGGCCTTTGGCTAGTGCTCAAAACAACTCCAGTTAGTGAAGGTTAAAAACATCTCCACAGATAAATAAAACATCTACATTAGAGAAGCCCACTGGACTCTCTGATCTATTGTGAGCACATTTAGTCTTCCTCAAAAGACGTTAGAAATAAGGACAGACTGCTTGGCCTCACCACGGGACAGTCACAGGGTAATGGACCCTCCATGCCAGCACAAACAGTAAGGTACCGAGAGACGTGAAACACTGTCCTCTAGATGCGCTTGCTTTCCGTGGGACAGGCAAGGAACTGACGTGCACAGGGAACCAGACCCATTCCCGCCATTCATCTCAATCCACAAGTGACACAGGAGCCAGTCACTCTGGAGGGCAAATTCTTCTTTGTGAAATCAGAGGACCAGACAGCCCAACTGTTCTAATCTACAGGTACAGAAAATGTCGCATTCGACTCTAGCCTGAGGATGACGTTCTCACTCACAAGCCTGGCATCGGAGGCTGCCCCGATGCCCCCCAGCCTTCATCTCCAGCTTTATTCCTGTCCCTCCTCTGATATGCTAATTCCCAACTGGACTCCCCTGCCTCTCAACCCAGCCTGCTCCCACTGCCCTGCACCCACAGGCTCATCCTCTCCTCTGGGGGTCCCACCTGTGCACCTCCAGCCCTCACTCAACATCCTGTTCTGATGCCCACCCCAAGGGCCTTCTGCGACCTAAAGGCTGGCTTGCACTTTCCTCCAGACTCTAGGCTCTTCCTGTAGCTCAGGGGCCTCTGAACATCCTTCTTAGTGATTGAAATTCGTGCCTTTTTCCCATCGTCATTCCTCTAGGTTCACAGCATGATCGCACCTGCGGGCTGTGTGTGTGCACGTGTGCGTGTACTGACTCATGGCAGCCAGTTAACACTGAGAGGGGAAAAAGGAGAGAGGAAACAGGGTAACTGTAAGCAGCATCCTGTTAGGGTTTCTGCAAGCGCTCTGAGGAATCACCTCATGCTTTTATTCATTCATTCGCTTCCAACTTAGGGATGCCTGAGATAATCCCAGCTCAACTGCTGCCTAAGAACAAGGCCCGAAGAAACCTTCAGAGCCCCCCGGAAGGGCATCTAAGCCTGGATGTTAAGAAGATGGATGAACAGGAAATAGAACCGTAAGACACCAAGAGCCACTTGCCAAGGCCGGGCTGTCAGCCCTCTCCAGAGACAGCAAGGCAGGTTACAGGCATCTGTCCCCCGGGAAACACAGGCGGGGACCGTCGCTGTGCTGCAGAGGCTATCTCCTGCGCTGGGATGGGAAGGGGGCCCTTTGTGTTTCAGAAATGAGGGTGGACACCCTGGGTCTTGCTGGTACAGGAAACACTTAGAGACCCAGCAAGCAAACTGCTTTTCTGCTTTGGCAAAAACGTTCTGGTCAGGAGACCCAGCTGCTCTTCTGAGAGGTGTCTTGGAGAGACAGCCACAGAGGCCAACCAAGACAACCACAGACAAGCTTTCAAACCAGCCCTGGGGAAATGCCAACTCATTTAGAAAGTATTGGAAAGGCAACAAAGTTTTCATGAGAAAGAGGAAAATACGGAGCCACGCTCTTCAGAAATCTACCTTAGGACCTGAAAGTTTAGAAAGTTTTCTTTATATGATAGGCTTGGAAAGCACCGGGATCCTTCCTGAAACCACAAATCCCTGCCGGCTGTGGATATCCAGAGTCGAAATTCTTGCTTCAATGTCCTCACCTCGGGAAACAGGCCATGGTAAACACAGCTCCTGTCACCACGCCTGGCCACACCCTGTAATTTTCCCATGGGTCTAGTTTAGCAGCTGCAGGTAGCATTTGTTTACTAAGCATGTCCTAGGCAGATATGTGTGCTGGCCACTGAGCAAGGCTCGCCCCTTCTACTGAAAGGACAGCTACGTCCACGACCCTCAGCCCGGCCGGGGAGTGTGCAGAAGCCTGGATACCCGAAGGGTCTACAGTTAGGTGATGTGGGGCAGGTAACTAACACCTCCGAGCTTTGCTTTCCTCAACTGTCAACAAGCCAACAACAGCTGACATTCACAGCACACCCACCACGGGCCAGCCACTGTACCAGGCACGTTATAAATGTTCTCATTTAAACCTCCTGACGCCCGACACAGCAATCAATAGCAGTGTCTCAGTTTACAGGTGAAAGCGTTGAGGCAGAGAGATAGAAATTCATCCATGGTACAGGGTGACCCAGCCATGGCTACAGGATGGAAAGTGCTGGAGTTAGGATTGAACCCGTCTCCTCCCCAAAACCCACCTCGTAGGAGCACTATGGGGGTTAAGTACCCACGAGATGTTTAACATGTCACGGGTACGCTGCAAGCATCCCTCCTTCCTCTCCCCTGGACTAAGCTGTATGGAGAGCACAGTGGGAGTGGGGGGCAGGGCACTCACGTGTGGCCCTATGAGGGCAACTATATAACCCCCCACAACAGTGTGAGACATGGGGGAAGCAGCTCCACCTCTCTGGGTTTCCACTGTCCAACCATCAAAGGGAAGGCTAGGACTAGATGGGCCCTATGCCTCCTTCTAGGACCAAAGTGACATGATTCTTCTTGGAAGCAGCCATAGGTGGCTTCCTTTGTTCACAGACTCAGTAGTGTCTGAGCACTTGGCTCATAGCAGGCTGGAGGTGACCCAGGTTTACTAATGGGGCCACCTCCTCTGGAGAGAGGGTCCTCTCACCAAACCTCAGGAATGCCTCTAGAAGCCCACCTGCACCTGACCTTCCTTCCTGAACCACAGTCCAAGGAAATCTGGATTTCAGCCACTGCACCAGACCTGGGAGCCGCAAACCAGCACCCTGGGTCTGACGCCTCCATCCTGTGCCTTCCCAGGAGAGCGGATGCTCAGAAGGGCCTTGATCTAGGCCACTGTCCCTGCACAGAGGACCACTTAGCCCAAGTCATCCACCCTCTATGAAAAAATCCAAATCCAAATCTGACAAATACTTTTATGCACAAATATGTTTAGAAAAAAAAAATCTGACAGGAAATGAACCAGGTGCTCTGGGCAAGACATAGATTAAACATACATGGTTCATTTATTGGGTATTGTTTTTGGTTTAAAAATAAAAAAGTGGTCCCTGACTGTTAGAAAGAAGGGACAGACACAGTTAAATAATCCCAGGATTGAGGCAGAAGTACCAGTGGCAACCATAGCAGTTCCTCAAATTTGGGCAGAATTTTCGAGTTTATAAAGATCATCACATAAAGATCTGAGTCACCCTCAAAACCGCGGTCAGGTACAGCACATATCATTAGCCCCTTTATAGATGGCAAACCTATAGCCCCCAAGGCAGGAAAAACTTCTCTACCAAGATGGGACTGGCTGTTCGAGCACACTGTGCTATGGGGAAGAATGGAGGAACAGCAGGAGTAATTTAGGAAGGCAATTCCAGGAAGACATCCCGGCAAGTGGGATTTAAATTGGGCCTGAACAACAACTCTGTGTTCCTTCCAAATAATGAGCCTTGGAAACCCATGAGCTCAGACAAGCACACACTATACCCAGCGACTAATGACCACCCTCCTTGTGCCTGAAAATAAAGAGTGACTTGGGACGAAAATAAAATCACCTTTAGCTCATTACATCATATTAATTGAAAAACAAAAAACAAAAGAAAAAAAAAAAAACCAGAATCTAGCATGGATCTACTGTGATCACCAGCTGATAAACATTATTTTATCTCCCCACCTGGATGGAGACTGGAAAAGACCATGGGTAAAGTAAAACGAGGTTGTGTGTGTGTGTGTGTGTGTGTGTGTGTATGTGCGTGCACACGCGCACACGCACCCACCCAGAGCCCCTGCCTTGATATTACATACATATATGTGCCCAGAGCCTCTGCCTTGGTATTACATGTATATATGGGCCTAGAGCCCCTGCCTTGGTATTTTATTTATATTTTTATATATTGATATAGATATATAAATATGCACCCAGAGCCCCTGGCTTGGTATTTTGTTTATATATGCCCAGAGCCCCTGCCTTGGTATTTTATTTATATTTTTATATGTTGATATAGATATATAGATATACACCCAGCGCCCCTGGCTTGGTATTTTGTTTATATGTGCCCAGAGCCCCTGCCTTGGTATTTTGGCCACATCCCAGCTCAAGTGTAGAAATGACCTCCTTGTGTCAGGGAAGCCTGAGGAGCTGTATCAGGATTCTGGATCAAACAGGAAGTGGGGTGGGGTCCCAGGTGTCCCCAAGAAGAATGGAGTGTTCAGGGGTGGTAAATAGTACGATGTTGGGGGGTTTGAAACACGTAACTCTCAGGCCATTGTACTCCTCTAGAATCCTGCAGTAAGTTTATAACTAGTTCTTCTGCCTCAGTTTCTCCCTTTGCATAAAAATTGTGTGTCTGACTTCTAAGAAATCTCCCTAAAACACAGTTTAAAACACAGTCATCTAAATTTAACATTTAACACTCTAAATTTCCTAAAAAATATATCAATTATTGGGGCAAAACTAGGGAGGAACGACCTACACGTTGAGAAACATTTAAGAGACACAGCAACCAAATGCTCAAGAAGAACCCTTTCTGGATCTTGATAATTGCTTTAAAAAAAAAAAAAAAAAGCATACGATACAATTTGAACACACTGAATATTTGATCATATTAAATAGCTGTTAACTCTTACAGATATGATAATGGTATTCGATTTCTAATGAAAAGCCGTTATCTTTTTCTTTTTTAAAACGGAGTTCCACTCTTGTTGCCCAGACTGTAGTATAATGACTTGATCTCAGCTCACTGCAACCCCTACCTCCCGGATTTAAGTGATTCTGCTGTCTCAGCCTCCTGAGTAGCTGGGATTATAGGTGCCTGCCACCACACCCAGCTAATTTTTGTATTCTTAGTAGAGACGGGATTTCAACATGTTGGCCAGGCTGGTCTCGAACTCCTGACCTCAGGCGATCCGCCCGCCTCAGTCTCCCAAAGTGCTAAGATTTCAGGCATGAGCCACCGTGCCTGGCCCAATTATCTTTTAGAGATATGTGCTGAAATATTTACAGATGAAATGATACAATGTCTGGGATTTGTTTCAAAATAATCCCAGAAAGGAAGAAGAAGGGGACATTATCAGTGAAACAAGATTGGCCATGTGTTGGTAACGTTGGTAACGTTAAAGAAGGCTAGATCACCTCATTTCATGAGACTCTGTACTTCTGTGGTTTGAAAATAGCTCCTTGGGTAATGCATTCTTTTCCAAGCAGAACCCAACAGGACACCACCCTCCCCCCGCCGCCACACTCTGCCAGCCTCCGCTCCAGCCACAGAGCACTCCAGCCACTTCTGCAATGCGCCATGCTGTCGTGCACAGGGAGTTCCCTCTGCTGAGATGCCCTGCATCCTCCAGGACCTGGGCACCAGGGCCAGACCATCGAGGTTCAAACGGCTGGGTTGTCCTGAGCAAGTCAGTTAGGCTCTCTGTGCCTTCATTTCTATATGTAACTCTAGATAATAATGGACCCATCACATTGGCTATTTTAACTCATTTCGTGCAGTTTCTGGCATATGACAAACGCTCAAAAAGTGCCGACTGCTATTGGTGCTTGGTTTCTGTTGTTATGCTCCAATTTGCAAAATTCCACTCATTTTTCAGGGCCCAACTCAGATACCACATCCTCCCATTCCCCTCCTCACTGGGAGCCAGTGTGCCCCTCCGCATCCCCAGAGCACCTTACCCTCTCTGCTAGACCAGGCTGCACACGGATGCATTGTAAGATGTATTGCCAGAGTCATTTGTTGCGGACTTCTAGGCTGAGTCTTGGTATGCCTGCGTCCCCCCACCCTTCCCCCAGACATAACTGAAGGGTCAGGTTTCCATTTCACATTATATGTTCAATAAATGCATGCTGAATCATTTGCCTGCTGAATGAACAAAGGACTCATTTACTCCCATCTAAGAAAGGACAATCTAGCAGGATATGTTTTCCTTTTTTTATGTCTGAGCTGTCAACCAATTTAGATAAATCACTGGGCAATAAACTGAAACATACACCTAGAGTTTAATCTTTCAGCTTTTTCAGTTAAAATCCCTGAGTTGATTAAAAGTTCCTTAAAAAGTCTCCTCACACTGCTGCTTCCTGAAAGGTATTCCCCAGCCTGTGTTTTATAGATCCCTAAAAAGCACTGAACCTGCCATTGCAGGGCTGGAGGAGACCCTCTTGTCCTGTGCAGCCATCAGACTTAATTGCAGGAAACCTAAATGGTGTTAAGCATGCAAGCTGAGAGCATAAAGTTATTTTAAAAGAAGAAAGCCGATGGTATTACCAACCAGGCCTCGTTACCCATTTCAGACGGCTTTTGGCAAGCAATTAACAAAGCTCCTACTTCCTCTCCCGGATGAGCTGGTGCTGTTACTGGGCTGGTGGTGAAGGAACTAAAAGATCCTCCTCTCTGAGGGCCAAGAGGCAGAGCCTCCTTGATTTACTACCCAGGCAATTCATTTACAGTCACAAAGTGGAATCCAGACAAATCTTCAGCCACCACCAGATCAAACACTAAGGCGGCCACCCAGCACCGCCTCCCCGGACTCACTTTCATCCGGGGCGACTGTCACAAGCATTCAGTCTGTCATTGAATCATTCCACCGGCTTCTTTGCCAGAGTGGATTTTCTGGATTCTGTTTTAGAGAACTAGTTTTAACAAGTCCACGGGCCTGCCTTAAGAGAGTCGGCTAAAGGTTTTCTCTCCTTCATCATCATCTGGCGGTGCTGTTCCTCCAGCGGGCATTCACCTGCCCTGTGTCGGAGTTCACACACCTGTGTGTCCCCCGCTCCCTTGTGGCAGGAGCCATTTCGTTTTCTTCTCTCCAAGCTCTCCTCTCTCCGTCCTTCACCCTTTGCACAGCGCCTCAGACAGGGTGTGCTCAGTAACTACCCACGGGAGTGAGTTTATCCACCTAGCTTTTGGGGACGTATCAAGCGCAAACCTGGAGGCTTCCATGTCTAAACCCATGGAAAATATGTAAGAGATTGCGGGGTTTTTCAGTCTAGAAGTTTTCCCCATAAATTCTCACAATCAAGCTTGCTTCTACATGAAGATTGTTCCTGAGGCTACGGCTGAAGTGGATCATTATCAATCCTGCCTCCTGCCCAGATTTCCTCCAAAGAAGATGCCAGGCCAGGTCAGGGGAGCAGACCCACAGTCATGGAATGGGAACGGACTGCCAAAGGGCCAGGGAACATGTGGTAGTGGCCTCCCCACTTCATGGATGAGGACACAGAAGCCCAGGGCGCCGCACAGGGATCTGTGGCCAGATGCAGGACAGGAACCCAGGTCCCTGGGCTCTCACTCCACACCTCGGGTGTCCCTAGATTTTGCTCCACAATGGGGTAGCCTGCTACGGGAGGGCCTGGCACACAGTAAGAGCTCCATTACATCATATAAGCAAAGGCAGCCAGGCTTGGCAAGGCCTGGCCTCAGCTCCGCACTTAGGGCCTTAGTGGTCCAGTGGTTGTTAGAAAGATCAAAGGCTAGTGGTGCTGATGGCTGGAAGGAAAAGCAGCAGCTCCGTCCATACTGACCTTGACCATAATATGGTAAAGACCACGTGGGATAGTACCAGGTAGAATCTGGAGCCGAGAAGACTTGAGTTTGAATCCTGGCTCTGTCCTCTTTACTCATGCACCCTTGGGCAAGTTAACAGATCCAAGCCCACCTGTGAAACTGGGGTCATAAAGACCACCTCTTGGCTGGGCACGGTGGCTCATGCTTGTAATCCCGCACTTTGGGAGGTCAAGGTGGGCAGATCACTTGAGGCCAGGAGTTTGAGAACAGCCTGGCCAGTGTGGTGAAACCCCACTCTACTAAAAAGACAAAAATTAGCCAGGTGTGGTGGCGCACACCTGTAATCCCAGCTATTTGGGAGGCTGAGGCATTAGAATCACTTGAACCCTGGAGATGGAGGTCACAGTGAGCTGAGATAGTGCCACTGCACACCAGCCTGGGTGACAGAGCAAGACTCCATCTCAAAATAAATAAATAAACAAACAGACCACTTGAGAGATGAGTGGCAAACCAAAGGGGAGAATAGATCCAGGGTGCCTGGCAGTCATTCAGGACGGCAAGGTTCTGGAGGCAGGAACACCCTTGGCCTTCTCCTCTGCCTCCATCAGCTGTTTCTGAGACCGTCTAGGACAAGGTTTGTCACCCATTCCTGACACTTAGAGAGGTTTGAAGAATAAATGTATGAAAAATGAATATTAAATGCGGAGCTTTCTACAGGGAAGCAGTCACACTGTAAATGCATCTCTTTTGCATTCCATTCTACAAAGAGATTGTCTACCAAAAAACATAAACAGAGCTGCAGGCTACGCCTGGGGTCCCAAAGGTGGTCCCTCTGTTGCCACCGCCCCCTGCCATGACCTCCCTTGACCCTACTCTACCTCTGTGCAGAAGGAGCCACAAAGGAGGACAAAGCAGAACTTACCAAGAAGAGCATTGTGGCCGTTGTCATCTGGCAGGAACCTCTTATCAACGGCGCACACCAGGAGGTGGTCCGGCAGGCTGGGGGACTTGGCCCCCACGAGGAGAAAGCCCGCGGGGACGTCAATGGGCTCGTTGGAAATGGAGACGAGACGCAGGTCCTTCCCGGCCTGGCAGAACCCTAGGAGGAGTGGACAGGGCACACATGCTGCCCAGGGCTTGCAGAAGCGGGGCACAGGGGCAAAGGAAGCAAACATTCTGGGTGTGCTCAGGAGAAACCCTCACCTCTGGATGTGCTTAACCTCAAAATTAAATCCTGAGAGAGAAAACTGTAATCATACTTGGCTGGGTGTGGGGGTGCACGTCCGTAATCCCAACACTTTGGGAAGCCGAGAAGGGTGGATCACCTGAGGTCAGGAGTTCAAGACCAGCCTGGTCAACATGGTGAAACCCCGTCTCTACTAAAAATATAAAAATTAGCCAGGCGTGGTGATGCAATCCCAGCTACCTGTGAGGCTGAAGCACAAGAATCGCTTGAACCCGGGAGGCGGAGATGGCAGTAAGCTGAGATTGTGCTGCTGCACTCCAGCCTGGGTGACAGAGTGAGACTCCATCTCAAAAAAAAAAAAAAAAAAAAACAACCTATAATCATAGTTACCCACAACACACAGATCACACATTATTTGTCTATCAGTGTCACCATGTGATCCACATTAATGTGCAAATGAAGCTTAACAGGAATAAATTTTAAACACATGATGGAAAATTGAAATGTAAACCAGATAAATCCATAAGAAACTGAGGGTCTCCTGATGTTTCTTACATGCTGCATTTTACGGGGATGAGAAAGAAGCCAACATGAAAAATGAAGAGTGAGAATGTGATGGCACTGGTTTCCTATAGGGGTTGTGGGGAGGACTGGCATCCAGGACACAGACACGAGCAGCCCGAGAGCACGGAGACTCTCACATTCCATGCCCTTTGGAATCTTTTGCATTTTAGAGCTTGTAAATATATTTCCTATTCAAATAATATGTTTCTACAAATATCTAGGGGAAAAGAAAAGAGAATCAGCTGAGACTAAAATGGATAAGGCCTTTCCAGGGTCTTGTCCCAGGTAAGGGCACACCCAGCGCCATCTCCTGGGTTTCCTGTAGCTTTAGCTCCCACCCGAGACCAGAGAGGGAGCCCTGATAAGCCCAAGCCTTCCAGCAGAGCTCTACAGTACGTCATGAAGACTTTCCTCCTGCGTGCGGGGCTTACCTGTTCAGCATGCATTTGCTCCATGGTTTCCCATGTGCCCCTGGGTAGGGGCAGAAGGCAACACATATGGGGCCAAGACGCTGACAGGCGTGGGGCCAGCACCACCACACGCCACGCGACAGTGAGGCAGGCTCTGCAAAGCTCTCATCTCACCACCTGCAGCAAAGCATGGCTGTTCCCATTTTGAAGATATGGAAACCGAGGCTCAGAGAGGTCGAGTGATTTGTTGCAAGCTACAGAGAGGTGGACCAGGAGGGGAGGCCAAGTTGACTCCCAGGTTTGGGGCATGATAGGGTTTGGCTGTGCCCCCACCCAAATCTCATCTTAAATTGTAACTCCCACAATTCCTACAGATTGTGGGAGGGACCCGGTGGGAGGTCACTGAATCCCCCCCATGGGGGCAGGTCTTTCCCATGCTATTCTTGTAACAGTGACTATGTCTCATGAGATCTGACGGTTTTCAAAAGGGGAGTTTCCCCGCCCAAGCTCTCTCGTCTTGGCTGCTGCCATGTGAGATGTGCCTTTCACCTTCCACCATGATTGTGAGGCCTCCCCACCCATGTTAAGAAACCACCGTCTTTGGTAAATTGCCCAGTCTTGGGTAAGTCTTTATCGGCAGTGTGAAAATGGACTAATACAGGGTAGTTCCCTGCACTGGCTTGGGGGAGGGAAGCCAAGTCCCTGAGGTCAAGGTTAAGCCCCAGAGGTCCCCTCTCTGACCTGGGTCCCTCCCAGCCTGGTATGGTCCATGCCTTCTGAAAAGCTGGAGGGATATAGGCCATGAGTAGTCACAGTGGTCACCATATTTATTTGGAAATTCTGTGGAAACTGCTATAATGACTATTGGAGAGTTTACCTCTTAACTTTTTTTTTTAAGAGACAGAATCTTGCTCTGTTGCCCAGGCTGGCCTTGAAGTCTGGGCTCAGGCAATCCTGCTGCGTCAGCCTCCTGGTAGCTGGGACTTGACTACTTATGCCACCATGCCTGGCTGAAGAGTTCTCCTCTTACCATGTAATTCAGTGGCCTTTTAAACACTTGGACACTGAGAGTCCTGCCTCACTAGGAACCGCCACGTGGACTTGCCCTTGCCTGGAAGAGCAGCCCAGTGAGGGCCGGGTCCCTCCCATGCCAGTCATCATGCTCAGGGTCAAGTCCAGGCCCCAAGGCAGGGCGCGTGGGCCTTCACACCAAGTCTCCTCCCTCCTCCAAGCCTGGCTCTGCCACACCTCAGGCACCTAACTAATCTGCTAGCAATTCCCTCCAACGAGCTGTAATCTCACCCGACTGAGCCTTTGAACATGCTGTTCCCTCGTCTGAAACTCCCCAGCTTCCTCCAACCCCTCCACAGTCTCCTGGCTAACTTGTACTAATCCAACAAAACCCAAAAGGCTACCTCCTCCAGGAAGCCTTCCCAAAACTTTCTACCTGCATTAGAGCCTCTCCTCTGCTCCATGCAGCCCTGCTTGTCCCCAGCTGCATGCAAAATATCCGCTTCCCTGTATAGCGCCCATCAAGCAGGGAGCTCTCATCCTATTTATCTCCAGATGTTCAGAGCAAAGACTTCAATAATTAGTTCGATTACTGCTTAATGTAATAATAACTGGTTAGTTATCTTAAATAACTAACTAAGGACTGAGCACAATGCTTGGACATAGTAGGCATTCCAAAAATATTTGTGTAGGGGGTACCACAGTGTCACATGTAGACCATTTACAAATAAGGAAACTGAGGCTTAGAGAGATGCAATGATCGGCCCACAGCTATTCAACTATCCACTAAGTAGCATGGCCTCCATGTGCCCAGACCTGGCTGATGCCCAAGCTGATGTTCTCACCACTAACTGGCCTCTCCCTTTGACTGGCATGGCATCAAGACAGATGAACTCACTAGCAAAGGGGCTGTGTGGCTCGCGGGTGGCAGAGTCAGGGCGTACACCAAACTCCGAGCGCACAGCACAAGCTCTCGGCACAGGACTAAGCTGCCACCCACCCAGCGTCTCCGGGCCTCAGTTTCTCAACGGTGAAACTGTACCATTATTGACTGCACAGGGACCCTGAGAGGATGTGAATCTGCCTGTTCGACAGTGACATACTGATAAGAAAGATTACTCCAGCCAGGGAAGGTGGCTCACACCTATAATCCCAGCACTTTAGGAGGCCGAGGCTAGTGGATCACCTGAGTTCAGGAGTTTGAGACCGGCCTGGCCAACATGGCAAAACCCCATCTCTACTAAAAATACAAGAATCAGCCAGGCACGGTGGCAGGTGCCTATAATCCCAGCTACTTGGGAGGCTGAGGCAGAAGAATCGTTTGAACTCGGGAGGCAGAGGTTGCAGTGGAGCCAAGATCACACCACTGCACTCCAGCCTGGGTGACAGGGTGAGACTCTGTTAAAAAATAAATAAATAAATAAAAATAAAATAGGAAGAAAGATTCTCTCTCCTAATCATTTCTGAGTTGAACATGCTGTGCAAACAGGCCTGAGTAGGGAAAATGTATTCTCGTTTCCAAGCAACCAACACAGAAAAATGAATGTCTGGCTCCCAAGCCACTGGTCAGGTTGAGGCTGTCCAAAGAGTGGCACAGAGGTCGCCTTAGCATCCCAGCCTGGGGTCTTCAGAGCTCCTGGTTCACCAGGGCAGGCCAGGCCAGCACCTGCTGGGGGCCCACGGGCACAGCTCACACCTCAGGGCACAGGAAGGGCAAAGAGGGCCCCTGCAGCACACAGCCACAGGCCCAGCCACTGGCCCGGCCACTGCCTCCAGGCAGCATAGCAGGCAATGCCCAGCCAGGGGCTGGCAGAGCTCACCGTCTGTTGTGCAGCATCCTTCAGGCGGAGGGTGCAGCTGGAAAGGGTTTGGGAGGCTGTTTGGTTCCAGCCCTCCTTCTCCCTCTTCTTCCTCTTCCTCGTTGTCCACTCGGCTACCACCTAGATGAGGGAAGAAGAGAGATAAGCAAGGCAGCCGCCATCTGGGCTCAGAGCTTCCTCCAGGCCTTTCCTCTGCCTGGATTCTCAGGACCTACGGGACTAATCCAGAATGGGTTCCACTCATCCTGAACACGCACTCAGCAAGTCTAGCTAGTTCAGAGTTAACTTATCCTTACAAACACTGTGGAAGTCGAGTTTTATCAACCTTCTTTCCCGGAGGGAAAAGCTGAGGCTTGTTCAGGTTGGATGACTCGGCCAAGGTCACACCGCACACAGGCCTCGGCCTCTTGACTCCAAATTCAGGTTCGCTTCTCTTCCACCTGCTACAGCTGTGCAAATACTAAAAGGTTTAATGTGTACAGAACTGGTTGACAAGGAGTGCAACGCCTGGACACAACAGCATTCCAAAACCATTTGTGTAGGGGGTACCACAGTTTCACATGCAGACCATCTTACAAATAAGGACACAGAGGCTCAGAGAGACCCCGTGATTGGCCCACAGCTATTCAACTATGTGCTATGTCTGATGCCCAAGCTGATGTTCTCGCCCCTTAACTGTCCTGCTTCATTTGGGGTAGTAAGAACCGCTTTGCACAATACAAGACAGAAGTCAAACTGCGCATTAATTATCCCCAAGGGAAGAACACATATACACATTACTGGATGGATACCACACACACACAGCCATTCTAGAACAGGGTCAGGTATGGTATGGATGATATGGTATGGATGTAGGAAACTTTTTTTAAGTGAGACAACATTTCAGAAGGAATGGTCACTGTGGAATGGGTCAGGCGAGCCCAGAAGTGGCCACGGACATCCCCCTCCTTGGTACGCACTCTGTCCCTACAAGGAAATGAACGCCTCTCAGTTCCAGCGGGCAGGCTCTCTGCCCTCACTCAGTCCTGTATTCTGGACACCCCACAGGGAGGCTAAGTACAACTGTGTGTCGGGCAGCCCAGTGGCTCTGGGTCCACAGAGTCGCAACTCAGTCACCAAGCACTGCTGGAGAAGGCGAGACCTCAGGCTGTTGAAGTTTGGTCCTGCCAACTTCTTGTAAGTTACACATTTGGGGTAAAAAGTCTCTCTCAACTTCTCTTATCTTTAAATGTCATTTAATAAACAGCATACGAATTTCTTCAGGGAACAGGGTCATTATGAACATCCTTAAACACACTGGGCTCTGATACAGGCACTCTTCGCTACCTTTTTTGTTTTTTTTTTTGAGATGGAGTTTCACTCGTCACCCAGGCTGGAGTGCAATGGTGCAATCTTAGCTCACTGAACCTCCGTCTTCCGGGCTCAGGCAATTATCCTACCTCAGCCTCCTGAGTAACGTGGGTTACAGGCACCTGCCACCACGTCCAGCTAATTTTTGTATTTTTAGTAGAGACGGGTTTTCACCATGTTGGCCAGTCTGATCTCAAACTCCTGACTTCAGGTGATCCGCCTCGGCTTCCCAAAGTGCTGGGATTACAGGTAGGAGCCACCACACCCGGCCCGTTCTGTGTTTGTCTTCGCCTCCAGTGTTGGTTTATTTGTTGTCATGTCTCAAACTCTCACTTAATTTGGCTCTGACACCGTCCATCTATCCAGTGGGCTAAGTGGCCTGGGTTAACAATGAAATTATGTGTAGTAGAAAGAAAATGGGCTGGAAATGAGGGAGCTCAGGCTTCAGTACTAGCGTGGGCCACTGCCTGTATCAGGTATCCCCAAACTACGGCCCACGGGCCGCATGCGGCCCCCTGAGGCCATTTACCTGCCCCCCGCCGCACTTCGGGAAGGGGCACCTCTTTCATTGGTGGTCAGTGAGAGGAGCACAGTATGTGGCAGCCCTCCAGCGGTCTGAGGGACAGTGAACTGGCCCCCTATGTAAAAAGTTTGGGGACGCCTGGCCTATATGGACGCAGGAACGTTACTTAAACTCTCTGCGTGTCTGATCCTGCACCTTTAAAATGAGGTGGTTAATCCAGAGGAACCCTAAGGTCACCTGGAGCTGTGATGGTCTATGTGGACAAACATGGCCCTCAGAGCTGCACGGAATGTTCCAGATGTGATTTAAACGGTGCAGCGTACTAGAAACATAGCCTCACAGTGGCTACCATTTCAAAGGGGCTTGTGGGACAAGAGGCAGAAGAAGTTGAACACTTCCAACAGGTAGGAACCGTGACTTTGGGAAGGTCATGGCCGGAAGTGACTCGAGAATTCCCGATCTCTCAGTCTTCCTGGGCTGAGGACACAGGTGGTAGGAAGGCTGTGAAGAGGTTACCCGGCGGTGGGGCGGCAGGGAGACACATTTCTGAGCCAGCTTTGAATGCTTTCTTCTTGCCCTTAAATACAGCAGGCGTAGTTTTAGCAGAAAGTGTAGAGGGTCACGCCCAGACCCCAGGCAGTGGCAATGCAGTACAGGTCCCCACGTCACGGGGCACAGAAGACTCTGTTGGCAAAATCGACTCTGGTCTCTAAGCCAGACACCAACTATCAGTGAAAAAGGGAGAGACAATTCCAGGAAAACTAAAACCAGCAGCCCCGCAAGGCCCGCATGGCTGGAGCTGAGGACGCACCTGGGAACGGCTGCCTGTGATTTTGCTAAGTTCTAAGAACGGGAATTCAGACTCTCAGAAGGCATGAAAGAAGAGGATCGTCATCCTCAGAAGGTCAAAGAAGAGCTCAAAATCTATAAGTAAGAAAGCAGGATTAAAGGGCAAAGGTCTCCATCAGATATGCCAGGGCTGTGACAGAATATCCCTCAGCAACAGGCTCGAGGGGACATTCCTGCCCAGGAGCAGACTAAACCAGACGTGTTTGGGAAACACGTCTAAACCAGCTGGATTGGGAGCTTAGAATCCTAATAACAAGACACAGAAACTCAGGAGCCGTTTCCTCCATTCCTACAAGGCTACTGCTTTTGATACTGACATGCAATTATATTTTCTTTCCATGAGCAGAAACTCTATGGCATTCTAAGTGGGTGGGACTATAGGATTTTACCTGTGTCCTGTTTAATGAACAAATACTTATCCCAAAATGCTGAAGCAGTGTTTGTTTTGTTGATCTTTCTTTTTTAAAAAGAATCAAGAATGTATGAAGGGTTTTTCCCCTAGAAGGTGGTAGGTTAAGAGCTCTAATTCAAAGGACAAAATAATAAGACCCCTGCTAAATCCCCCTCACAAATACATAAAATGTCAACAGATCCAGGGGTGTTCCGTATACCAGCACCCCAGTCATAAAAACCATCTTTAATGTCATTGTCTGAGGAAGCCCAGCAATGAGATAAGAAACCCTGACAAACAGATAAAACGAGATATGGCCTGGATAAGCCTGTCTGTGCCACATTTGACTGTGTAGAAAGCAGGGGCTCCAGCGGAGTGCTTGGTTTATGGTAACATTTAACAAACGAAAAAGAGTCTGTCTCTTCCCACCAGCCCCCCTCAGCCCCCTTGTTACTAGAAAACCAAACTCTCAGAGGACTTCTCTCTTCTGGTCGTCGGACAAACGGGAAAATCGTAGGGCTTGTTCCAGTTTTCTTACCAACGTGAAGCTGGACAGGCCAATGACAGCTGGCAGGGAACCTTTGACCCCAGCACCAGAGGAGTGAAGGTCTAAGCCCCAGAGCTGTCCCTGGACAGTACCACATGTCCATCAGCAGACAACGGCACCCTGAGCTGTCGGAATGTCACGCATAGCCTCCCAGCTAGAGATGGGCAGAAAGCATCTGTCGAGATCTTTAAACAGGAGAGAAAGCTGATTTGGGATCCTCAAAGGGCTTTCTACTCCTCTCTCCCACTGCGGGCAGCCCCGAATCTACTCAACCGCTTGTCTGTCCCCTTTTTATCTCAGAGCTTGGCCAAAGCAGAGTATGCAACTGCTGCTTAGCCACTCAAGCGTCCAGGAGCCAACCTTCCATCTTCCCAAATCACAGATTGAATGACTTCACCTCGGGAGGTGAAAGCACTTTGCGGATTTTAAGGTATCGCTTAAATAAACGTTACCATCAATATCACAATTATTAATCCATCATTAGCCACAAAGCTTTTCAATACTATAGAAGCAGAGGATGACCAGGTAATTCATATTCCACCAAAGTCTTTCAACTGGCCAAAAACAGTCCATCAAATACCCTCCAGCCATTCCTCAGCTCCCCATTAAGTCACAAGCACGTCTCCCATGGCAGAAAACAGCCATCTTTTGATGTCAGAGAATTCATGGTTTTCCTAATGCATGGTACTGACCACAGCCTGGTTTCTCTCAGAGCCAAGTCCGGTTCTTCCAGGGGTTTAGAAGGGCCATTTGCAAGGTTAATTTTGTGAGAATGTTTTAAATAATGACACAGAAATGCCTCCCTGCTAGAATAAGGAACTAGATCTCACACAAGCTCAGTGCGGGGGGCGGGGGCGGGGGCGGGGGTAGGGGCGGGGGCGGGGGCGGGGGTGGGGGTGGGGGCGAGGGCAGGGGGGACCTTGAAGACAAGCAGACAAGCACCTCCCTTGTTTTTTTCCAGGTGCAATTCTCCCCAACCCAAGCATCCCCTTCCATATACACACTCACGCACGGCAAGACCATCCTAGCACAAGGCCCGGTTCACTGAGTGCTTTCTTCTTTCATTGTAGTTAATTAATTTTCATTTTAAAGCACAGCCCCTTTTCATTTCAATAGCTAAGTGAAGTCTGCAGGGAACTTCAAGTCAAAGACATCAACTTAAAAAAAGAACTTCCGTAACAGAGTTATCCCACACTACGGATCGCTGAAGGATTACTTCTGACATGAAAACACATGGCTACAAAAAAAATCATTTCATTCTCTGCATAATTACGTAAACTCTAAAAAGTCATCCCCATACCTGAAGAGAATTTAATTACTTATTCTTGGCATATATTAAATTTATAAGGGTCTGCTTTTGGATGTTGAAAGTTTCTAAGAGCTCTCGTACCTATTACTTTGCAAAGATATAGCCACGAATCACAGGACAAAGAGAAGGAATATATTGCTGAGGGTCAAAAGCGTGTTAAAATTTGCTTTTCCAAGTGAAAATGTCAAACCTTCTAATAAGAGTATAAGTAACAACTGATTGAGAACAATTTGTCCCCTTCCTTTCTCCTACGGATTCAACGAATAATTTCATTTCTTGCAACTTTATGGCTGAAACTTATTTATATTTTAGCCAAAGTAAGAACTTGTGCACAATTTTTTTTCTAATTTTTTTCTGCAAACTTATTTATATTTTAGCCAAAGTAAGAACTTGTGCACAATTTTTTTTTTCTAATTTTTTTTTTCTGCTAGATTCAATGTTTTTTACATAAAGAAAAGAGTTTCAAGTTCCGATGCGAATATTAACTGCGCACAATAAACGAAATACACAAATAAAAGCAATGTGCGTCTCCTACCTTCTAGCGCGGCAAGTTGCTGCTCAGCTTCCAAGTACAGCTGGGAGAAGATGGGCCTGGGCACCAGGTTGTTGGACCGCAGGGATGCCTCGATGGAATTGTGCAGGACTTCTTCAAAGCGCGTTGTCTTCAGCTGTCCGGCGTAAGAATTTCCCATCTTCAAGAGGATGGAGTCTTCTGTTTAAAACGGCATCTCAGATTCAGTGCAAAAGCCTGACTCCACACAAGGTTATAAGGTGAAACCGCTGCAGCGAGGAAGAGCCGTGTGACCTCCGCTCAGCAGAGACAAGAGAGCGGCCGTCCTCAGCTGCAGCTACTGCCAGGCAATTACAGGAAGTTATATAAGTAACAGCTTTCTCTCATTTAGCACTCGGCAGAGCCCGACACCTTTTAGAGTATTTCACTAGGAGCTGCCTCTTGCCATCCCCAGGTTTCACAGGACTCCCACTTTTCCCAGAGATGCAGTCCTGCCCCTGAGTTCCCAGACGGATGACGTTTCATTTTCCATGACCTGCAGACAAAGGGCCCTTCGACACTCTTGTAAGTGACAGCGACTGAGCAATCTACCACAACCAGTCCCCAGATTTGAGGATTAGAAGAGCCAGCCTCCCCCCAACCCCCACCCCCGCCTTCCCAGAAGATAAGCTAGCAGGTCTCCCATTATTGCCTTTGCTGGTAAAAAGCTGATTAATCTCATTCTTCCTTTAAAATGTTTTTTAATCTACTAAATGTTTCCATGATTCAAGTAATACAGAATTACATCTAGAAAACCTGGAAATCACAGTGGAGTGAGAAAATGAAGAAAATTACTGATACTTCTATCCCCCAAGAGATTTATTTTCTATCCCCCCAAAAATTACAGAGAACCACTGTGATTTTTTTTCTATAGCAGCTTGAGATATAATTCATATACCTTACCACTTAGACAACTCAATGGTTTTTTGTTTATTCAGTGTTATGCAACTATCCTATGATCAATTTTAGGATGCTTTAATCACCCCGAAAGGAGACCCCAGACGCATCACTCTGCAACCCTCCAACCCCTCCAACTGGAAGCAACAATTAATTTATTTTCTGTTTCTGTAGATTTGCTCATTCTGGACACTTTGTATAAACGGAATCATTCAGTATGAGGTCTTTTGTGACTGGCTTCCAGCTAACATTAGCACAATATTTCTAAGATTCATCTGTGTTTTGCATGAATCAATACTTGGTTCCCACTGATGTATTTTGATGTATTGTTTTAGACTTCCTTTCAGAACTTGTGGGTGGGAAGGGATGGGAAATGGAAATGGTATTCACATGATTATAATCATTTTATAACACACGTTTTAATTTTTTTTTCTTTGACGTAGGCATTTTGCTCAACCCTCTTGCAAATATTTTTTGAATAATTTTAATGGCCATTCCCATCAAGTGAAAATGCTGATATTTGTTCAGACATTTTTCTCTGATCATACATATGATTAAATTTCTATTTTTAGTCCTTCCCAAGAACAGGCATTTAAATGCGTATATATGTCTCTGATGTTTTCCATTTATTGTCTATTTTATTACATTTAGCTATTTTTCTGTTTTATTTCCCTTTAATTTGTTGTGCTTTTTCTAAACTTTTCGAAATAGTTACTTCATTATCATCTTTATTTTTCACCTTCATTAACAACAAAGACATTCAAGGCTGTGCATTATCCTCTGGGCACCTCCTTTGCCATGGTACAAGGTTTAGTAAGAAGTGTTCTTTTCATTTCTTTCTAGACAGTTTATAATTTCCCTTTGATTCCCTCTTTGATCCATTAATTATACAGAAATGTGTGTTTAATTAGTAAACAGTCAAGACGGTAGCTGGGGGAGGGGAGTTCAGCTTCACATTATTTACCAGTTTTTTAAAACGATTGTAATCAAGACTGTGGTCTTTAGAAACTCTACTTTTGAAAACTTAAGGGTTTCTTTCTGCCATAGTCCTGCTGGAGTTTTACAGATAGAGGAGAAAAGACATTCGTCAACTCTTCAAGGGATGAAAGGAAATCGATCCCATTATTCAACTGTTCTATATCCTTGTATGTCTCTCGTCTACCATCCTGTTCATCTTTAAGGAGCATTCAACTTACAAAATGGCACAACACGCCGGCACTGAAATGACCGCAGAATGGCAGTTTCCCCGCCTTCATCTAAAATGACTGCACACACCAGCCAGGCGAGATCTCCCACCCACTCCAACTCAGAACGTATGTAATAAATTCCCGTGGTCCTTGTTCCGTTGGTGGCAGACTAGCTTCAAGATGTCATCCTTGGTGCCCTGTAAGAGCCGTTTGCCCTCTGGAAGGTATAATAACTGGTATAGTCACGTTGATTTCCTGCCCCTATTGTAAGGAAGATTCAGCCTTTCCTCTTCCAACTAAAAGTAAATGGAAAGCATTAACCAATTCCTGCTTGTGGCAGTAACTCCTGACCACAGGGCCCCTTGGTTAGGCTCTGCTTATAGCCTGGGGAAATGAGCTGGGGGAGGATTGCTTGGGGAATTAGCCCCAACAAAAAGAAAGTGCACCTGAAAGAGAGCTCAGCTGCTGCGGGAGTCACCTAACAGGAGAGAGAACAGAAGAGGCTGCAGGGTCCTCTCGTCTGCTTTTTTGACTGCGGGGTTACCAGCCGCATCTGGGGACACCCGCATTATTCTTAACTCAGGGCGATGTGTTGAAAGCTGCCGCCAACTAATGACACCCCAAATGCCTGCTATTTCCACAGCATCTTCGTCTGCAGAGCTTAAGGCATACAGGAAGCAGCTTTAAGTCGGACTCACTTTACAGGGATCCCCTGCAGAATCACGTCCTCTGACAGAAAGAACACACTGGGGCATCCAGACCATCCCTGCCGAAGGTCCTGTTTGGCTCACCTGACAGCTGATTGGCACCCGGAAGACACCAGCAGCAAAGGGACATCTAGGCCTGGTGTGGACAGGGCGATAAAGGGGAAGGAGGAAGAGTAATAGTCACTGTCCAGCCACTGCATGCAAGGCACCGGGCAGGTTCGGGTTTCACACACATGGCAGCCATGGGAGAGGAATGCTGAAGCCCATTTTATAAATGATACATTTGAATCTAGATGCGTAGCCTGCAGAAACGCTTGCTGGAAAAAAAAGTATAATGGAGGAAAGATGGAGAAAGAGAGAAGTAAAAAAAAAACAAAAAGGCATAGCAAAGTGGGGTTTTTGTTTTTTTGCTATTTTTTTTTAAACAGGATCTCACTTCGTTGCCCAGGTTGGAGTGAGTGCGGTGGCATGATCTCGGCTCTACAACCTCTGATCCTCCCACCTCAGCCTCCCAAGTAGCTGGCACCAGAGACACATGCCATCACGTCTAGCTAATTTTCACATTCTTTGTAGAGACAGTTTTCGCCATGTTGCCCAGGCTGTTCTTAAACTCCTGGGCTCAAAAGAACTTGCACTGGGACCACAGGCATGAGTGAACCATCGTGCCTGGTCAGGAAAGTTTTCACGCTCACAAAATTAAAACTTTATAGCCCTAGCAAACATCAAAGTTTTAATGTCTGTAAGCAAAGAGTGAAAGAGAAAATATCACTCCCCATCTAATGACGAGTTTACATCACAACAATAAGTATATGCCACTGAAAAAGCATGCAGAGTCATTGCAACTGTATTATAACCCGCAGCTCTTTCTGTTATTCCATTGTGACCACAACCTAACAGTGTGGGGACTCCCTAGATAGCATGGAAGTGCTCTACCTTACAGACAGGCCCGGGCTGCTGGGTGAGGAAGGTTCGGGCCAGACCAGGCCTGCCGTGGAGGCACATCTGGAGTTCTTTAACCCACTGGAATCCTGCATTTGACCAGTGAAGACCTAAAGACCCAGACAGAGAAGAGTCTAGTTCAGGGTCAAACACTAAAGCTTCAGTTCTTCCAAATGCCACATGGGGTGAAGACAACACCCTACAAAAGGCCTCCTTGGGCTGGCCCTGACCACTCGCTCTCTGTCCATGGTCTCTTTGCTAGACCCCTGCTGCAATTATACGAGTCTGCAAACTGCCTGTGGGATTTCTTCCATACCCGAACATATCATATCCACTGCCTGCATTCCAGGGCCTGGACCAGTTTCTCTCAAGGCTGGTATGTGATGCTCTGAACACACCAGAATCTGAAGCAGTGCCCATCAGGGCAGTGATGATGGTCGAACCACAGCCTTTACCTTAATGCACCAAAGCCTGGCTGTACGAGTCTGTAAAGAGAATACGCAACCCCACACAAAGTGATTTAATCACTAGGCCTTTGTGTTCTCATCTGTAAAATGGGCACTTAGAAAAACTGACTGCTTATTATGGAGAGTAAGAGAGACAGAGTGTAGTCAGTACATGATCATTAATTTCTAATTAAATTTTTAAGTAGTGCTACAACTTAAAAGTGGAGAGAAATCAGTAAGAATTTGGGTTGTTGATGGGGCTGGTCCTGGAAGCAGGGCAGTACGGATGAGTAGAATATTTTCGGGAAAAAAATGAGAACAGCATTTGAGAAATGGGCAGGAAAGTGCACAGGCACGAAAACTCCAAGGAAGCAGACATACTCTACAAATAGAAAGAAGTGGCCAGGTACGGTGGCTCACGCCTGTAATCCTGGCACTTTGAGAGGCCAGGGCAGGTGGATCACGAGGTCGGGAGTTCGAGACGAGCCTAACCAACATGGTGAAACCCCGTCTCTACTAAAAATACAAAACTTAGCTGGGCGTGGTGGTGCACGCCTGTAATCCCAGCTACTCAGGAGGATGAGGCAGGAGAATTGCTTGAACCTGGGAGGTGGAGGTTGCAGTGAGCCGAGATCATGCCACTACACTCCAGCCTGGGTGACAATGTGACTCCATCTCAAAAAAAAAAAAAAAAAAAAAAGGAATCATCTGCCTAGGAGTAAATTGTTTACAAGATGACACAGTGATAGAACAACAAAAACAAACTAAGGGCAAAAATTAGACATTGTAGAAGCAACAGACATTCCCTGGGGCCTCCCTGGAGCCACAGAACTAGGAATTGACGGTCATAAAGGTAATGTTTTAGGCAGGTCAATCAAACAGAAATGACTGGGATAAAATTGGAGGGAAGACCTCCAGGTAGAAGGCCGGGTGAGCACTCTTTCAACAGGACCTCTGATATCTGTTTAAGAGTGAAGCAGAGCCGG